CTTTTTTTAATAAAAATATTTATAATGAATTCTTGCAATGAAGCACTACAAGATTTGAATACTGTTATTGAATTAAATCCTCATTTTTATAAGCTTTATTGTTTAAAAGGTTCAATAATAAGTTAATTTAAAAGCATAAATACTAATATTCTTATATCATTTATAAGATGCTTTAGAAACATGCGATTTAGCAATATCGTAAGAACCTGAAACCTATGAAGGATATTGTATTAAAGGTTCGAAAAGTTTACTAATTTATTTGCTTGTGGTTTATGTTAAATAATTTAGACCGAAATTTAAAGTTAATGAAACAGTTTTAAGAAGTACTTAAGTACTGTGATTATGGAATTTCACTAAATTCTACTATTTGGATAGCATACCAATTAATAGACACATATGATATTATTATTAATTAGCTTATATTCTATTTAATTTGAATAATTATTAAAAAGCTTTAAAACTTATCAATGATTCTATTCAAAATAATCCTGAAGAAATAACAAATTTTATACTAAAAGGTTAAATATTATTAAATTTGATAGCAAAAATACTAATTCTTTATTATAAATTTAGCTAATCAAAAGCAATACAACAATATGAAGATGCACTAATGAGTTTAGATGATGATGTTTAAATAAATCCTTCATCACATGATGCCTAGATATAATATAACTTCAGGTTTGACATTAGTTTTGATGGGGCATTTAGATGAAGCACTTGAAAACATTGAAATTGCTATTTAAAGCCAACCTGAAAACTCATTGTTATTTAATAATAAAGGTATTCAAATAATTATTTCGATAGCATTTATTTGAAGACAAAAAGGTTTAAATTTTTTGATACACTGTTTGGGACATTATACAGAAGCAATTTCTAATTTGCCTAACATTAAGTCCTGAAATTTCTGTCATTCATGAAAATAAATGTAAATAAATTTATGATTTCTTAGAATATTTAGAATCATAATAAGGCACATTTAATGGCAAATAGCAAGTTCTAGAAAAAATATATTAGTTTATTAAAATATCTGACTAACAAATTTAAGATCGACCAGTTATCTAATAATAATTATCGATAGATCTCTTTGATCTATTTTGCTAGTAGTTAGGTTTTAAATTGTTTTTAAACATGAAGGAAACAAATGATTCAATATTTATACAATTGCAAAAGTGCAAATCTTACATACCTTTTCCCTTTATTATGATATTTATTATATGAAAGTTCTGCTAAAATTACATAGCTTACTATTTCTTAACAATATATTAAAATGTTATTGGAGGAATAATTAAAGAAGTGCTACCTAAATCTCAATCATATTTACAGATGAAATTTATCATGATGTCAAAAATAAAAGGCATTAAATAAAATAAAAATATAATACCAAAATTAAAAGACTTTTGAATTTGTTATTGGCACAGCCATTCTAAAAATTAATTTTATCTAATAGATGCTTGAAGATCTGATACAGATGTACTCAATTTTGGAAGAGAAATTTCATTTGCAAAGTTATTTTATTTGTTATAAGCAAGACATAATTTGGATACTTGACAAATTAATAAGGCTAAGAAATATTTTAGGCAATCTGCTTATTTTGAGAAAGAGCTATAGCTGAGATATTCCTAATGTTCTTGAAGTTAAATATTTACACCCCCAATTAAAAAATTATGCAAATAAAAGAGCTTATATTTCTAAATAACCTTTAATACAACTAAAAATTTTATGGAAAAGCATTAGAGACTGCAAGACTTGTATAAAACTGAACTTTAAATCTCTCTAACATAAAAATTTGTCAAACTGGCAAATGATAACATCTTTATTTAAAGTACATTTTTAAGTTTAAATATAATCAAATGGATAGGTTAGAGGTCCACAAAAAAGAGTCATCACTTAAATTAACAATGACCCAGGATATTTGGTATCAATGATCTCAACTTGAACTGAATAATAAATAATTGTATCCTATATCGCTAAATAAAATTATATTAATAATTTAAAATATTTTATATTGTAAAAGTTTATTGAGAAAGAAATATAAAATGAGTCTTAAACTGTAAAATGACTTCATTTAAATAATTACTCACCTAATTATATTTTCCTTATTTGGCTTAATCACAATCTTCTCAAAGGGATGTCAATAAATGAGAGATCATTAGAAGAATGATCAATAAATTTTTCTTAGCTACACATTAAAAGGGATTTTAGTATTAGTAATATATTTAATTAATATAATGCCCCTTTACTCTATTTATAAAATTATTCAAATTTTTTTTTAACATAATAAGCTTACTTTTTGGTTTTTAATACAATCTAATAATAAGCTTAATATTTTAAAAATAGGAATTTAATGTCTAATTTCGAATGGTAATTCATCTAAAATATCTTTAGTATTGAATATTATTCTTTATTCTATTTCTACTGAGATATAATGTAAAACCTCTAAAATGGCCATCTGAAATTTCAATGAAGATAAACTATTTCATAAAATAACTTTAGTCATTTTTCAACTATTGTCTTTATGTTGGAATGGGTTTCGTTTTTTGTTCTTAAATTTGGATTATATACTGGAGGCCTTAATGGTATGTGTATTTCTAACAATTTCTTCTTATTCTACTCAGCGCTCTCCTATTTAATGATCGAGAAATTAATATTTTTCAATTTTTTTTTTGAACATGATTAGAAATGTATTTTATAAATTTAGATCCGTTTAACTCATTCATTTAAGCCTATTGCGAATCCAATTACATTTTAACAAAAGGAACACTCTTAAACTGATTTTTAGCATTGCACCTGAAATAACAAATTGTGAAAAGTATTATTCTAATTGTTAATAATGTGTCCTTACTCCTAAATCAAAGGTTCAATGTGTAATCTCTAAATAGGGGTTTGTTAGCTTAATAATTATAGGAAATTGTTACAAAAGTGAAAATCTAGAAAATTTTTTAATAGTCTTACTGTTTGTTATTTAAGGAGAATTTTTTGAGGGTGATTAATATTATTATTAATTTTCTCCAGATTAGTAAGGGAAAATTGAAGTTAAATGTAAAAATGGATATTAATTAACAATATTTTAATAGTGTAAAAAATATTGTATGCTTAAATTATAAAGTTGATGAACTTTCTTTTCTTTTTTTTTTACAAATTCTTAAAATTACTACGAAAAACACGTTAGAGTTGAAACTGAAGGATAATGCATAGCCTGTTCTAATGTATACAGATATTGTTAAGTGATAGATGAAAAAAAAATTTCTGTAATTAATAAAATTATATTAGGCTTTGCAAATAAACTTTAAGCTGTAGGAATCAAACTCTTAATTTACAATAAAATTTTTGAAATCAGTCGATGACCCTAATATAATAACCGATCCTTATTTTGCAAATATTAAATATTGTTTTAACTAGAGTTGCTATAATAGATTTTATTACACTTATTACATGTCTAAACACTAGATATATATGAAAGATGAATATGAAAAGTATATAAATTCGTAGTATTGCAACCTAATTGGAGAAGATGAAATGACAATACAATAACTTGGAAACTAGAAGTTCGGATTGGTTTTAGAAAAAAAATCTTTTCTTTAAAGTAATTAAAAATACAGTTCTTTACTTTAGGATTTATTTTGGAAAATATTAACAACAAAGTTGATATCACATTTAAAAATTTAATTTTAATTCATAGCAATTTTTCTGATGAAACAATAATTCAAACTTAATTATATGCAAATATCTTATTTTAAGATTTAAAGATTATAGATTCTATCTTTAATAATTCCACTTTTTTTTATTTTAAAAACAATCAATATCAATATCAATTTAAATAGAAAAATTAACTATCAATAATGGCATTTTACAAAACTCAACACTATTCAAAATAAATTACTTTTAAGCTATCATAACTAAAGGATATTCTTATTGAAAATTGTAAAATGTTCAATTCTTCATTTTTCTCCTTCTAAACAGATTTGGAAAATGAAAATTCAATCTAATTATTTGATGTTGAAATTAATTAATGTGATTTTTCTCTTTCCTATTTTTTTAAAAGCTATAATAAGCTTAATATAATTGCAAATAACCTCTTCATTCACAATAACAATCTTAAAAATTCATTGATTATTGTTTTTAATGATAATATAGAATTGAAGAGTGTTAGAACAAGTTAGAATATAAGATTTTCGATTTATCGACTTAATTGATTATAAATGAATAAACACTTTTCTGCACAATTGTTGATTTTGAAGATAAATTAAATGCTTATAAAGAATCAAGTTTTTTGATCATAATTTATTCTAATCTTTAAATAAATAGTTTTATTATTAACATTAAAAATGTAAAAGTTTAATAAAATAAACTATTGAATAGTCAACAATTAATATTTTTAACTTAATTATTTAAACAATATTACCTTTATATAATTCCAAAATACACCTATAAGTTAGATCTAAAAAGCTTCTTATTAAATTGAAATCAACTAGATTTTTATGAATCTTTAATATTTAAGAATTCTTAATAAGAACTTAAAGTTACCATTTCATAATTTTGTAATAATCAATCCTAATAAAAAAATTAACTATTGCATGTTATTGGTTTTCAAAAATTATCAATTACAAACTCTGAAACTGTTAATTTATTCAATATTAATTATTCAATAATGGATGCCTCTCTAAACAATTATTTAATGATTCCAAGTAATTAAGTTCTTAATAAATATTTTTAATACTACATTTTTCAGTATAATAAAACTAATAAATGAGTTAAAAAAATTACCAAATAAACATGGATCACAAAGCTCTGATCTTTTAGAACTCTCAAATAGTCAATCTGGTTAAATCAATTAACTGCACTTTATCTTCAATTGGATTAATGGATGATTTTAGAATTGTTAAATCATTCAAAATATTCATAACAACTTTGAGGAAGGTGAACACAGATCTCGGGAAAATAATTTATACATAAGAAGAAGAATTACTATTATTTAGATTCTCTTTCTTTCATGCTTTTTTTTATAATTAAGAAGAAAAGCTTTTATATGTTGAAATTAACTGTTAATCATCTCAATAATAGAATAGTGTGAATTATATATATGTAAATAAAAGGCTTTAAATGCTATATTAAAGAATTTTATTTAAATTCTGGATGCTAAATTTTCTAATTAAGTTAAGGGTTTTACTCAGTAGTATATGATATAACAAAATGTTCAATATTTGATAAAAAAAATTTAAAGCTTAACTGAGAATACTATAGAATTATTACAGGTTTTTGGAGAACTAAAGTTTTATCTTGATTAAATAGAGGAATGTCTTAAAGATTTAAAGTTTTGACAAGGAGGTTGGGGGTCGGGAAATTATCTCTGTAATTTAGTACATATTAGAGCATTATGTGAAGAATGTGAGATTTATAATGTAAGAGGAGACGGAAAATCTTTTTAATATTAATAAGACTTGTATTGTATCTCTTGTTTTGATATAAAAGACAGCATAATCCCATTTATTGCAGCATCAATTTGGTAATTTAAATTATTATTTAGGTCATTTAAATTGATCTATATAACCTTAAGAAGTATTGAATGTTTTAATTAGTTATTAAAAATGTTGAAAATTATAATAAAGAAACTAGAATAAGGTATATTTTTAAATTATTTTAAGGGCATAAAAGCCTTTTAATAAAAATTTTATTAATTTATTAATGGATATTCTCTATTATTTTTACATTTAACAGAAAATTTTCCCTTCTATTACTTTTGTTGATGCAGCTTGTAATATTTCTTAATCTATGACTAATAATCTAGATAGAAAGTGAATCAATAAAATTTATTTATTCTAAAATAATTACAATTTTTGTAGTGATGACATCTTAAGATATACAATAATTATTGGATTTCTTATTTAAAATTTCCATAAAAAGATGGGATTGTGTAATTTTAATTTGGAAGCTATTGCAAATACTTAACTATACCTTCATGTTTCTTATATGGTGGATTGGTTAAAATGTAATATTATTTTTACTACTTTAAGTATTTTTTAGTTCTCTCAAAAAGAGATGTTTCAAATTTGAGTTACATACAGTGTGATGTTTCTCTTCCTTTTGGATCAAAAGAACATTTAATTTGGATTATCTCCTTCATTAACCCAGGTATTTAAATTAGAAAACATTTTTTGTTATTTAATCAATGAATACAATAATATTAGTTATTTTTGGAAAGCAATAAATTTCATTAAAAAGACAATTATTATTCTAATATTAACGTATTTTGATACTAATTATCATTCACATATATAATCACTATTAAATTTTATACATATTAGTTAGTAGCGTTATAGGAAATTAATATAATTAAAATAATTTTTTATATTAGGTATTAAGGAATGATGAATGAGTCAATAAACCAAAATATTATTAATAATTGATTTTTGAATTAGAATATAATTCTTAATGAACCCTTTATTTTATAATTAAGTCTATATCTTCCAAATTAAACAACATAATTTTTTAATAAATTTTTATATATGGCAAATTATAATAACACCTATCTCATAACATTAATAGATGAATAATGAACAATGAATACAATAAAATCGCTTAAATCCTAAATTGGAACAAATTTCAAGAGGAATTTAAGAACAAGTGTTTGGGTCATAACTTTAACATTTGCCTTACTAATTAAGCCAGCAAAATGAATTCTCATTTTCAAAACTATTTTTACGATTTTCTGGAGTTTAAGAAGCACAGGTAACTGGAGTATAAGAATTACATTTATAAACACCATTTGTTTAAGTTGCTTCAGCTACAAAATTGGCTCTCTTAAGCATACATTCTATTTAAGTGAAGGCTGTATATTTTGAACAATCTCCAGTAGATTCCATCTGGGTTAATAGAAAATGAAAAACGTTTCACATCTTTCAAGAATTATAGAACCACAAGTTTAATTACTCCAAGAACAATATGCTACGTTGTTACATTAAGTTTAATTGCTGAATATTTCACAATCACATCTATTTTTACTTTATAGACTCTCATTAACACTTAAGAATACTAAGCAAAGTATAATTCTTAAAGACATTAAATTAAAAATGAATATCAACAAATAATTTCACAGCTTTAAATACTTATTAACTATCAATTATGGCATCTTATAATTGAAAATAATTATATAAATTCAAATAAAAAGATATCACAATCTAAAAAAATCAATTTTATTTAATATTTATTAATCATAATTACTATATTACTTATATAATCAAACGATGCATAAAATTAATTAAATATTATTATATTAGATGTTTAATTAATTAAAAAAATACTATCATAATTTAAATATAATACTTAAATAAGAAGGCTATTATTTTATGAATTAGTATAACAAATAATATTAAAAAAGGGTGTAGGAGTATTTATTAAACAAAAATCAATTTTGGAAAAATAATTAATTTAATCTTTTTGGATTATGTTAAATTTACAATATAATCATGTTCTAAATTAGAAGTAAATAATAACTAAATATTATTTATGATAATACCCTGTTGACAATTACATTTATAAATGTTTACTCAATAAAAGTTTTTATCCGTATATTCATAGAGTGTCACCGATTCATTTTGAAAATAAGTGAAAATTGAAAATTATAAACAATAAATTGATTAAGAAACTAGATTAATGTTAAAATAAAGAAGCAAAAATTAAAGTATTTACAATAATACTCTATATTTATATAAGATTCAATAAGAACCAGTATAATCAAAGAAAGAGAAGAAAAAAAGAATTAAATTAGCAAATTTTTAAAATGATTAGCAGATCTAATTTATAATTTAATTGATGTGAATTATAATTTAAAATTTTACATCATAACTAGAGTGATCAATCAAGTTATTATTAGATTGAAATGCTGCAACTCCCAAATAAATTATGGGATATCTATTTATTATAATGAGATTCACTTTTAAATTATCAGCGAAAGCTTAAAAAATATAAAAATATTTTTAGAGTTTTTAGCTCAAAATATCAATTATTTAAAAGATTTCTTGTTCTTCTTAATTATAAATTACTTCAAAAAATAATTTATTTATAAATCTAATTATCAAAATTCATTATTCTTTATCTTCACAATCATTGAACTAAATTTAATTATGTTTGATTGTATTCATCTTTTAATTGTTCAATTGACTTAATTATATTAATAAACCTAAGATACTTAACATTATTATATTAACATTTCATTTTATTATCCTAAAAATTCTTTTACTTTGGTAATTGTATCTTTTATTGTGATATATTCTTTTCTTGGAAACTATTAAATATATATTTCCCTAAACAATAAATTTTTACCTGAATAATCTATTATTTTTGTTTATAATCATAATTCTCTTGTCATGTTATATAATGATTTTAGATTTGGGTTTTCCTAATTATATATTTTTTAAACATAGACATAAAAATTGGGCTAAATCTAAAAAAAATTCTAAATAATATGTAATATGATTTTATTATGCAATTAAAAGATAAATAAGTAAATTGTAAGATATCATCTGAAATTTTTAAAAAAAGCTGTTTATATGATTCAACTCAACTTGATTTAAAGTTAATTCGATAAAATAATTGAAATTTTTGTTTTTATCAGTATATATTAAAACTAAAATTTTCATTTTAGCTTAGTTAAAAATATTTTTAATACTAATATTTATAATCAAATTATTTCAGGCTTATAAAAGAGAATAAAATAACAACCTTGTTCAGAAAGAAAAAGTTCTTTAAAAATGATTAATGATACTAAAATTATTCATTTTTTGGTCAAGGAGAATAGTCTTTTTTTTTTGATTAAGATAAGTTGAATTTAGATTGATTGAATTTATTTGAGATTTTAATAAAATTTTAAATTCCATTTTTCAAATATAATAAATACAATAATTTATATAAATTTCTTATTCAATATTTTATACAAATAAATTTACTTACATATTAAATAAAGTTACCTATAGAATCGAATAATAAATTCATCATCCTCAAATTCTGGTCACCACCATATACACAATAGATATTATTTTTTTAAAGTAATATAAAACTTACAAATATAGTATGTTGATATAGAATGATTAGAGCAAGGAAATATTTATTATTTTTACAATAATTCCTTTCAATTTTTGTTTGTATATTTTTTAATGAAAACTATAGAGAAAAATTTAAATTAAAAATTTAATTTTATTTTAGATTACATCATTTATGATGAAGTTGTTATTAACAATTCTGAAAAAAACTTAATACTTTAATTTGAAGTAATATAAATAGTAAAAGATTTTTTCGAATGTTCTGATACTAATGAAAATTACTTTAGTATTTTACGAATTAATAAAACCTCTTTAGTTTACTTAACTATAGAGAAGCCAAAAAAGATTCTTTTTCTTTGAGAAAAATAGATATGATTAACTAATAATTTATAAGAGGAAATTAGAATTTAATGAAGAAAAAGACTGAGGACTTTAATTTATAAATAGTTTAGACTAATGAATGCATCTGGGGAATTAATTATTTTTTAATATAAAAAGATTAGTGGTATTTACTTAATTTAATTGAAACATAGTTAACAAATGTTTATTCATATGATTTAGATGTCTATAGAAATATTTATGTAATCCTTTCAGAAAAATAGCTTTACAAAAAAACAATAAATGGCCAAAAATTAAAAACAATAGTTAAATTCTAAACCTACTGATAAAGTTTTCTTAATAAACCTCTATCTTTTGAAACTATTGCGCTTTATTCATAAGAGTTATATAAATCTTACTCAACAACTCTAATTGATATTAAATAATAAATCTCCTTACATCTATGCCTATTGAAACTATTTACAAAATGACTAAAATTGTCTCAAAAACAAAATTTGTTCTCGAAATTTATTATATATACGCTTGTTAGTAGTTCTTTCCTTAATTACATTAATTCAAATTTTAGATATATTATTATTTTCTCATTGATATTGTATTCTAAATTATCATATGTATTATATTTATCCATAAATAACTAATTTAATGATTTATTGTACTATCAAAACGATAAGATTTTATATATAATTAATTTCTATTAAATTCTATTTTTTCCAATAATTTCTTTATTAAAATATATTACAACAGTTCTTATTATAGATCCTCTTACTCTTTTGTTATTAGTGAAAATGCTGATAACTAAAAAATGAAAATATACGAACTTTATAAATCTGATTTCATTAAAATTATTTAAGAGATTTAAAAATAAAAAAAATAATATTAAATATTTATAAAACTTGGTATAATAATAAGATTTTATATTATTCGCCTAAAGTTTGTATGCTTTTATCCATCTTGAATATTATTTTTTATTACTTTTAAGATTAATTCTATATATTATTTTATTCAAATTATCTAAATGATATCTCCTTTTTTATTATAGTTTTATTCATAAAATAACTGAACAAAGGCATTTAATCAATAATTTCTTGGCATAAACTTAAGAAAATTTGATTTAAAAGAAAAATCTACTTAAATTATCAATTATATAAATTATATAGATCTATTTATCATCACATGTTATTAATCTATTTTTTCTTTTTAAATGTTTATCATCTTTCTAAACGTATCTAAATACTTCAAAAATTAATAATCATAAATTCTTTATTGATTATATATTTTTAGATTCCTAATATACATAATAATTTCTTTTAAAGGATAAAAGCTGAAAACTTTGATAGTTGTGTTTAAAGCGATATTAATTAATTCAAATGGAATGGGAAACGAAAACTTTATGAAAATACTTTTGATTTTTAAGAAGATTGTAGTATTACAGTTTATAAGTAGGCTTTTATAAGATAGGCTTTTAATGTCTTTAGGTTATCCAACTAAAAGCATGACAATCGTTTTTAAAAGTTTTAATGAAATAAAATAGTAAATCAGCTTATATTTCTATTGAGAGCTTTTTAATAATTCATAGTAATCTTTTATGGAATTAATCATTTATTCCATATTTGATTGCTGAAGAAAATAATTCATTCAAAAAGGAGAATGGTTTAGATGTATCAGATATATTTAATAGTCCAGATATAGTATGTGAATATGTACATTCTTATGGTTTGTATGAAATTCAGTTATTTTTATTGAAATATTGTTCAAGAAATTAAATTGTAAATCTAAGACAATTAGTAATTAGTAGTGTATTTATTTTGATTTAATTATTCAATCATGTAGATTAAAGGAAATTGAATGTGAATATCGTTGTTTGAATCTAAAAATGATTACATACCTAATTACACCTAATTTGAAAATGTATATTGCGCTGTTAAATAATATTCATCATAAATGTTCCATTAGATTATATGGATGCAAACTTATGTAGCAATATGTGTTCAATTGAATTTTCAATACTTAAAGGTCTTGAGAAGATATATTGTATTAATAAATTGGAATTAATGTACTTATCCGTTCACTTTTTTAATAATTTTAAATCATTTAACATGTTTATAGCCTAATTTGAAAGCTTATATAAACTTAATTATTCATATTCCAAAACATTAAATAAATCCAAATCATAGTTCTAGTGCAAATTACATTTGTTTCTCTAATTAATCAAATGAATGTTAGATACCTATTAGTGATGATTTAGAATGTGATAAACCAGAACTTGAATGTGTTTTTAATACTAAAAATCATAGAAGTGTATTTTAAAATTAAAAATGCCAAAATTTACCATTATATTCAATTATTTCAGAATTAGATTATTAACATAAATCTTAACTACTTGTATTTATTAATAAATTTATTTATCCTCAATTATAATTAAATTGAATTTTTTTTAATTTTATACAGAATAATTATTATCCAGAAACAAGTCTAAAAATTCTTTAATATAGTAATAATAATATAATAATATAATAATATTATTAAATTATTTACAAAAGTCAAATATAATAAAGTAATATTAATTTTTAGATAAATCCTCTTTCAATAATAAAAATTAAATTTTTTTTCCATTTGAATTGCAATTTTATTAATTTGCTTATCTAACTGTTAATCCAATTAGTAATATTATTTCCTCAAACATGATTAAAATAAAAACAAATAACTCATTCTTTCTAAACTAAATGATATCATAACTTCGTTAAAATCTACATTACAATTATTCATGAGCATCGTCTTATTAAATAAAAACTTTGAAATAATGTTGAAAAGGTAAGGGTTTCTTATAAATTTAGTTAATCTATTCAAAAGGCACAATATATATTTATAGTGTTTGAAATTTTATTATTTCAGGATGTTTATAAATTAAAACCATATTTTTAAATAAATCAAGTTTGTGTATTTATTTTTATTATACCAGTAAATTTGATTTAAAATTTTAAAAATTTTTAACAAATATTACAAACTGTAAAATAAGAAAATTAGATCTTAACCTACAATCAATAAAATAGATTGAAAATCCCTACTAGATTTGTATGATACGAGAAAAAATGCAATCGGATTATTAATAGATTTATTCAAAGAAATTCTAGATGTTTCAAAATATTCACTGCAACCCCAAAAAAAATATTTAAACATTGTTTTGAAATATTTTTAAATGAATCATTTTTGATAGATTTCGTATTATTTCAATAATATTAAGAAAATAAGTTGAAAAAGTGATGTTTATTCTATCCAATGATGCCTGAATTTTTCAATAGAGAAAATCCTAATTTTATTATAAAAATAATGAAGGTAAAGAAATACTCATTTTATTATCAGAGTAAATTAAATTAATTATTAGAATTGGTAAGAGGAATATATTAAATGATGATAAAATATAAGAAAACCTTTGGAAATATTCTTTTTTATCCTTATAAATGCTTTAAAACCAAACTATATTAAATCAATAATCAGACGAAGCTAAAATTAAAATTCATAAATTTTAATTGTCTTTTATTTAAATTCCAAACGCAGATAATAACCAATTTAAACAAGATTAATAGGTTCATATTATATAAAAATTAATTTGTCTAATAAATTCAAAATGAATCTCATTTTATTACCTCTTATTGAAAAAAAATTAAGAAGGCTGATTTCAATTAACTTTTAAATAATTTGAAGATTGACTAAAGATTAAATAGCTTCATTTTTCTTAACAAAAGGTTTGTGTATTTAATTTTGGTTTTGATTTTATTATAAACAATATTAAATAATTTATCAAACTTCTATAATTAATTAATTCTAAAAAAAATGATTATTTTTCTGAATTTAATCTTTTTAATTCTTATCATTAAGTTTATTATGATAACATTTCTTAATGATGCACTTTTTCCTCTTAATCAAAATTAAACAAGAACAAGAACATGTCAATATCTCACAAAATTACTTTTTCAGAATTTGATCAAGGACCTTTAATATTGTTAATGTTTGGAAAATTAATATGACAAAGGACGAAAATGAATTGTAAGCTTCTATTTTTAAAAAAGATAAAAAATGAAATTAAAGATTTAAGTGAATTTTTTTAATTTCATTTGATGATTAAGAAATATAGGTAATAAATTTGTTTAACTTAATTGAATTAAAAAAGAAAACATTTAAACTTAATAATCAAAAAGAATTATTCTTTTCAACTTTTTTATTTATTATTTCTTACTTTATATAAAAATATCATAAGTGCTATATGGGATATGGGAATTAAGATATGAGGTGAATTTGTATATTAAAATTATTTTATTCAATTTCTGATAAAGATTGATTGAATCTAAAATTGACCTAAATGATTCTTACAAATATTGTAGTTGATATAATTCTTGTTAAAGTTATAATCGCTTAATAAACATCATCAGGTTATAACAAGATAAATTGAATCATTTTATTAGAAAACTTTTAAATCTAAGAAATTTAGAATTAGAAATTTCAAATGAACTAAATTAAATATTTAATTAATATCAAATTTTTTCATCGAATATCTAATATTTCTAATTTAATTTTGATATTCTAGCATTCAATTCTTCATGAAAATTTTATACTGCAAAAAACCTTACTTATTCAGCTTTTTTTGATTTAAAGATATTAACAAGTCAAGATTCAAAAATTTAAGCATTAATTAAAAATATATAATATTAAAAATATTATCCAAATAATTTAAGATTAATAAAATTTCATATAGCATAGCATCATCTTGAACTTGTTTGTCATCTTAAAATATGAAAAGGATTAAAGATTTAGATAATTTTATATAGCTTATGTCATATTTAAGATTTTAAAAGTGTAAGTAGAAAGATATTTATTTATTCTATTATTATTATTATTATTGAATAATTCCAATAAAAAATGAAAATCCTATACAATCATCATTCTACATTTAACGTTTGAAAAGCATTTTTGGAATAATTTCTTGAGTTTTTATTCCTTTAGCATCAAACATTTTAAGAATTGAAATCTTATCAAAACATATATTAAAACATTAACATTCATTTTTTGATTATCGATTTGGTTTACAAGAAGCACATACTCCTTAATTAGAATACTTTTTGTTCTAGATATCTATTTGAATAGCCTATATTCAAAAGATAATTATCAAAAGTAAAACTAAATACATCTTATTTTAATAACATAAGCATTTCAATTGCAGCTACACAAATTAAATTAAATTAAATAGAATCAAAATTTTGAGATAGCATTTAAATGTAGTTTAGTATCAAATTATCTCCCACAAACGAATAGTAAGATTGAAGCGCTATTCCATCCCCTACCCTATTTATTTATTTAAAATACTGACAAAACTTTTTATTTGACACTTATGAACATTTTGAAATTGGACTAAATGAGGATTTAGTTGTATTCTATAAACAAACATTATCAAATGCTACTTTATATTTACAATTTGATTCTGGATTCATCTTTTTGACAATGTATTTTTTTTGTATTACAAAAATTATCATTAATAAAAAATAAAATTACTTTTTATAAAAGTACATATTTATATAAATAAATGGCTATCTTTAAGTTATAGGGTTTTTAATTGTGAATTGCAAGTAAGAATTTTTAAAATGAAAATGACCACAATTATGACGAAACCTTAATATCAAAATTAAACTTAATTATTGATTTTGAGTAATCAAGACTATTTTTTTAAACTATATCTAAAACATCTTCTAAAGGTAACTTTAGTAACTAATAAATTGAATAGCTATTGTATTTATGTTTATTGTTAAAAAAAAACAATTTAACTCCAAATAAAAAATATACAATTTATCCACTAAACCAAATCGAAGTACGATGTACGTATGAATTTAGAAAATGCTAATACAATGGTGATTTGTGGTTAAAGTTTAATATCTTAAATAAATTTTGAAGATTGTTATAAATTTACTTGTAAGTATCCTTAAAACAGTTCACCTTCTTTTTATGTGACAATAAAAATTTATAAGAAGAATAAAATTTAATTAATATTTAAGTTATAGAATTTATGTAGAAAATATTGAGTTTTTTATTGATGAACACTATTTTAGTGGTAGGATAATACAAAAATTTATCAGAAGAAGACTTGATCCATTTGTTGCAATATTAAAAATTTATTGGAACTTGGAAATCAGAAATTACCTCAATGGATTAATTCCACTATCTAGATTATTAAGAAGGATAAGCAGAAGTAATATTCAATAACTACCTTGAAATTTGTTTTTTAAATCCTAAATATTATGAAAATAAGCAAGTTTATTTATCATTTAGTCTCACAAATTACAATAATTTTACATAGTAATATTTTAAAAAACTTATTTAATAGAAGTTGGTCAGGTGAAAAAAAATTCAGCTTGCAATTTGGAACATTTGCCAAATTCTAAGGGCCTTACTTCTCTTGCAAAGGAAATTTTTTATTACAAGTTCTTTTTGATTAATCATTTGCTGATATTAAAGACACAAAAGTCTATATATTCCTATAAAGCGATGATTGTTATTTTAATATATCTCTTTTAGCTGTATCAGGATAAGAGGAAGAATATAGAAATACTTTGACATTCATGATAATATCAATAATATTATCACTTATTTAAATAATTGCTAGCATAATATAAATAAGAGTTAACTTGCCAGATGGATATGATGTAAAATTTAATCATAAAATTATTCTAGATTTCTTTTTTAGCTAATCTAATAAACTATGAGTATTAAATGGAGATATTTTTCTTGATCATTTTTTCTATGTCTTTACATGAAGTAAAGCTCCAATTAAATTAATTAGAGTTTTCAATCATTTTATATAGCTCCAATATTACTTTAAGCAGTATCAGCTATGAGCTGTTTTTTAATTACTTGGAAAGCTTGGGAAAAAAATATAAAATTTTAATTTCTGCCTTGTTGTCAAGGTTTTTGTCATTTTATAAGTTTTTTCTTGATAATTAGTAAATATTGCTTTAATCCATAGGTTTATTGAGTTATTTCAGCCTATTTTTTTTATATGAATTTCATTCTTATTCAATGCTCAATTCAGCATTTATTTTATATCCAATAATAATTAGGAATATTAGATTAAATATTATTGAGAGATTTAGTATAATTTATATTTTTGGGTTTTTTTCAACAAAGACATTTTATTTTGTATTCATATTAGATTAATAGTTAGTTTTATTGTAGAGGTTACTCAGAAAATTAAATGAGTTTTTAACCAAAATACTTAATGGTTATATTATATTTAATCATTTATTTGACATCGATTGCTCTTTTGTTAATTTAAAAAATATTTGGCTCAAGATCTTTAATATGCATGAATCGACGCATGGTTAATCCCATATAACAATTGGATGATTAAAATATTGCTTAAGATGATGAATAAAAATAAGGAGATAATAATTTTTTTAAAATTGACAACATAGTTGTAGAAGATTTTGAAGCATGTTCAATATGCCTTAATCCTCTAAATTCAAATCAAACTCTAAATGATTCATTATCTCAGTCTTTTATTGAAGGACCCCTAATCTAAACTCCATGTAATCATATATTTCATTTAAAATGCTTTAAGCAATACATTTAATCAAGAATAAACTTTTAATAAAACAATTGTCCTATTTGCAGACAATTATTGCCATAATTCAAATGATTATTATGATTAGATATATTTAATTATTGTTAGCAATAAAAGACCTTAAATTTAATTTATTTTTAGAATATAATTTGAAAAATAAAAAAGTTAATAGGAAATGAAACTACTATAAAAGGAATAAACAATTTAATTAATACACTTTTCTTTCTATAAATTATTTCATTCAAACTCCAGAATATTGTTTTTTATATGATCTTATATAATTACAATTATCCAAAATTTCTTCATAGTTTTATTCAATCAAATTGATATGAGTTCAATCATAGGTTTAGTTAGAATAGTATTAAACTCATTNGTCATTTTATAAGTTTTTTCTTGATAATTAGTAAATATTGCTTTAATCCATAGGTTTATTGAGTTATTTCAGCCTATTTTTTTTATATGAATTTCATTCTTATTCAATGCTCAATTCAGCATTTATTTTATATCCAATAATAATTAGGAATATTAGATTAAATATTATTGAGAGATTTAGTATAATTTATATTTTTGGGTTTTTTTCAACAAAGACATTTTATTTTGTATTCATATTAGATTAATAGTTAGTTTTATTGTAGAGGTTACTCAGAAAATTAAATGAGTTTTTAACCAAAATACTTAATGGTTATATTATATTTAATCATTTATTTGACATCGATTGCTCTTTTGTTAATTTAAAAAATATTTGGCTCAAGATCTTTAATATGCATGAATCGACGCATGGTTAATCCCATATAACAATTGGATGATTAAAATATTGCTTAAGATGATGAATAAAAATAAGGAGATAATAATTTTTTTAAAATTGACAACATAGTTGTAGAAGATTTTGAAGCATGTTCAATATGCCTTAATCCTCTAAATTCAAATCAAACTCTAAATGATTCATTATCTCAGTCTTTTATTGAAGGACCCCTAATCTAAACTCCATGTAATCATATATTTCATTTAAAATGCTTTAAGCAATACATTTAATCAAGAATAAACTTTTAATAAAACAATTGTCCTATTTGCAGACAATTATTGCCATAATTCAAATGATTATTATGATTAGATATATTTAATTATTGTTAGCAATAAAAGACCTTAAATTTAATTTATTTTTAGAATATAATTTGAAAAATAAAAAAGTTAATAGGAAATGAAACTACTATAAAAGGAATAAACAATTTAATTAATACACTTTTCTTTCTATAAATTATTTCATTCAAACTCCAGAATATTGTTTTTTATATGATCTTATATAATTACAATTATCCAAAATTTCTTCATAGTTTTATTCAATCAAATTGATATGAGTTCAATCATAGGTTTAGTTAGAATAGTATTAAACTCATTCGAATAAAGAGTTATATATTATCAATAATGATATAGTTGGATTTGAAGTTCGATGTATAAATATAAGATTAATAAAAGATAAGAAATTTATAGTGACAATAATAGACAGGAATATTATCAACGATTCAAGCAACAGCAAGTTCTTTATTATAAAGTTTTCCCATAGTTAAGAGTAATTCTTAAATCTAAAATTTATTTTTATAAGATGAATAATTTTATTTTTGATATATGCCTGGACTTTTGATAAAATATATAGAAAAAAATTGAGATATAAGAATTATATATTTATAAAGAAAGAGAACAATAAATTAGTGAATAAAGATATCTGAATATATAAATAATATGCTAGGATTTTTTTCGAATTGCAATTAATTGCAGAAAGACAGGGAAATAATAATGATGACAACAATTAGTAACATCATAAGTTTTCTAACATTCATGAATAGTTTGTTTCTAATTAGGATGTAGTAATAGATTATCATGAACTTCCTCTATTTTTAAGTTTTGTATAGAACAAAAAATGAAGATGATTATAAGAATTGAAGAGATGAAATAAATAAGAATATTTATGGCTAGATAATATAAATATGATGGTGAATGGATTAATAATAATGTTGGGAATGGTTAATTTTATAATGTGGATGATAATTCATATAGAGGAGACTTAGGCATTTGATAATGCTAATATAGCTCATTTATGTAATTTATTTCCAGATGTATAATGAAAAAGAAGATTAGATTTTTAATGATTGGAAATATTTTTGTGCTTTAGAAAATAATAGTTATGTTTATTTCTAGAAATTAAATTGAATAATTACTTATGGTCATCGGGAAAATGTAAATATTAGTATTATAAATTGCCATGAGAATTAAATAGATTTGGAAAGCCAAAATCTTTCTTCAATTTTTGATTTGAATTAAAAGATTAAATTATGCTTTTATAAAATGCAATAAGGCTACGAAATTACAGGAAATTTATTCAATTAATATTAGATAATAGGTTGTAAATTCGCTTTTGGGATTTGTGTTTCAAAGAATGTAAATAATATTATGACTAAAGTAACTTTTAAGTTAGATATGGATATAAAATAGTGTTGAAAATAATTTTAAACTAATGTAGTTTAATGATTTTGTTTTGAATAATATTACTTGAATAAAAATACTTTTTGCCCTCAATTTAGATTGCAACAATCTAAACTTCATTTAAAATAGCACAATAGGCGACATAATGTGCAAATTAAAGAGTGCATCTTGTTCTGATTATAGAAGTTGTTATAATTTTCTTTTGGAAAGCTTTAAGGGTCAAAAAAAATAATGAGAGATAAAAAACTACAAAAGATATCAAGATTTATCTTCATGCACAATGAATTAGATTTAAGCACTTTATTTTTGGAATAATTAAATTATGTAGAGAGTTTGAAAGTATTATAGGGAAATTAAATTTATCATAATTAATGTTAAGATATTTTATGTTTATTATGAATATAAAGTTCAAAGTCTTTTCAATCTTCTATGTGATATTAATTTATAAACTTTATTATCATCATCCTTATAACAAATTTATAAAATTTAACCGATCTTACTGGTCTCTAATCTAATTATGCTTTAGTTATTACTCTTAATAATCTTTCTGCTTTCGCCAGGCTTGCTGTATTTTGAGTTTAACCTCATGCTTAATTTAATCCTAATTGAAAATACTGTTATTTCTAAACTTGTTATGATTAAAGCATCAAAAACTATGTCTGCATCTAACATAAATGTAGTTTCTCTTATATGATTTACAGATAGAAAACTAAGAGTCGTTCAAATTTTACCTCATTTCTATTGTTTATTAAAAGAAGTCCACATCTAGTTGCTTACTTTACCAAAATCTTAGAATTATTATTATGGATGTTTCTGTAATATATTATTAAATATAAATACTAATAAGTATAAAATATAATTCTCTAAATAATTAATAATATAATTATTATTTAATATGTTCCATATTATAAAATTTTCATTATTATTTCATTTTTAATAGACTTTCATTACCTCCTTCCCATTTTATTCCAAAGCTATATTCATCAAGTTCTGCATATTCATACTTATTTTAATGAACACTGGTCCATTTATATCCAGAATTACTGAATTTTTTGGTTGATGTACTCTAAGATTTTCTTATACTACCACTAAATTATATTGGGTGATGATATATATATGTTATGTATTCTCCAAAAGGATCAAAGTAAAGGGTCATGTGTTTTAGAATCACAATAGAGTCCTTAATTTATTTAATTCTAAAGTCTATTTAAATATATTTACTGTTTTTCAATTGGAATTACTTATGATTTTTATTTTTATTGCTATTAAGATTTTTAATTTGGCTCTATTTGTTAATGTGGCGACAATGGTTGCTGATCAAATTAAAGTGCCTAATTGACATTAACTTAACCTGGAGAATCTTATTGTGGATTTTAATTATTAAAGTTCGTATTAGGACTATTTTATATTAATTATTAATTAATATAAATATTATTATTTAGTTATTATTAATCAGCATCTAATGATCCATGTTTTTATGATATTTATTATGATTATTATTGTGTTTAATGTTGTGATTATGATAGTGTTTATTATGATTATTATTCTGCTTATTTTGATTATTATTGTGTTTATTGTTATTATTCTTATTGTGTATATTGTTGTTATTATGATAGTGTTTATTGATATTATTATTATTCTGCTTATTTTGATTATTATTGTGTATATTGTTGTTATTCTTATTGTGTATATTGTTGTTATTATGATAGCGTTTATTGATATTATTATTATTCTGCTTATTTTGATTATTATTGTGTATATTGTTGTTATTATGTTAGTGTTTATTGATATTATTATTCTGCTTATTTTTATTATTATTGTGTTTATTGTTAGTATTATTATTGGGGATATTGTAGTTATTATTATAGTGTTTATTGTTATTAATATTATTCTGTTTATTTTTATTATTATTGTGTTTAATGTTATTATTCTTATTGTGTATATTGTTGTTATTATGATAGTGTTTATTGATATTATTATTATTCTGCTTATTTTGATTATTATTGTGTATATTGTTGTTATTACGTTAGTGTTTATTGATATTATTATTCTGCTTATTTTTATTATTATTGTGTTTATTGTTATTATTATTATTGTGTATATTGTTGTTATTATGATAGTGTTTATTGATATTATTATTATTCTACTTATTTTGATTATTATTGTGCATATTGTTGTTATTATGTTAGTGTTTATTGATATTATTATTCTTCTTATTTTTATTATTATGGTGTATATTGTTGTTATTATGTTAGTGTTTATTGATATTATTATTCTTCTTATTTTTATTATTATTGTGGATATTGTTGTTATTATGTTAGTGTTTATTGATATTATTATTCTGCTTATTTTTATTATTAATGTGTTTATTGTTAGTATTATTATTGGGGATATTGTAGTTATTATTATAGTGTTTATTGTTATTAATATTATTCTGCTTATTTTGATTATTATTGTGTTTATTGTTAGTATTATTATTGGGGATATTGTAGTTATTATTATAGTGTTTATTGTTATTAATATTATTCTGCTTATTTTGATTATTATTGTGTTTATAGTTAGTATTATTATTGGGGATATTGTAGTTATTATTATAGTGTTTATTGTTATTATTATTATTCTGCTTATTTTGATTATTATTGTGTTTATTGTTATTATTATTATTGGGGATATTGTAGTTATTATGATGGGGTTTATTGATATTATTATTATTCTACTTATTTTGATTATTATTGTGTATATTGTTGTTATTATGTTAGTGTTTATTGATATTATTATTCTTCTTATTTTTATTATTATTGTGGATATTGTTGTTATTATGTTAGTGTTTATTGATATTATTATTCTGCTTATTTTTATTATTATTGTGTTTATTGTTAGTATTATTATTGGGGATATTGTAGTTATTATGATGGGGTTTATTGATATTATTATTATTCTGCTTATTTTGATTATTATTGTGTATATTGTTGTTATTATGTTAGTGTTTATTGATATTATTATTCTTCTTATTATTATTATTATTGTGTATATTATTGTTATTATGATAGTGTTTTTTGTTATTATTATTATTCTGCTTATTTTGATTATTATTGTGTTTATTGTTAGTATTATTATTGGGGATATTGTAGTTATTATTATAGTGTTTATTGTTATTAATATTATTCTGCTTATTTTGATTATTAATGTGTTTATTGTGAGTATTATTATTGGGTTTATTTTAGTTCTTTAGATTTTGTATATTGTTATTATTATTATTGTATTTATTGTAATTATTATTAATCATTCTAATTGTATATTGGATTATTATATTAAATTGGTTACAATTACTCATTATAAAAAACAACCATATTTAAACAAGGATAATTCATAAAGTTTCCTATTTATAAATTTTCATTATCAGTCAATAGTTTTGATTCGTGATCATATAATACAAATGAATTCGCTGTTAGATTATATTATTTTATCAATTATATTAAATACTTTTATATATTTTGATAATTACCTATCCTAACTATAAATATGGATCTACATATTACTCACTAATTGGTGTTTGTTAATCACCTTCACCTTAATAAGTTCTTATAAGCACACCTTACTAAGGAACAATTTAATTATTAAAAACAACCATATTTAAATAAGGATAATTCATAAAGTTTCCTATTTAAAAATTTTCATTATCAGTCAATAGTGTTGATTCATGATCATATAATAAAAATGAATTCGCTGTTAGATTATATTATTGTATCAATTATATTAAATACTTTTATATATTTTGATAATTACCTATCCTAAGTATAAATATGGATCTACATATTACTCACTAATTGGTGTTTGTTAATCACCTTCACCTTAATAAGTTCTTATAAGCACACCTTACTAAGGAACAATTTAATTATTAAAAACAACCATATTTAAATAAGGATAATTCATAAAGTTTCCTATTTAAAAATTTTCATTATCAGTCAATAGTTTTGATTCGTGATCATATAATACAAATGAATTCGCTGTTAGATTATATTATTTTATCAATTATATTAAATACTTTTATATATTTTGATAATTACCTATCCTAAGTATAAATATGGATCTACATATTACTCACTAATTGGTGTTTGTTAATCACCTTCACCTTAATAAGTTCTTATAAGCACACCTTACTAAGGAACAATTTAATTATTAAAAACAACCATATTTAAATAAGGATAATTCATAAAGTTTCCTATTTAAAAATTTTCATTATCAGTCAATAGTGTTGATTCATGATCATATAATAAAAATGAATTCGCTGTTAGATTATATTATTGTATCAATTATATTAAATACTTTTATATATTTTGATAATTACCTATCCTAAGTATAAATATGGATCTACATATTACTCACTAATTGGTGTTTGTTAATCACCTTCACCTTAATAAGTTCTTATAAGCACACCTTAAGACACATGTTCATCTTAAGGACTGAGTTAACCTTATTAATTTAAAAATATATAGAATTATGCATTTGCATCATGAAATGGTCTTAAATCATCGTTAGGATTAATAAATCCCTACTTTAAATCAGGAAATTTATATCCAATTTAGAATTTTGTATTCTCAAAATAATTTTAAGCCAAATAATTAAACATTTCTTATGCTTTAGCCGATTAATCCATAGTCTGAAAATGAATAGGTTATTCTTGTTAAAAATTTACAGCTTAAAGCATAAATTTCATCTTAAAAATAAATTTATTAATGTTATTTTATCATACTAATAGCGATTTATCTATTTATTTGTAATTCTATTAATCTAACTTTCTAAATTTTATTAACAATTTTTAGAATCGAGGAAGATAAAATTTGCCTTAATGAATTATTTTAAGGAAGTTTTGAATGAAGCTGACAAAAAAACTCAAAGAAATGATATTAACAAATGAATAAAATATATAATAAATGATGTTATCTAATCTATATTTTAGATATTTCGAAATGATAATCTCTTTTAAAGTTCAATTTAAAAATAGATTATGAAATCATATTGTTCTATTGACAATTGCTAAGTTTTTGTTCATATATCTCAATTACAATATTAGTTTATCACTTCATCCAATCATTATCTTTAATACTTAATTAACAGAAATTGAATCAAAGAAACCAAATAAAGCGATTGTCCATCATATCCTAAAATTCTAGTTTGCTTACTGGTTTCAATAGCGCATGGCATAGATTTGGTCATCACGATACATGAAATCAAAAAATTTAATTATCAGTTTACGATATATGAATTTAACTTAAATTTAGTTAAGATTTTATGACACGACAACCTAAAGTGATTATTAACTTAAATCAATTTAATAGTTGTTGAATAATATTAGTCATGCCATGTTTATAATTATGAGCGAGATTTAGAAGATTCATCATAAATATAATCTGCTATATTTTATCAAATCTAATAAATATTTCTATAATCCTTCATGTATACTTATTAACTACTAAAATATCTTTTCATTATAAGTAATAGTAAAAACTATAATTCATTTGTTCAAGAGGAACTGAAAATTATTGTTTGACAGTTATACTATAAAAATATAGAATTGCTAATGATCAATCATTAAAATTTAATAAGTAGAGAGATAAATTTATTTTAGTTTAAAAAATTCGCGATTAGCTACTGAGGTCAAAAATCATTATTAGTAATTAACAAGGCTCAGCTAGGCTAAATTAATAGAAAAAAATACAAAAAGAATTAAAGCACATGCAATTCATATTTTTATAATTTGAGTTGTTTTTAGTATAAATTTTTTTCTTATGTGTCTTAATAAAATAGTGTTTTAATATATAATAATAATTTATCAAACTCTAATTTTATTTCATCTTGACTTGTTAATTTCTTATTCTGAAAATTATGATTTTATTTCTTTCTACTTACTCTTTATTTCGATTAAATTCAATTTTCTTATTCTGAATAACTTATCTATTCATTTTTTAGTGTCTTTAATCATTATCAAATATTCAAGATCTTTGTTTGATAGCAATTATATTTTTTTTTATCACTATATATCTGTTATATCAATTTATTAAATCAATAAATTATTAGAGAGAACAAAGAGTTTAATCCCCAGTTAAATGATAAAATTAAAGAAAATAAATTATTGAGAGTCTATATTATGAAATAAAAAATTCATATCAATAAATTAAAAGGAACTGAATATGAAGTTTATATTTCGTGTTAAATATATAAATTATAATATTATGAATTAACATAAATATAATCTGTATTTTTAAATTCCTCTATGTGTTTAATTGAAATGATTAATAATGGAAAATTAAATACAAATTTATTAAGACTGTAAAAATTTTCTTTGTTTAAAAATTAATAATTTTTTGAATTTTGAAAAAAAAAATCAGTTGCTCCCAATATACTTTTATTAATTAATTATATATTTTAAGATATTATTAATATGCTTTTTGCCTTTATAAACATTTCATTACTGTCTTATAACCTAGTCATATGAAAGGTTTTTTTGGATATGGAGAAGTTTTAAAATTAATTAAGAAATATTATTAATCTTGTATGTGTTATAAGAAAACTCTAGAAATTGATTAAGGAAATATGGAAGCTATGAAATTGAAATGTAAAAATTTAATTAAAAAAAAATTTAAGATGAAGTTGAAAATTGTATTTCATAATTGTAGAGTTTATAAAGTACTAGATTAAATTTAGATAAATATTATATTTACTCAGTTTTTTAGATTATATTTTTTAGAAAAGTTTTAATGGTTTTAATCTTATTTTTTAATTCATTTCTAATAATAAATTATAAAAGTATATTTTAGAGAAGAGATAATAGTATTTTGTGTTTTGAAGTGTTTAAATTAATTGTTTTTTTAATTTCAAATAGAATTAAAGTATTTTTAATTTCTATTTTATTAATAAAATAATCTAATAAAATTTACCATTTTATTTATGGAACTTAATTTGAAGACCCTTATAACAGAGCTAAAACAACATAACTTTATCTTTAAGAAATAGAAACTCTATACAAGATACCATAATTGTTTTGTAATATATATTGTAAGTAGAGTAATGTGATTGGCCAAACAACAACTTGATATAGTAAGGGTAGGGTTGGGTGAAATACCAGTTGTAGACCAAAACTTTTTGAGGATCTATGCTAAGAATGATTAGTTAATATTTTTCTTTTCAAGTTAAGGCATTGATTTTATTAAAATTTAATCAGCTGACTATTTTGGAAAAATTGTCAGTTTTTTTTTAATAATATTTTTTGTCGAATATTGTAATTTAAAAATGCACAATCTTACATGATTTAAATAATCTACAATATGAAATTTTCATTACAGCTACTCAAGTTAAGCTAGAATCTTAACAAATATCACAGAGAATACCATATGTAAATTTCTTACTAGTAAAATACATTAACAAAATTAATAAGGTTTTTGATTCAAGAAAGAATATCAAATAAATTATTATGATAAACCACAAGTAATAAATTTTTATAATTAAGTTATCCCAGAATGAAATTCAAGATTAAAAAATTTGACTTGCAATTTTAATACATACTATCTTCTTATTTTTTAAAATTAAGTTAAGTAGGATCATCTATTTAATTGTTCTATCAGCTGAGTATCAAGTTAAAAATTAGTTTAAGTAATAAGGCGTTGATTTAGATTTCTCAAATTCAATTTTAGTTCTTATGAATTTTTTAATATTTTTAGCTTTATTTAGTAAGATTTTAGTAATTCTTCATTATTTAAAAAATGATTCATAGCAACACATAAAAGTCTTAGCTTTACAATATTATAGAATGAGAGTTTTAATAATAGAATAATTATAAACAGAATTTTGTTGAATCTTTAAAATTATTAATTAAAATAATACTAAAAAATTGGAAAATCTACTTGAAATGAGGAGATTCTTCAAGAAATTGAGAAAACGATTGGTTAATATACATTGTAATGATTTTTATATGAATCAATCACACTTTTTAAAAATATTTCAGCATCATTTTAGCATTATAAATTAATCTATTTGCTTTTAGGTTTTTTATTAATGATCCAGCATACTTAGTGCTTACTCTAAAAATTGAAATAGAAATTAAGAATTACATTTCTTAATTTTAGCATGTTCCGTATTAGGATTAAGTTCAATAGTTTTATCGTAATATACAATTGCTTCCTCATATCTTTCTATCGTGCATAACGCATTACCTAGAAAAGAGGAATTAAAAATTTTTTACCTAAGTTTAAATAAGCTTCTTCTTTTTTTAATTAAATTGATTTTTCATAACATTTAATAGCTTCTTCATATCGTTCTATATGTCGTAATGCTAAACCTATAAAAAAATATAAAAAACTTTTTTACCTTTGATATAATAAACTTCTTCATTTCTAGGATTTATTTCAATTAATTTATTATAGCATTCAATTGTTTCTTCATATCGTTTTACATTTATTAATGCATTTCCTAAAAAAATGAAAGGAAAAGCTATTTTACCTTTGTTATAATAAGCTAATTCCCTTTAAGGATTTATCTCAATCTATTTATCATAACATACAATAGCTTCTTCATATCTTTACATCATGTATAATGCATTGCCTAGAAAGATGGATGTAAAATACCTTTCTTCATTTAAGCTTCATCCATTTAAGGATTTATTTCAATTGAATTATCAAAACATAAAATCGCTTCCTCATATCGTTATAACTTAAATAATGAATTGCCTAGATTTAAGTAACAGAAACACGATGTTACCTTTTTTGTAATGGGCTTCTCCCATTTTAGGATTTATTTTAATTAATTTATCATAAAATTCAATTGCTTCCATGTATCGTTTTATGTTGTGTAATGAAATGGCTTGAAATAAAGAAATATAAAATATGTTACCTATATAGTAATATGGCAATTCATAACTAGAATTAAGTCCAATTAATTTATTATAACATTCAATTGCTTCTTCATATCGTTCTAAAATTCTTAATGCGTTGCCTTGAAAAGATGAATAGAAAAATTATGTTACCTTTGTTGTAATAAGCTAATTCCATTTAAGGATTAATTTCAATAGATTTATCATAATATTAAATAGCTTCGACATATCGTTCTATGTTGTGTAGTGAAATAGCTTGAAAAGAAGAATATAAAAATATGTTACCTAAGTAGTAATATGCTAATTCATAACTAGGATTAAGTTCAATGAATTTAATATAACATTCAATTGCTTCTTCATATCGTTCTATAATTCTTAATGCGTTGCCTTAAAAATATGAATAGAAATTATGTTACCTTTTTTGTAATAGGCTTCTTCTTATAATGGTTTTATTTCAATTAATTTATCATAACATTCAATTGCATTGTCATATTGTTTTATAATACTTAATGCGTTGCCTTGAAAAGATGAATAGAAAAATTATGTTACCTTTGTTGTAATAAGCTAATTCCATTTAAGGATTAATTTCAATAGATTTATCATAATATTAAATAGCTTCGACATATCGTTCTATGTTGTGTAGTGAAATAGCTTGAAAAGAAGAATATAAAAATATGTTACCTAAGTAGTAATATGCTAATTCATAACTAGGATTAAGTTCAATGAATTTAATATAACATTCAATTGCTTCTTCATATCGTTCTATAATTCTTAATGCGTTGCCTTGAAAATATGAATAAAAAAATTATGTTACCTTTGTTGTAATAGGCCGCTTCTATTAAAGGATTTATTGCAATTAATTTGTCATAACATTCAATTGCATTTTCATATCGTTTTAGAATATTTAATGCGTTGCCTTGAAAAGATGATTAATTAATTATATTACCTTTGTTGTAATAAGCTAATTCCATTTAAGGATTAATTTCAATAGATTTATCATAACATCCTATGGCTTCTTCATATTTTTACAACGTGTATAATGTATTGCCTAGAAAGATGGATTGAAAATACCTTTATTCATATGGGCTTCTACCATTCTTGGATTTATTTAAATTGATTTATCATACCATTCAATTGCTTCGACATATCGTTCTATGTTGTGTAGTGAAATAGCTTGAAAAGAAGAATATAAAAATATGTTACCTAAGTAGTAATATGTTAATTCATTACTAGGATTAAGTTCAATTAATTTATTATAACATTCAATTGCTTCTTCATATCGTTCTATATTTCTTAATGCGTTGCCTTAAAAAGATGAATAGATAAATTATGTTACCTTTTTTGTAATAGGCTTCTTATTATAATGGTTTTATTTCAATTAATTTATCATAACATTCAATTGCATCGTCATATCGTTTTATTATACTTAATGCGTTGCCTTGAAAAGATGATTAATAAACTTAATTACCTTTGTTGTAATAAGCTAATTCTATTTAAGAATTATTTTCAATTGATTTTTCATAATATTAAATAGCTTCGACATATCGTTCAATGTTGTGTAGTGAAATAGCTTGAAAAGAAGAATATAAAAATATGTTACCTATTTAGTAATATGCTAATTCATAACTAGGATGAAGTTCAATTAATTTATTATAACATTCAATTGCTTCTTCATATCGTTCTATATTTCTTAATGCGTTGCCTTGAAATGATGAATAGAAAAATTATGTTACCTTTGTTGTAATAGGCCTCTTCTATTTAAGGATTTATTTCAATTAATTTATCATAACATTAGATTGCTTCTTCATATCGTTCTAAAACATGTAATGCGTTGCCTTGAAAAGATGAATAGAAAAACTATGTTACCTTTGTTTTAATAGGCTTCTTCTATTAAAGGATTTATTTCAATTAATTTATCATAACATTGGATTGCTTCGTCATATCGTTTTAGAATACTTAATGCGTTGCCTTGAAAAGATGATTAATAAACTATATTACCTTTGTTGTAATAAGCTAATTCTATTTAAGAATTATTTTCAATTGATTTTTCATAATATTGAATAGCTTCAACAAATCGTTCTATGTTGTGTAGTGAAATAGCTTGAAAAGAAGAATATAAAAATATGTTACCTATTTAGTAATATGCTAATTCATAACTAGGATTAAGTTTAATTAATTAATAATAACATTCGATTGCTTCTTCATATCGTTCTATGATTCTTAATGTATTGCCTAAAAAGATAAATAGGAAAACCATGTGACCTTTGTTGTAATAAGCTAATTCCATTTAAGGATTAATTTCAATCGATTTATCATAACATTCTAGGGATTCTTCATATCTTTTCATCTTGTATAATGCATTCCCTTGAAAGATGGATTTAAAATACCTTTACTCAAATAAGCTTCTGCCATTCTTGGATTTATTTCAATTAATTTATCATAACATTCAATTGCTTAGTCATATCGTTCTATAAAATCTAATGTATTGCCTAAAAAGATAAATAGGAAAACCATGTGACCTTTGTTGTAATAAGCTAATTCCATTTAAGGATTAATTTTAATCGATTTATCATAACATTCAAGGGATTCTTCATATCTTTTCATCTTGTATAATGCATTCCCTTGAAAGATGGATTTAAAATACCTTTACTCAAATAAGCTTCTGCCATTCTTGGATTTATTTCAATTAATTTATCATAACATTCAACTGCTTAGTCATATCGTTCTATAAAATCTAATGTATTGCCTAAAAAGATAAATAGGAAAACCATGTGACCTTTGTTGTAATAAGCTAATTCCATTTAAGGATTAATTTCAATCGATTTATCATAACATCCTATAGCTTCTTCAAATCTTTACATCGTGTATAATGCATTGCCTAGAAAGATGGATTTAAAATACCTTTACTTAAATAGGCTACTACCATTCTTGGATTTATTTCAATTAATTTATCATAACATTCAACTGCTTAGTCATATCGTTCTATAAAATCTAATGTATTGCCTAAAAAGATGAATAGAGAAATATGTTACCTTTGTTGTAATGAGCTTCTTCCATAATAGGATTAATCTCAATAGATTTATCATAACATCCTATAGCTTCTTCATATTGTTTCATCTAATTTAATTGATTTCCTTATCATTATTATGTTTTCTACCTTTTCTAAAATAAATTTGGTCCATTTTATCATTGATTACTTTAACTTAATCAATCAAATATAAACTTTTTTCAAATCGCCGTTAATTAATTATATGTTTTCCTAAAATTTAAATTATCAAATAACTTTATTTAAATACTTCATGATCGTTTTGTTCTTATTATTATCTCAATAGATCTTCATGTAATTATGTCTTATATTCCATAGCATAAATAACATTATTGATCATTTTTAATATGTTATCTATTATATTAATATTTACAATTTTTACTTTAATTAATGTTATAAGTATCATTTTTATACATTCTCATCAGTATTACATTTTACATACAATTATAATAATTATTTTGTTAAACATTAACTTAAAGTTCCAATATGATTTTTTCATGTTTATCCATTTCTGTTTTTATAATTTTTTATAATGTATTTAAGCTCTTATTTTTTTCTGTAAATATATTTTCTACAATTTTGCTTCTAATTTTTTAAATATTTCTCTAATATAATTGCTCAATTCTTCTATTAATCTCTTAAAGCTAAGCTTTATTTTCATTTTGTTTATTTAATATATCTAAAACACATTTCTCTATTTCATTATTTTCAATGCAATCCTCTGAATGATCCTTATGATGAGTGTTTAAGCACTTTAAACAGAATAGAGAATGCTTACAATTTGCTTTTAAGCAAAATCCCAAGATTCGTTCAGTTTCATGACCCACTTAGGTACATTTAAAATCGTATTCTTTATTCATTTGTTGTGGCTTTTATTTTTTTTATTAATGATTTTACATAACTTTAAATTTGCGTATTTAATCAATTAAATATATATAATAGATGAACACCCTTAAGAATACGAGTTTGATAGATGGAAATTGTCTAAGATGCAACTTGCATGGATCTGAATTAGTAAATGTAAATTTAAGTGGAGTGAACCTAATAGGAGTTCGCTACTAAAAAATTGTCTTTGAAAGAACATTAAAATCGACTAATTTAACAAATGGATGGTCATACTAATAATGTCTACTACCTTTTAGCCGGATAGAATTTTAAAAATCCAAAATTATAACAATGTATGAAACTGCTGATGGTGTCATAATTGTTTTGATTCAAAGAAATACAACTATTCCAACTAAGAAATCATAAACTTTCACAAATAATGCTGATAATCAACCAGGTGTCTTAATTTAAGGTTATAAATTGAAAGATTAATGATAAAAGATTGCAATAAATTAGGTTAATTCAATTTAGATAGTATTACTCCATCTCCAAGAGTAGTTCCTAATTTGAAGTCTCTTCTAATCTTGACAAAAATGTAATGAACATTCATGGTGAAGAAAAGGCTACTGAGAAATCAAATAAAATTACAATTAATTACGAGATAAAGGTTGATTAACAATAGATTAAGTTGATTGATTTTTATCTGAAAGTCTAAATTAAAACTACAAGTCCAATATTAAATATTGCACTATTTAAATTTAATTAAATTTTATTTGAGAATAAAAAATATTGAACCTAAAATCTAATATTTTCTTAAGAAATTAGTTTTCTAAAATATTTAGGATGCAATAATCAAAATTCATGAAGAAAACAAAAACAGAGCTTAAAACTTTGCATCTAATAATATCCTATAGCTATAATTTCAGCCTCCTTTTGATCAATATCAACTCTTCAAGTTTGATAAATAATAAAAAATGAATCAATAACAAATCAAATTCTCATTAATGTATTAATCTTTTTGAAGTCTTATATCAAGGAAAATCAATCACTTTAATTATAAAATCCTCAACAGTATTAAATACTGTAACTTTACTAGCCAATATTTATTAATAATAAGTAAATGGAATAGTTCTCTAATAACCTTTAATACTTAACGTATAAATATGATTAATTTTATACTCCATAAGTTTCGACTTAATACTTTAGTATTTCTTTAATTTCTCTTTTTTATTTAACGCTCATTTACAAATATTAGCTATAAGCCAGAAATCACTCCTATTAGATTGCAATTTTATTATTTATGCAGGTAATGAATTTTAATGAAGATCTGCTAAATTATTAAATCGATTTTGAAATATTAATTAGCTTCTTCCAAAAATTGCTTTGAAAATAAGCCAAGATTTACAAAGTAAACCCACCCTAAATTAATTTTAATTTTTAATAAATTATTTATAGAGTGTAAAATTTTATCGACATGAGAAAGTATGAAAAGTTTCTTGGACACAAGCTCGAAAAAGTTGGCTCGTTATTTTATATAATCATCTTCTAGAAATTTCATTAATTATGATTCAGATTTCTTTTTATTTTAATAAAACTCTCATTTTACCAGTACTTCGTTTTGAGTGCAGATGTTTAAATAAAACCATTATACAATCAGATTACCTTGATATTAGAATATACTCACATCAAGGCGATTACAATGCTAATTCAACAACAACAAGGATGAGGCTATTAATACTTAGGATATGTTAGTTTTCAGTATAAATTTAGCCTCTTATTGCATGCAATCAGTCAAGTTTCACAAGGATACTGTACAATATATCCTTCTATATTAATTTTTATATTCTGTGAGCACTTATTCTGGAAATAAGAAATATTAAGTCTCTTAATGATTTAAGTAAATTTAAGAATAAGGAATTTTACAATTAATAATTAATATAGTTAATTCAAAACATTATAAAGTGTAGTTTTGAGGTTGCAACCAAATTTCTGCATGAAACCACAATTGATATTTTAATTATGATTGTATGATGTATGATTGATGGGTAAAGAAATTTCTAATGCAAATTATTCATACTGAGAATTAATGAAAAAATTAATAATACAAATCTTTGGTTAACTCAACTTAACTAAGAAGATATAGTGTACTAATATTTCTGCTGTTTGAGTTGTTTACAATTCTAAACTAACTTAAAAATTCTTTTGTGAAAATAAAGAGACATAAAATCAAAAACTGTAAATTATCATAGATAGTTCCAGTTATATATCTTTGAAAAGAAAATTAGGAAAATTATAAGCTCTCTAAAAAAATTAAAGACATTTAACACTTAAAAATTGTGAATTTTTTTATTAGTAATTTGCTTATATAACATAATATTTATGTTATTCATACAATTAATATATTTATACTAAGATTTAATATGTAAATATAGTTTAAGCCCAAAATATAATATTTTAATTCTTTGCTTTAAATAATAATGATCTTTATATCGATTCAATCAAGAAACCCCAGACACATTCACAATTTAAACAATGCAAATATAGTAAGACTAATTTTTCCAATTCCTATCAGTTCTTAAATTTAATTATTACCCAACTAGACAAATAAATAGTAAAATAAGATATTTAACTCAGGTGAGTTGAAGTTGACCATTACTTAAAATTAGATATTTATACTCTCAATTGAAAGCTTTCAATTTAGAATTATTCCAGTTATTCTCAATGTCTATCTAGTTCTAAACGCTTTCCTAGTAATTTCAATATTGCGCTTCATAATAATAAGTATTTGAATTAGCTTTCTAACCTTCATCGCAAATAAACGAATAAATTATTAATTTATAAAATAAATTAAATAAAGGACTTTATTTTTAGGAATTTATAATTAATATTTTAAATATTTAATTAATAATTAACTATCTTCTTATAATATAAATAAAAAATATTAGTTAATATAAAATAGAAATTAATAAGGATAAACTTATTAATTGTAAAATCCAAGTAGCATAATTTGATATTTATTATGAAAAAATGGTAGGACATTATTGAATATTTATTCAGATTGAATTTTATTTAATAAATCATAATTCAATTTCAGTTTTAAAATATTCTAAATTTATTGTTTCGGTTTTCACTTTAATGTAAAAATAAAATAAAACCAAGCCAATTATTGTAATCAAAGCATATATCCCCCTTTTACTATATTTATCAAATTTAAGAGGGGCAAATCGAATATTATAAGTTCCATTTTAAAATTCGTTTTTACGAAATATAGAAAAATTTATGTTTTTATGAAATTCAATTCAAATGACATGTTTCATTCAAGGTAAAGTTATGATTAAAATATTCATTTATGCCTGTTGAGTAATTATACATATTTTATCCAAAAAGATATAGGGATATTCCATTTTAATATAGATCAGAAATTATTTTTTTAATCGATCTTAGATTTTGTTCATTAGATTCAATTATAATTTATAAAAATGAAAAATTAATTTTTAAATAAATAAATATGATATTATTTGTTTGTGTGTGGGCTGTATTATTAATTTATTGCATAATTAATTCAAATCAATATTGTTGATCATGTCTTTGGCTAAATGTATTATGGTATGGCTCTTTTTTTTACTGAGTCATATTTAGGAAATTTTTTTCAGATGATCAGAAGCTTCTCTGCATTATTTAATTGTTTAGGATTGGTTAAAACAAAGGTTAGATATTTTATCATAATATGCTGAAGAAAATTAAATAATTAGGAATGCTCAAAAGTTCTTAAAAAAGGACCTACGAAATCCTTCCTTATTTAGATGCCTTTTAAAGAATAAATATGTGTTTCATATGTTCCAGACTTCACAACAATAATCTTTATTAAAAATATACTATCTGTAATTTTAATGAATAAATACTTCACAAATGTTTTTCTTAATTTCATTTATTTATAAAAATAAAACATATTAGNAAGCCAAAAAAGAATTTAAGTACTAAGAATGCAGTAAGATATTGAAGTATTCCTCTAGCCTTAACAAAGACATGAGAAGAAGTGCAAACTTCAAAAGCAGAATACACCTCCAGAGCCCTTCTTCCAAATGCCAATTGAATTGCTTGCTAGTACAGCTAGATGAATAAAATATACATAATAAAAAATAAAGAATCATTTTTTATATTTTTTATGATTAATGCAAAATAGTATCTTAATTAAGGTAATTATTGTAATTCTTATTTATACTGCTTGTAATATTTTGATTCTTTATATTTTAAAATTATCGTTTTAACTTCCTAAAAGCAATGTGGCTATGAAGAAACCATAATTACAAACTAGACGATTGGTGCATGCAGTAAAGTCAGAGATGTCATTAATTCTTCCTATCCCATTTCAGAAATAATTGGATTAGACGAAAGGAGGATAAATCCTTTTGAGGCTTTGAGTGTTTCCTGCTACATTTTTACAGCAGAAGGCAAAGAGTGTCATCTTTTTTATCAATAAAAGTATGGATAAAAATTCCAAATTTTTTATTTTCGATTAGATTTTCCAACCTACAATTTCATTTTTTTTTTAATTTTGTTTTCCAAAAATTAGAATTTTATATAATTCAAATCAATATTGTTGATCATGTCTTTGGCTAAATGTATTATGGTATGGCTCTTTTTTTTACTGAGTCATATTTAGGAAATTTTTTTCAGATGATCAGAAGCTTCTCTGCATTATTTAATTGTTTAGGATTGGTTAAAACAAAGGTTAGATATTTTATCATAATATGCTGAAGAAAATTAAATAATTAGGAATGCTCAAAAGTTCTTAAAAAAGGACCTACGAAATCCTTCCTTATTTAGATGCCTTTTAAAGAATAAATATGTGTTTCATATGTTCCAGACTTCACAACAATAATCTTTATTAAAAATATACTATCTGTAATTTTAATGAATAAATACTTCACAAATGTTTTTCTTAATTTCATTTATTTATAAAAATAAAACATATTAGGAAAACAAGAAATCACTGCTCTAATAAAATGAGTAGTTAAATGATTATCAATTATTCTTAGAGTTACGAAGGCAAATCTCTCTTTTTATATTACTATTCTTACAATCAGTTTCTGTCTTTATCTTTTTGTGAACTTGTTTCCTTATGAAATAATTAATTTAAAATATAATACATAAATCAATGAATAATGTTCTAATATCTGGTTCAAAATTAATGTCTAATTTAGCTTATTTATACATGCTAATATTCTAATGGAAACTTCAAAACTATTATTAAAAAATAAGATTTAATATAAAGAATTTCTTTCTGTACTTTTTTTGTACTTATCGCTATATGAATAGTATATTGAGTGGCCTACTTTAGCAAAAAATATTTTTTATTAAAAATGTAATTATTTTATTGATTCTTTCATTTATCCCTAAATATTGTTGATCATGTTCGCTATAAGAGCGTCTATTTATTATGGAGTTTGAAAAAAATTGAGATCCACGGCATATTTTTAATCTAAAAATAAATTTTCAACTTCCTTTTTATAGAAAATCAAATTTACCAAATGCCAATTATTTTAATCCACACTTTAAAATAAAGTTTATTTCATATGTATCAGGAGATTCAAAGTTAATTATATTTTTATATTTTAATAGTCTTATCAATTTACCTACAGATATTATAGTAAAAAAAGAAGCAAGGAGAAAAGAATTAAGAATATTATATAATATTAAAAGTTTGAGCAGCTTTGAAAGTAGTATTGCTTTTGTTTGGCGAATAAATATAATGAAAGAAAGATAATAAAATAAGTCTAATCTGAAAGTATCTATGATTCTTATAGAAAACTAGCCTTTAATTATTTAATTTAGTTCTATCTAAGTATTTAACATTAAATTATTAAATCTAATCTAAATAGATATTTTTCAATATCAATTTAAATTTAGATAATTATACTTAAGAGATGCCTTTATAATAATTTTATAAATTTATTAGCTTACAAAATTTTTTTAACTTTTTTCTCTCTTAATTTCCTTTGAGATGTTGAGATAAAATATAAATACTTTTATCAATTTAGCTTATTTTTTCTAATGTTTAATGCTACTCCTTAAAAATTTAAATCTATATCACTTTTTCTTAATAATATTAATTTATTCACTTTTTATTAAAGTTTTTAGTAATTAGAATTAGGTATAATTTATTCTGAAATATAAACTATCAAAATCTAATAAATTTATAATCAATATAATCCTTAAATAATTTAATAAGTATTAATTAATTAAATAATGTATAAAATATAAACAAAAATTTCCATGGTTTGTCTTAGATTCAAAATCTGTAGGATTTAAAAAAGTTATTTAGATGATTGAAAATAAATTAAAAAAAATCTATAGAAATCTTATAAAATCTAATATTTAGTCTTTTAGGTTATTCTAAACTCAAGTCTTTTATTTGAAAACTTATTTTATTTAATAATTAGATTATTTGATTAAAAATACACAAGTAATTGGATATTAAATCTATAATCAACATGTTTATAATATTCATTAGATAAATATTAATAGTAAAATAATAATCAACTTAGAATGATCAAATAAATTTAATAATTAAATAACAATAATTAATGAAGCTTGGAACACAAAAGTTAATTCAAAACTAGAATTATTCAAATCATTTTAAGAATTTCAGTAATGTAAGTAAATTTTTAATACTCATCTTTATTATTAAGTTTGGTCATTTAAATTTATACAACTATAAATTTTATTATACTTCTTTACTTAATTTTATTAAATGCCCTATTTTTCATTTTTTAATACTTAGCAATTGGGCTTTGAATTTCAAGAGTTTCTTTTATTTTTGTAAACTAAAATAATCAAGAATTAGTATTGAAAGAGATGTTATTAATTCTATCCATAAAATTATCAAATCTATTAAAAAAAGAATTTTAATCTTACAAATGTTATATGAATGAATGCTTTCAAAGATAAAAATACTTCTAGATAACTTCTAAAATAATACTTTTTTATTCAAATTATAAAATAATCATCAAAAATATAATATTTTGAAAATTATGGAAAAAATTTTAAAATAACTTAAAATATCCAAAACTTCCTCACTAGGTATGTTTAGTTGATAAGTAAATTTTTATTCAAAATTCAATAAATAACAAAAACTAAGCCTGTTTTCGTTCGCTATTTTGGATACATGCAGACTATCTATCTAAGAAGGTAGGGAAAATTTTTTTTTTAATTTTATACAACAATAACAAGATAAAAACACTTATAATGGTTAAGTATCAAATATTACGAGCTGAAAAAACTTCTTTTTATAGGTAAACCTCATAAATAGAAAATAGAGTAAAACAAAAGATATTTGAAATTAGGAAAAAAAACGAAAATTTAACAGAAGAAGTGATCTGTTAATCATTAAATTTCAAGAGTTTTTGATAAATTATTAACTTAAACAATTATAATAATAACATTGATTGAATGAAAATAAGTTAAACAATTAAAATATTATATATATTTAATGATTATTTCATGATATTTTATTAATTCATTCCTATGGAAAATCTAATTCCTGTTTTTTTATTTATAATCTATACCATACTATTTTAAATAGAAAACTGCTTTGGAAAATACTAATTACCAAGATTTTTTGAATTAGCTACAACTTTTCTAAATAGAGTAATATTAAAAAAGTATTCCATTAATCATCATTAAGACTTTGTGTATTGTTTAAATTTAAAAAACTGACACCCAAAATTATGTTATAAAAATTTTAAATCTTCCATCTGCCTAAGCAAATTTAATTAATTTTTCATAAGTAGGCTTAGACATTTTTATATTTTTATTTGTATTTATAATTTTTTAGGATTAATTAATATTGATACTTGCCATTTCCTGAGTTCATCGACTGAAATTTGCTATTGAAGGTGGGGAAAACATATTTACAGTCCTTGATTTTACAAAATTAAAATTGGTAGCTTTAAACTAATAATTTAAGAATTATTATTGAATTTATTCTACTTTAGTGTGTTCAATTTTAATTTTAGATCTAATTTGCTTTTTTAATTAATCTTATAATTCACATACTTCACAAACAAATTCTATTTTATTGCACAATATTTAATTTTCTATTGATAAATTCACAATATCCTTGTCTTCAAGAAATTATTTATTTAATTTAATAAAATTGGCTTGTCTTTATCCATACATTCAAGCATTTTCATAATAAGTAATCAAATTATGTGCAAATAGTTTATGAAAATATTCATTTTCTTATGATTAATTTAAGCTTAAATTTATAGAATATTATATTGATTTTTAATCTTATGGGTTAAAGCAATGGATACTAAATTCAATATCTTTTTAATCTTCTTCATTTGAAAATAGAATTTAAAAAAAGTTCTTGATTTTTCTTCAAACTAATTATTGATTCTGGATTTGGAATTATTAAAAAGATGGTTTATACATTAATTTCTAATTTGAAATCTTCTAAATATGAAGTTAATGAATCTTCCAATAAATCAATTACTTTTTCATTAATATCTTCATCTTCTCTAACTATATAGAATTTCCCATTACCTACTTAGCAACTCTTTTTATTAAGTAATAATTGCAATCTTATCCAATTCCTAATTTATAGATTCTAATTTCTGCTTGATTGTTATCCTTAACTAATTTAATTATTGGATCTACATATTTGAATTTTATAATTACTATTATAAATCATTTCTTTTAAAGGTTTGTAAATATTAGTTCCTCCAAAATTTGCAGTCATAATTTCTATATACCGCATAGCATTTTATAATGTATCTTAGGTATATTACTTTGATTTATTGTAAAGAGAGAGATAATTACTGATGCGAATAACAAATTAATAAAAATTTTACAAAAAACATCAAAATTATTAAAATTAGAAATTTGATATTTTTATAAATTTAATATTATTCTGAATATTTATATATATAATTTATTAATATTATTACTATTATTACTTTTATATATATACATATACTTTACTATCCCATAAAGTATTTATTCCCCTAATTCAACTTTCATCTTTGTAACTGCTGCATTTTCATTGATTGAAAATATATATTCAAGGTCTAAAAGTTCATTGAAACTTTCAATAGAATATATTTATTCTAATTCAAGTATTTACAATCTCTTAAGTATTCTTAAATGATAATTAATATTTTGCAATGGTATTATAATATTATTTTTCTATACAAAACTAACAAAAAGTGAAAATGGACTTATTATTTAATTATCTATTTATCTGCTGGTCTATTTCTAAAAGTTAAAATAACTTTTAGGTGTATAAAATTAATTGTTAATCATTTTATTTAATTTATATAAATAAAATCTCACAAAAAATTTGATTATAAAGACTCATATCTGATTATTTCTAATCTTCCATTTCTATCATTGTTATATTATAAATTTAAATAAATACACAAATGATAATCTCCTAATAATAAGTAAAAAAAGAGTAAAAACTTTTAGTAGAATAAATTTAAAACTCTATAATTTTGAATAAGAATATTAGCAGCAACACTTTATTCAATATATATTGAACTATAACAATAATTTAATTAATCATAAAGATTAGAATATAAAAACTAAAATAGAATAAGGAGATTTATAATGAAGTAGAATAAAAATTTACTATTTTAAAATTAAATTTTTTAAAATAAAAAGAATGGTAATTTGAAAAGAATAAATATTATCATATATTATTTTATTTTTTCTAAATTAGTATTACTTCCTTCCCAATATGTGGGTTTTCATAAGTAAGTCATTAATTTATTATAGGATGTAAATGATGAAATTCTATTGAAATATTCGAAGTATAAGGCAAAATCATCTAAATAACAATTAATAAAAAATTTATGAATAACCTAGTGCTATAATTAAATTTGCAGACTCGATATTATCTCAATAAATTTAAATTGTATAGAGAGTTAATAATAAAACTTAAAGATTTCATATCATGATGATTAGAAAGAGGATGAGTCTTAAAATAACTATTTTCTATGTAAATAACATTTAATCAGATATTGCTTATGAGTAATTGTCTATTAATTGAAAAATAATGAAATAAAATTATTTGAACAATAAATCTTAATTGTAAATATGTATATTTATTTTAGCTATAGTTTCGTTGGAAAACTAAAGATTTGGTAGAAATTGATTAATAATTACTATTGAATGTAATGAAATAATTCTAATAAATAATTTTGGGTTTCTGAAGAAAGTAAAATTAGAATTAATTAATTATAATAAGAATATAAAGATTGAAGAAATTGACTCGCGAATTATTAATAATAGATTATTTTAATTAAAAGATGAAAAATTATTCTGGTTAAATGAAAATGTTATACTTTTTATAATTTCAGTACAGCCAAACATTGAGATATCTAAAAAATTTATGAAATTGATGAAAAAAAAAGTTTAATTATATTTTAAAGTGATCATAAATTATTAAAAGGTATTGAAAGTTATTTCATAGTTACAAAGAATTATTTACTTGAATAGAGTTTAGAAAGTTGATAAGATAAGATTACTAATATAGGCTTTAGTTTATAATTGAATTACTAAAATAATTCATCATAAGAAAATTGATTACTTAAAATATGTAAATTTTTTCTAATTAGTAAATTTAAAATAATATGGATATAAATTATTATTATTTTTGATGTTAATATGTGAAATATTAGTCATTCATTTTATCTCAATCTGATAACACTGGCATTGCAACTTGCAGTAACACTCTTATTAATATCTTAGATTGGATGTACTTGACAATGACTTGGTTCTTTAAGTAATTTTTTGTATTTGCAATATAAGGTGATAGAGCAAGCTGAAACACTTACGAATGCAGCTGCTAAGATAATAATAACAATGGCCATAATAGTTGATTAATCATCAAGTTCCATGACAGTGCTAGAAATACATGAGGAATCAGATAAGGAATATCCACTCTTGCAAGTGGCACAAATATTAGGTACAGTGCATTCATTACATTCATCAGGACATTCAGGTTCACAGAGTTTATTATTGATATTTCTAAAGTAACCTTAAGGACATTCAGTTTCGATGCATGCATCATTACTATTTAATTGATAGCCATTTTTGCAAACCTAACAAGTCCAAGGAATTTCACATGAATCACAGAATGCTCCACAATCCATAATACATTAATTATTAATATCTAAATAAAAGCCATATTGACATTTTAGACAGACAAGTGGGGATTAACAACTTTGACATTGATAACTGCAAAGATCAGTGGAAGAAGATGAGTCTGTTATTAATGTACCATATTTATTGTACTTTTACATAAAAATACCATCTCCAAGAATAGTTCCATCAGAATCAATATTTTTGGCAGTCCAAGTCACAGCAAATTAATTTTCATTGATTATTTAAATTCTTGGAGTTTAAGGATAAATTCCTTCAATTTCTACTTCTGTTATTTATGTACTGGATATTCCTAGAGAATCAAAGATTTAAAATTGGAGTCCAATAGATTTATAATTATTATCAGTAATTTTCCAAGCAATTATAAATCCTTCATTGAATGATTGAATATCTGGAGTTAATGATGCAATCTAGATATCACCAACACTTTTAACCTCACTTCTTGTTTTTAAATCTTTAGAAATTAGTTAATAATTCAAATTGAATTGAGGTTAAGAAAGTTATAAGTTTTTATTTTCCCATAAGAATACCATGATTCCATTATTTAAATTTGTAACTCTTAAAATGATTGAATCTGAATCTGCAATAGCTTTTGGTGAATCAATCAAATTACCATCTTAAGTTATTTACTAAACAAAAACATACCCATCACTTTGATAAGTTAATGAGATAATTCCATTCTCATCTTAGACAATAGATGGAGCAGCTAATTTATTAACTTTTTTAATCTCTTGAACATTTGTTTTACTATTTAAAGCAGAATCATATGATGAAATAAACATTGAGTAATCTTCATTTTCACTTTTAGCCATATATGCAATTAATAATGAATTATTATTGGTCTTTTTAATTTAGCAAGGTAATTTAATTTCTTGTAAATCTGTTTTTTTATGTGATCCTAATAAAATATTTTCGCTTTGAGATGTTCCATCAGAAGAAAACTTTTTCAAGTTAACATCTGTTTATTCAGCTGAAGCATCCATCCAAGTTACAAAGAATTCATAATCAATTGCTATTAAATCTGCATAATAGTCTTAAATAATAGATTGTTAACTCAATAATCTTCTAGTGTTTTGAGTAACTTTCATTGGGTCTCCAACCTTGACATTATCAGGAGAATATAACTAGAAATAAACACCTGCATTTTCTCCATTCTAATACCATAAAAGAATGTAACTGCCATCAGGAAATGTAGCAACAAGAGGAGTTCCAACAGTTGTATTTTTGATTTAATCAAGAATAGATGAATTTTCTTGTTAGCATTTTTTGTCAGTTGTTATAATATAACCAAAAGCACAAGTTTCACATTCAAGTGGAATATTACATTAACTACAATTAGAAGGACATTAAGGAAGACATTATTAACTATCACTACTAAGGTAGTAATTAGTATCACACATTGTGCAGATGGTTCCTGTAGGAGATGTAGTGTTTTCCATACATTAAGCACAGTTATTAGTACATACAATCTTAGTACATAATCCATTTTCTAATTTATATCCAGCATCACATACTTCACAAATAGTAAAGCTAGAACATTAATTACAATTACTCTAGCATGTTAATTTACATTTATAACTTTAATCCAATTCATAATTTACACTGCATTCCTCACAGTAATATGAATTTATGCATTTGTCACAATTATCTATGCAATTTTTCTTTGTGCTCCAAACTACAACATTACCTTAAGTATCATATTGTTTATAATATATAGTTGCTATTTAAGAGGAGTCAGGCAAATTCGAATCATATATTCTAAATTCCTAAAAAACTATGAAACCATTTGATGTTTGCTTATAGAATTTACTCTACCATCCTTTATTGAATGTTATGAGTTATGGTTCACCAATCTTCATACCGGAATTATCAAATCTTTATGCATATACCTCAACGTTTTCATAAGTGTAATAATTTGGCTATTCTATTAATATTGTAAATGAATCTTAGAATACAAATACACTGGCTAAGCTTTGTCTTGAAAATGTGTTATCTAAAATTATGGCTTCACTTGTTATTGGTACATCCTAGTTATCCAGTATTCTATAAAATGCTTAACTTTTCATTTCTTAGCCATAAATACCATAATACTGAAGACTTTGGGTTCCATGAACAATTTAAATCTTATTACCATTAGAAAGTTAAAAAATTTAACATGAAGAATATTTTTCTATCTCTGAATAAAGACAATTTTATTTGCTTTATTCGATAACTAAGGAATTTGTAAATGTATATTTTTCAGAATTTTGTTATATATAGAGCTAATTTTTAGTTCTCCCACTACCATACCACATATAAGTATTTTCAAATATTAACTCTTGCTGAATCACATTAAATTCCTCATCATATAAAATTCTATAGACTCCTCTATTCTCTTAATAAAACAACAGAGAATATTAATTGTTTTCTACTAGATTGAAAACAGTACTATATGTGGCAATATAGTCAAACTGAGAACCAAAAGGTAAAAATTTATTCAAAACTTCCTCTTATTAAGCATTAAACTTTATTATTTTAATACCATCTACCATATGGAAAATCAAATAATAATTGTCTTCTATATAAAAGGGAGAAATTCTATAGTAACTATTTGTTATAGTGTTTGTCAAAACAGTTACTTGCTTTACCATTTCATTATTTTAAAAGATATACAAACTAAAGATTTCTTTCTATTAATCATATAATGTTTATTGAGTGTAGATGATAGTTTATCCATTAGATAATAGATCCATTTCGATAATAAAACTTTATAATGGATAATTCATAAGTAACTCTGCTTCATGATAATTGAAAGGAATTGGAGAGCATTTTCCTTGCACTTTTTAGTAGTAGCCTTCTGAACAAACTTCACAAATCTTTGGAGTAATACAAAACAAGCAATTGCTTTCACATTGTGGTATGCACTATTAATTTTAGAGCTAAAAGGAATTCAAACATTAAGAACAAGTTTTTTGAGTATCACAATTTACACAATTCTTAGAACAAACAATCTAATCAATAGGAACTAATTGTGATTGTTTGGATACTCTTTAAATATAAATGTTAGTTGCTTCAAGTGTCCTCAACCTATCAAAGTAGTAATACTCAATATCTTATGAAAAACCACTCCAAATTATGAAATATTGATCAGTATTAATATTTGATATTGCATGGATTCTTCTAAATTATGAAAAATAATATTCTTAAGTATTGAATCCGAACGGAAGCAATTCAGTCACTTGCCAGTTTATATCAATATAGAATTGACGATAATTTTTTACAATATTTCTATTCACTGATAAAATTAATAATGCACCATCATTTAGACTAAATAACTCAATTTCCTAATAGTAATCATAATAGTAGAGTTAATTTGAATTCTCAGTAATGACAATTGGATTGCCTGCTGGAGAGAATTGATTATTGTATAATTAAAGTTTTACTTACTGTTAGTCAGGCATTGCAACTATAGCAGCCAAAGCAAAGTAATTTTAAATACTAATTAAATTTAATTAATAGGCTTTAATTTCATTCCAATCTAGAATCTCTTAGTTTGATATAATTACTCCATCTTATGTATATACACATACTGAAAATCTATCTTGAATGTTCTTATATAATATAGCCAATTCAGTTGTTGTAATAGCTATTTCTAATTAGCCAGAATATCGAACATCTACAATAGTTGTCTGCAGGACCAAATTACTAGCTGAATCATAAAATTATGTATTAATTTAATTCTTAGATTACCATATTATTGCAAATCCTCCATTCTTCAAACTTACTATCTTATTAATAAAGTATTGATTCAAAACAAAGTAATCTACACTAAAAGTAGTGAATAATTGCTCATTGCCAACAATTTCAAGTTTATTATTGAATCTTAATCCCTTAATCATGGCTTCTTTTTCTGGATTGCCTTCAATAAAACTTATAATAGCAGTATCATCTTCTAAGACTACTACTTATGGACTATGTTATGCACCAAAAACACTTTGACTAACTCTAAAATTGTTTCCAACTTTCTATCCTTAATTATTTAGTAATTAAGCAAAAATGCCCCAGCTATCTTCATCTTCATTGTTGCTTGTCCATGCTATTAAAATTGAACCATCTTTAAATTTGGCAGCATCTGGGGTTATTTAACTGAATTCTGTAAATTCATTTATTTAAATAGCTTTATTTTCAAATTCATTTAATACACAAACTCCACTTTAATCTACATAATAATTTCTTTAGCACCTTTCACATTTACCATTATAACAAATAGAACAGAAAGTATCACATTTTCTAACACAATAGGAATAAGGAATATTTGGCTCTTTAAAGTATTATATTAATTCGGATCCGACTTCGCATTATTAACAGTTAGATGAATCAGAACATTGAATACAATTCTGAGGACAAATGACTTGGGTCATTTGAATTAATAATCCATTCGAATCTATTAAGGAATATGATAAGCTCCATAATTATTGATTTGTCCAAACATTCCAAACTAAACAGACTATTTAATTGTCTAATAAAGTTAATAGAGGTATTAAACTATATTATCCTTTAATATAATCAGATTTAATCTTTGATCCTTATTTATTCAAAACAGCAAATTCAACAACAGATTGTTGCTTCTTCTAACTCCAAGCTAACACAATTCCTGATGACGTACTCACCATGTTTACATTCAAATCACCTCTTAAATAATTTTCTTAAGTGAGTAAGATCTCAAATTAAGTATTGTATATTCTTAAGTTCCAACTCTAAGATCCAGTAAATTAATATAGAATAACGATTTATTCCGAATCAATAGCTAATTCAATATTTTCTAGATTTGGTAAATCAAATATGTACTCTCCTAAAAAGTATGCCACACTATTTAAAGTAATTACTCTAACAGATGTAAATTTAGTTATTACTATGTACAACATTTCTTCATAAATATATAAACTCTTTATTTTATTTTAATTGCATTCTTCACTTGTTAGTAATGAAGGATTATTATAATTTAGTAAAGAATCGAATAATTAGTTTTATTCATTATAAAAGTAAAGAGATTGGGTTAAGCATTGCATGTATCCAAAATCATAATAGTCTTATAAGAACGAAACAAGGATCACGTAATTATATTTAAATCCTTTAATACTGATTGATTAGATGGAATTTTGAACATAATTTTCGAACAAATATATTAATGATGAACTTGTCTCACCAAAGCCATATATTTAATAAGATTGTGGATTTTGAATGGATACAATTGCAATATATATATAATTGTTGACGATTGTAGCATCAAAGGATTAAATCATTGGGCTTACATTTAGATCAGCATACATTAATTCTTATCCTTAGGCATTAAATTTTCTAATAAAGATGGCTACTTCACTTGCATAAACCAAAGCAAATTCATTATTAGAAAATTTGAGTACTTTTTTCTTTATTTCAGAATTAAATTATTAATCAATTGAATATCTAAGATTGGCATCTATAGATGGATCCTAAATGAGAGCTACACATTTTCCATCGAAATTAAAGAACATGCCATCTTTACAGATATCACAATCTGTTTATTCACATGATTAACAACCATCAATAGTACATATTTTCTCACATAGTAAAGTTTGTGCATTTCTATTATATCCAGGTTTACATATGTTACATGATGTACTTTGGAAGCATGCTTCACAATTTTGAGGACATATTATTAAAGAAGTACTTAATGATTTACCAAATTAATCAAATCTTGCCAGTCTAAATTAATTTTCATTATGTTAGGATTAACCTGTAAACACAATAGAAACATCAGAATTTTAAAGTATAAACAGCTTTTAAATCAAAAATGCACCATTCTTCATATTTACTTAAACTTCTGTTCTTAATTACCCATTATTGTTAAAATATAAAAGAAGCAATATTTTGTTTTGAATATAAGTTTGTGTATCAACTAATGCTAAGATAACTATTTCATCATTTTCATTAGTAAACAATTATAATGGCAATGCTGATTGATAATTTATCGTCTGTGATTTAATTATTGCTGTTTTATCAATTACATTTATTTAAGATTTTGTCAGTACTATGAATTAATTTAGAAGATTTTTAGTTATTTTTAAGTTTAAGCCATCATTAATAATTATATCCTTAATAAAACTTAAATATTTATTATAAACCTTTATCACAGAACATTGCTAATATAGAAAATCACAATAATCCATTACATAACCAAATATGGCATAATCTCCATTTAATGAAAAATCAAATGTTTAACTAGCTCTAATCATATTGATCATAGTATTCCCAATTAATTCACTAAAATCAGAATTATGTAAACTTAAAATTATATTTTATTCCATATTAATTGCCATTCCAATTATATTATTTTAAAGGATTTTGAGAGTAATAATGGGTTTGTATACATAATTAACAGTTTTTTCAAAATTCATCTCTTTTTGACTTCCTATTCTTATTAATTAATTATCATACTATTCAATTACTATTTTTGTATATTAAATCCAATAACTTGAAAATCCAGTAATATAACTAAAGGTCAAAACATCATTATCATCAATAATAACTTCAAAGTCCATAATTCTTTGATAGTATGATATCAAGGTATCTTAAGTCATTTCAAGAATCATCTAATAATCTCTTGTTAAAATGGCTTCTTTATTGAAAACTCTAATTCCAAGTGATGTCTCTGAATTATATTGAGCTATAATAAAAGTGCCATTTTTATAACTTGCAATTCTCTAATAATTCTATTCTACCCAACCATTGGTAAAAAGAATATCAGATTCCATATTTTACTGCACTTCATTACACTCAAGATATCTGTTCTAATAGTATCCATTTAGACAGATTTAACAATCACTTTGATAATTTTAACATTTTCCATTCTTAATCATGCAATTTCCATCTGCCGTTAAAATATATTTATCATTATTGTAGCATTATAAGCATATACCTTAATTTGTACATTCTTAACATCCAATCGAGCATCTAAATTTACTAAATTCTAAGACTTTCCCTTCTGAACTTAATTTAGCTGCAGATATGACATTTAAATCAGCTTAATAATTATAAGATATCCAACCAATCACGATATCTAAATTTCTTAATTAAATTAATCTCAAAAAGTTTTTCTATCCTTATTTTACAACATCAACACTATTGAGCTAAATAGGATTTGTAACTTGTTAATAATTTTATTTTGATATAAAAACTGCATTGTATTTTGTATTAACTGTCATATCATATTTGAATGAACCTTCTCTCCAAATTACTATAATTGAATCACTTAATAAGTGAGTCTTCAAATCAAGTTTATATAGTTCAGAACTTATTGACAATTTCTTTGGTTCAAATAAATTTTTATTATTTAGCTTTATTACATAATATACTTCATATTTTGAATAAACAATCTCTGTCCAAACTTCAAGCAATGCTCCATTTTCTAATTCTAGAATTTTAAATTCTACTTAATAATCATCATTATTCTTTGTTAATATTTTTACAAGATTGCCATAAAAATCATAAGTCTTATAAAGATATCTTATTTCAGATTTTAAATCATTTTCTAACCCTACATCTATTTAATTATTAATAATTTCAACATCTATACTTTAGGTATAAAACTATGTTTAAGGTTATAAAACCTTAATTTATTAGTTAAACTCAATTGAAAAACCGTTATATTGGGCGTAACACTTGAAAACTTCCATAAATATAGTATATTACTAATCATATTATAATGAATAAGCTCCTTAATAGAAAATAGCTACCTAATTGTTTCCCAAATATTTAAGTTGTAAGAGATTTTATCTAAAGGCTAAATAAACACCTGTATGATGCTCACTTCGTTATAATAATGTTTCTGAAAAATCGTAAACTTCAAAAATAATATGCTGTGAAAAATCAGAAATAAAGGCTATTAAATATTTATTATTTTCAAGTGCACATGCATCAAATACTTAATTTTATCTAAATGCATCATATCCAGTGATATTTTTAGGGGCAGAATATTAATTACCATATTGATCAAATTTTTAGGACTTTATTTATCCATCTTGTATCCAAATAAATAAAATATCATTATTTTAAAATTAGATGATAGAAAACTTTGAACTAATATCATTAACAAACTCAACATTCAATTATTAATATTTACTAATTTAGAAGCAAATATTTGAAACAAGTTTGTAATCTGTATCACAAGTTTAACATTTTAATTCAATAGAATCTGTTGCATATGATGTACAATGAGGAATAGAGCTATAACAGACTGAATTAAACAGAACATAATCATTCATGCAAATGAGACAAATAGCATTTTCGTTACATTGTTTACAATTTTCTGGACAAACAACAGTATCTAAAGGTAATTAAATACCATAGCTATTATATCTCTTCATGTATATATCATCATTAAGACTAGCCAATGATAATTAACTTTAAGTCCATGAAGCTAAGAATTCACCTTATGGGAGTGCAGTTAATTAAGGATGATGTGGATATATATTCCATTCATTGAAAACATCAATTATCTATGAAATGTATAATCCATCTAAGTTAAACAATTACATTTTGATATTCCTTAGATCACTCATCATAGAATGCCTATTTTCAAAAATGATTGCAAATCCATTATGTATTGCAATAACATCAGGATTATTCATATTATGATTTGGAATAGCAATTTAATTACTAAATAAATAGGTACTCAAATCTGAAGTATATTTTCTAAATATGATATTTTGATTCATGATACCTAAGCTATTGATAGCAGTCTCTCTCCAAGCAATTATAAATTTATTATCACTTAAAGTGCTGATAGAAGGTGCTTGACCATTGGATGATAAAATCTCTTAGCTGATATAAACATAGTTTAGACTAAACTTGCTTGCAATGATTCCAAGATCTGATTACCATACAATAACAATGATTTCATTATTTGAAGTAATAACAGGCTCTGAATTTTTAATTGATTCTTAATTATTTAAAACAAAAGTGGCTTTTTAATTATCTTATAAATCATAAAAATTAACATGTAATTTCTAAACAAGGATATTTGATTCGAAATGATTTTATGTCCATACAATAACATATCCATTAACAATAGATTAAATCAGAATAGGAGTATCAAAACGTTAAGCATATTTTAATTATATATTTTCTGATACAACAATTTCTTCTCCTATTCTAACAAAGTCTTTAGTAAATCTTTACATTTTAATTTTTCCCTACACTTACAAATCTCCTTCAATCCAAACTGCACAGAATTAATCGTTATCAAAAGACTAAACATCAGGATATATTTAAATTCCAGCAGATGATAAACTAATTCTTGTTTCATCTAGAATTTTCTTTCCTTGGGCATTAAACATTGACATGAATACTCCAGTTCCTTAATTTTCATAGTATTTTCGATACCAAGAGATTACATAATCCCCATTTTTAAATGTAGTTATTCTTTATTTACTTTACAATTGATAAGTATTCATTTTCATTTCTTTGTATTTCAAATTCTCTAATACACATATATTATCAATAGTCAACATGTAACCTGCATTACATACTTCACAAATTCCATCATCGCCATCAGCACAATGATTTGGTAATTATATTTCACATTCATTTTCAAATAGATAAAATCCTTGTTTACATAATTGGCATTCATTTTTACTATTTTTTTAAAAACAATTATCTTAAGGCTCATTCAAATAATAATAATTCACATCATAGTAGAATAATTACTAAGTTTAACTTAGAACACCTTAAAACAAGATATTTACTAAATCTGAGTTCATTAAAATACGATAACCATAGTCAGCTGTAAATTGAGATAATACATTTATCGGTAAAAATTATTCAAGTCCGTATTACCTAATTTCGTGATAAAAATAGGGTAGGTATTTATATCGAAGTCTTTATTAACCATCAAATTCTTAAATAACTATAGTTATAAAGAATTGCATCTATGATTCATATTAGTTTATAGTTAGTTAAGAAATTCTATAAGAACTACTTAAAATAAGGTATTCCTATCTTGCTACATTTAAATTCTGATCAAACCACTTTACAAATACACCATTATTTGAAAGTGTAAAACCATAATCTTCCAATTCTACCCAAATTGCACAAATACCATAATATGGAGATCCTCCAACAGCCAAAGATGTAATCTATTTAGTTGATTTGTAAAGTTCTCTATAACTGTTTACTGATCCGTCAACTATTAATGCATTGATTATATAATTATTTTTAAGGTAAACTATCTAATAATAACCACTTTAAACAATTAAATTTGGAAATTATGCCACATCACCAGAATTTTCATTAATGTTCATTTTCAACGAAAATCCATTTTATATATTATATTATCCTAACAATGTTTAAGAGTTACCAAGTGTATCTATTTCTGTCCATAATAATAGCAAATCATTATTAAATTGGCTTATTTTCAAATTAAATTAGTTTACTTCTACCTTCATTATTCTCAATTCATATGGATTAGTCATTACTGATAAATCTTATTAGAATAATTGTATCATTAATCTGCATTAAATTTTACAAGCTCCAGTCAACCAAACTAAAGCAATTATATTGTTTTATTACTAATAAAGCAAATGATAAGCTATTTCTTAAGTTTAACTTATTAAATTTTAATCTAATTCAACAGTTTGTAAATTTGTATTATATTTATTAATATTTATCTTGTATTGTGAGTCTTCAAATTTTTAGAATGAAATAATTTTTGTTGAATCAGTAAATACAATCATCGAAGGTAAACCATAACAAGATTTTTCACAAATTGAAGTTTCTAAATCTAAATTTGTTATATCTGTGCAATTTTGATTAATATATTTAAAGTTTCCGTTACAGAAATCGCAAGTATATGGTTTTGAACATTATTGACAATTTTCAGCACATATTGGTACACACTTATTCTCTAATTCAGAATAATTATACCCAATTGAACATTATTAACAAACTTAGTTCTTATCACAAATTTCGCAATTCATCTTACATATTTGTTCAACGAATGGAATGGTATTTAATTAAGTATTTAATCTTACTTTAAATATTCTATTATTGTTGAAGGATGACCATGTTAAATAAATCATGTCTTCTGATGATGAGCTTGTCAAATCTTATATTATAAGTTCACTATTGTAAATCTATCTTGAAGCTAAATTATCTCCATTTAATGAAAACTTCATTATTTATATATTCATATAATTGGATGTTATCATTTATTCTGTGTAAATAAAATAAATCTATTGATTCTACAATTAAATTTAGAAGGAACTTAATTAATTCTAAGTTTCAATTATGTGTTCTTATTTTATCTCTTAATTTTCATTGTAAAATTTAACTTTTACTAAATGTGAATTCACCTTTTCATATGAAACAATCCAGATTCTATTTGCATTCAAATAATATTCAAATTTTTCTTATAAATTTAACTACTAGACCTCCTCATGATATAACCTATTAGGATTAAAACTCATTATTTTCAATGTTTCTATATTGTCTTCTATTTATATAAATGAGAATGTTATTTTGGATAAAAATGAATTTTTCATGATTTATAAATTTCTAAACTTTTATTATTTATCAATTTTTATATTCTATAAAGACTTTTAATTTAATGCAACTTCTGCTCTAGCCTTACCAACCAAAAATTATTGATATTATATATTAACATACTCTCCTTACCAATAATCATAATAGTAACTAAGGTAAACAACATGCATAATGAGATCATCTGTAATTATAATATCTATTAAATTCTCAAGACTATATAAAGGTGCTTGTGTTTGAAAACTATTGTATAATAGATATGAGTCATCCAAGATTACAAATTTTAGACAATTTTAATTCGATGTATCTTTTGTTAAATATTAGATTACAATCAAATTGTTAACTTTAATTAATTTAGGACGAACTGGGATAATCAAGTAATCTAAATCAGATGAAACCAAAATTTCCCCAGATTGTGATTATCCTTATCTATTAAATTCTTCAAAAATAACATCATATTTTGAATTATTTTTCTTTATTGATACTTAGTATACTGATTCATTATAAGAAGCAATATAAGAGTAAATGTAATTATCTTACCAATATATTTGTTATGATTATGTTTGATCACATATTAAATATTCATTCAAATAATAACCATCAACACATTGTAAACATTAGTTTTCAATTTCACATAATTAGCAATTACTTTCGCAAGTTAATAAACATTTGCCATTTTCTAATTAATATTTAGTACTTTGACATTGAAGGCATAATTAATCTGCGCAAGAAACACAATTTTTTGAACAAATCATCTCCTTCATATTTGCTAGTTCTTATTTTTTAAGATTGACACTTTAAATATATATTTAATATGTAGGATTTTATTATTCTACATTGGAATAAGCTTGCCAAACAAAGATTAGACTTTCATCTCCAAATTTTTTGAAAGTAAAATCTTTTAAATTTCTTCTTGATTAAGATACTTATAATAATTTTGGTGGAAATGTTTCAGTAAAATTCATGAATATTTATTTATTAAGATATTCATCATAACTTGTAAAAATTGATATTGAATTTTATTTATAAAAGTTTTGATAAGCTTATTCACTATTTTATTGTAAATAAAAAGAATCTATAGGATTTATTTAATTTATTTCTACTTTAAATGAATAAAATATTTCTGTAGTGGTGAAATTGAAGTAAATAATATTTTAATCTACTGAAGTTTCTAAAGATATGAGTTCTCTACTGTTTGAAAATAATTTATATTCATAAGCTATTTAATCATTCTCCATTCTTAAATAATTAAATTAGTAATATTAGTTTTGTTCATCAAAAGTTAAATAAAAATAGCCCACTCCATAATCCTTTAATTAAACAATTTTAATTTGATTATTACCATCTAAGATTTAGGATTACACATTAAGAGTTATTTAATTTAAGAGTTAAAATGTTTCCATATCATATGTGTAATCAATAATTTAAACGATAGAATCAACAGTTAGCCATTTGATTAAAATGTGAAAACTTGATAGATCATATCCTGTTGATACATCGAAATCTAGTATTAAACTTGGTTATTATTCAATCATGATTTATTTGATTTAAACACCTTAACTATTAAATTTCTTTAAAATAATCTATGTTTGTTTTAAATTATCAAGTAAACTATATAATATAAGAAATTCGTTATCTATGACTTATAATTTTACTTTTCCTTTTGGTACCTATTCATCACTTATAATTAAATCATTGAAATTATCTTAAGGTGTGATACAAAGATTATCTGATGAGTATTAAAATCCAACTTTACATTTTGTACAATATGAAGGATTAATACAGAAATCACAATTTTCAGGACATTTTGGAACACACTCATTTTTAACATTGATTAATGTGTATCCTTCCAAACAAGTTAAACATTTAAATTATGGATCACATAATTTACAATTTTGTTTGCATTAGTTTTGCTTTATATTCATATCTAAATTTATACTGTTCAACTCATATTCGTAATTGAAGTATGTCAGCCATTTTATTGATAGTTTATTGAAATCTAACTTATCAATAGATTGAGAAAGAATTTCATTGTAGAAATTTTTTTTTAAAATTTTTCTATTCTGTATTAAATCAAAATTCTAGTTAGAAAGATCTAAATGAAACAAACATAATTAATAATAACCTTAATTTACGAAATACAGATTGTATTCATCTAGATAAAAAAAACTTTTTAAGTTCTGGTTTATACAATCTCCATCTTAATTATTAAAGCTATATGGGTAGCTCTTTTATTATAAATTTTGATCAAATCTTATAAAAATATAGAAGAAATTGTTTTGCCATATTACAAATTCGTTGTTTGGTAATGATATAATGGATATTCCAGTTGTATCATAAACTACTGCTGGACATTTTGTTTAAATTTAATCAGTAATCTAGTCATTCACAATTTTTGTTAAATTCATATTGTATTTACTTAATTAAACTATTCCAATTATTCCTAATTGATTTTAAGCTATAGAAATATCAAGACTATCTGGAAATGTTAGGGTATTTGATGTGCTATCTGATGTTGTATCATATTTTATATAATTCCATTGATATTCATTTAGGGATTGACCTCTTGATTTCCAAAATATTGAGAAGGTTGTGTTACTTAATGTTGTTAGTTTTATATATATCATTTTTTTATCAAACTTTGCATTTTCCAATGAATCTCCTAAGGTGTGTTCAACTTATTATTCTACTAAAGCCAAATCGTATTTTTTAATCTTTAGTTTCACAATACTCAAGTCTTAATTGACATAGACTATATATATAAACTTGTTGATAAGAATAATTTAAGGGTGATAATTTTACTTATCTTGATTTCCTACTAATACTCTTTTGATTTATTTATTGTTCTAAATATCTAGGAGTATTAATTCTGTCTAATATAGCGATTCATAAGTTCTGAAGTGTTAGGTAAGTATTAAATTATTTTAGTCAATTGAAATTGTTCTGGAACTCCAGTCAAGTAAAATATTTTCAGTTTTTATTTTAAAAGGTTCTAATTAACTTGTTTCAGCACCTAGGGCCAAACATAAAAGGGTTGTTAATAAAGTAAAAATCATGTTTAAAAAATCTTTTAAAAAATTAAGTTAAAGAAAATAATAAATCTCTGGGACTTAATATGCCCTTTTAATTGTAGACCATATTTATTATCTATTTCTAGAAATAAAATTAATTCTTTTATTATATGCAACTATTCTATTTTTCATTAACCATAGCCTTAAGTCGAAATTTTTTTCTAATTTTTTTTATTATAATTCTTTCATCATCTCATTAAATGAAGAATAACACAAAATTAATATTCTTTATTATTGTATAAAGGTCAGGCAACTCTGCAATAAAATTTAATTCGACTTAATATATTATATATCATTAAATGTAGAATTATTTTTTATTATTAAATCAAGGAATCACATCAGAGGTTAACGACTAAAAAATAAAAATTCAAAGAGCAGAACTAATTTTATATAATCATTCAAATATGCTATTGCAAAGATGAAAACAATCCATAATACTTTAATTTAAAAGTCAATTTAAAATATAAATCAAGATATTTAATAACATTATATTTAATTAGAAATTCTCCCATTCACTATTTTTAGATAAAACTATTGATTAAATTAAATCAAATAAGTTTAACAGTTGCATTCATAAAATAATTAAATGAAGAAAAATTTTGATTAAATTAAAATAAAACAGTTGCTTATATTCTTTTTACAAAATAAATAAGAATTATATAAATATTTTAAATAACGAATGAAATAGAAAATAATTAGAAAGTGAATTTGTTATAAAGATCAACGATAAAAAAGATTCACATAGGATTTTGAATGCTTTTTAGTTTTTCTTGCTTTATCTTGTTTTTTTCTCCACCATCTTTGAATTCTAATAGCACATTATTTCTCCTGAAGAGTAAAAACGGAATTATCTATTTTTAATAAGAGATTTCGATTTTATAAATTATATGTAAACATAGGCCTATTGTTTCCACAAACTTGATATTATTATTTATTAATCCAATAATTAGATGCACTATTCATTAATCCTCCAAACTCTGAAATAGGCTTAAAGGAAAGTTTTAACAAATTGATACCATCATACAAGCAGTTCTTCGATAAGAGCCTTAGCTTCTAGTTTCTTCTAAATGTTGATAAAAAGCAAACTCTGCTAAATCTGCTTCACTTTTAGTTGTCTTGTCTCTCTCTCTAGAGCAGAGAGCACCACATGCAAGACCCATAATTAAATAAAATAATATATAATAATTAAATAAGTCTAGTTTGATTTGATAGTATTTTATGTTATTGAATAATATTTTAATACAACTAGAGTTAAATATTAATGTATAATAAATCAGTTATGACCAATACAAAGTTAAGTAATTATCTAGCAGATGGAACAGGGAGGGACACTTACGTAAGTAATTTTAATGGTGGATTTTGGAAATAAAATTAGAAATAGCCTATTCGTCCTGAGAGTGGTTCCTATCCTAATCGAAGATATTAAGCATCACCTTCTCCTTGTATAGATTCAAAAGTAAATAGATATAGAAATGATGGAAGTGGAAGAGATGGTTATATAAGGTAAGAGGATAAATATATGAAGCTATGATGAGGGAGGATTTACAGTTTCAATAGGAAGGAAGAGAAATTTCATATCAAATTTAAGAGGCTATGATACAAAATAAAGATGTAATACACGAGATAGTTCTCCTATGTTATAATCTTTTTCAAAAACACAATCAATTACAAAAAGACTGTATTACTCAAAATAAGTAGAAGACCCATATTAGTCAATTAGAAAATTAACTAGTTTGCACTATAAAAAATGACTATTTTTAATACAATTTAGCGCAATAATTAAATAAAGATATTTGCATCAATGTCAGAGAATGATTCAAATTCAGTTCTTGAAGTATCTGCTCCAATTAAAGGTAGACTTAAAAGGCCTACAAGTTCAGATGAAGAAATAGAAGAATAAAAAAAGGATATATTTTCGGTTGATTAACCTGATTCTATTGAAATTAGTGATTAAAGTGACATTCAACAGATAGAAAAACAAAAGAAATAAAAAAAATTAAATTAAAATCCTTAGAAACCTCGTAAACCTAGATAAAAAAAAAAGAATGAAAATGCCGCCAATTAAAATGAGGAAAATTAAGAAATATAAAAAAAAGAAAAATAATAAAAATAATCAAAGCCAAAAAAGAAAGGAGTTGAAACTAATGAAAAAACTCTAGAAAATTTACTAAATAAAAAATTTATTTAAGCAGAAGAAGAGGATGAACCACCAAGAAGAGAAATGGAAATAGAATATGAAAATAATAGAAATGATAGAGATACTTTTGGAATTGATAATAAACCAAACAAAAGAAAAGCATAAAATGCTAAAAATATCAATTAACTAATTAAAAATAGACATAAATTCTTTACTGAATTTGAGGATACTCCTTTAGAATTTTAAAATGAACATTAAAATTATTAAGAAATAGATGATGATGATTAATTTGAATTAAAATTTGAAAAATAATAAATAGAAGAAAGTGCAATAAAATAAAAAGCAAAACGAGACATGTTAAACAAAGTATAATAATATAAATAGAATGTTTTGGTTTTTGGTGATTAATAAAAATCATAAAGATCTCTATTCTCTAGCAATATGTTACCATCTTAAGATTTAGAATTAAATGCAAATAGTTAACCAAAATTTCCATCATTGATGAAAACAACTTCATTTATTTAAGATGAGTAAATATAGAAATAAGAAGGAGAATCTAAAAATATATTATTAAGAAAGACATATTCAATGGGATTGAAGAAAGGGTTATCATAAGAAGATATTGAAGATCCAGAGTTATAATTATTCATACCAAAAATAAATGGAGCTAAAGATAAAATATTTGAAAATACTCTTTTTCTAAATAAAATAAAATAGAAAGGTTTTGATAGAGTTGTTTAAACATCAACTAGTTTAAATAATAGTAATAAAGCTTATTCAAGAAGTGAATTTTAATAATTATTACAATAAAAATAAGTTGAACATAAAGCAAATAAAATTAATTTATCATTAAATGAGTTAATGAATAGATTTTAAAGTACTACTTTTGAATAAATTGAATAATAAAGGTAAAAAAATTAAATAGCAGATGATGGTGGTTAAGATGGGGATGATTCATCTCCTGATGAGGATTTTATTCCAAAATAAGGTGAATTAAATTAAGAGAGTGAAGATATTGATGATGGAAGTAGTGAAAGCAATGATAATAATAAATTTATAGATAATAAAGTCAAAGTATCTAAATTAACAGAAAAAGAAATTGAAGAGTAAGAAAAGAATGAAATTGAAAAAGATAAAGATTTTGCTGTTATAATAGAAGAGAAATCTGATATAATGAGTTAGATTGATGATGAAGAAAAAAAATAATTATAATAAATTAAAACAGGTTTATAAAAAGATTCTGATTCTGATCAAAATGAAGATGATGAAGATGATTAAAATAAGGAATATGATGATGAGGAAGAAAAAAAGAAGGAAGATCATAAAATATATGATAATAATGAACAAAAAAAACTTGCCAAAATAATTTCTAGTGATGATGATGATGATGATGATCAATAAGTTTAAGAAATCAATGAAGAAGATTTAAATATGTTTAGACGTTTAAAAAAAGTATCTACAATGTTTAAAGAAAGAAAGAAAAAAGAAAAAGAATTAGAAGAGAAAAAAAAATAAAGATTAGAGAGATAAAAAGAAAGAGAAAAAATGAGAAAATTTATTGAATCTAATTTGGTTGAAGATTAAGCAGAATAAGGATCTGATAATGAATCTCATGATGATGTTGTCAAAGAAATAAAAGATGATGATGATGATGAAGAAGAAAATGATGTTATAGAAAAAGAATTGTTAGAAATGATTGATGATAAAATAGAAGATTTAGATGAAGAAAATGAAATAAGAGCATTTCATATCTTTATGGATAGAGTACATGCATAAGAAAAAGAAGACATTAAGAAAATTCTTAAAGGAGAATTCAAAAGAAGGAATGGTAAAATTTCTAATATAGATTTAATTAATATGGAGTAAACTGAAGAAGAAAAATAAGCTAGATTAATGCATAAATTCGAAGAAAGTGAAGAAGAAAATTATGATTCTGATTTTGAAAACTATTTGAAAATGAGTAAAGATTAAAAAAAAGAATTTTTAAAAGAAAAAAGATTATAAAAGATTTTATAGGCCTAAAAAGAAATGAATTAATAAACTAAAAAAAATAGATTGCAAGAATAATAATTCTTTTAGCCAGATCTTTTGAAAATTGTTGAATAAGCTAAAAAAAAGTAATAAGATGCTTTGTAAAAAAAGTTTAATTAGAAACCTCCAACTTTTGGGTAGACGATTCTATATTAGAAAAATATTAATGAAAACTCTAATGCGCAAAATTCTAATTCAATTTCATAATTACCTCCCCATAAAAAAGATAATAAATAGCAATCAAATAAAACAAGCTTAGCTATAAATAGACTTTTTTCTGCCAACTTAAATGCAAAAGGATAAACATTATAAAAATCACCCAATAAAGCAGTGTTGTTGGGGAAAAAAAAATGATTTAAATAATAATTTTTTTCTTATATCACAATTTTTTAATTTTTGCAATGAACATTCCACCTGTATTTGAAACTTTTGGATCAAATCTAACAGTATTAAATATTTAGCCAGGTTTGCATTATTATTCTTACATATCCCAAAATGGATGCATTAGAATAGCGTCATTATTTTATTCTAAAAATTTAATAATTTGATCTTCATTTTATTTTTATGAAAAAGAGCATGTACTATAAATTAATATTCCATTTTATTTTAAATGTTTATATCCATTTTCTAATAATGAAAACTATAAGTCGTATATTTGTTACAATTTCTTTTAATCCAAGAATCTATTGTTGAAATCTTCTTCTGTCCATTCATGTGCTTTTGTCTATTGGGTTGTGTAAATATTAGTGTGATTTTTCTATAACTACTTTTTGGATACCTTATTATTCTTGAATTATTTTTTAGAATTTTTTTCAGGTATTGGTTTATCAATATATTTTTTTAAATGTTTTATACTACCTTCATGTGTACATTCAGCATCAATTAAAACTTTATCAAATTATATTGGACTTTAATATTTTGTTCCATCTTCTTATATTAATTCAACATATTTTTCTAATTTATATTTATTCACTATAGATTGAGTAATATTTAATCTATTTTAGGAAATGTCAATTCCAAAAACTTTTCTTTATATTCCATCTTTATTTGTTTAAATTCTCAATAAATCTGCAATAAAAGTTAATTTAGCTCCAGGTGCACAGCAAATTTCTAATAAATTAATATCATTTTAATTTATGTCTAATGAATAAACAACAGCAGCACTGGATTTATCTATACCATATAAAATACCATCCTTATATAATTGAAGATTATTAATTTTTTAATCAGCTGGAATTGAATACAATGTTGGAATTTATATGATTGGCTCAATTAAATCAGAAACTTGTTTTTAAAGTTCCTCAAAAGTAATCAAGTAATCTGGTTTAATCCGAATGTAACGAAGTGTTTATTCAAACATAAAGATTTCCTCATTAATGCCTTCTTCTTAAAGAAATTGCTTAAATTGTGGTGATAATTTATTTAAAATATTCATATAAAATGAAAATGTAAACATCACTCTAAATTAATAAATCCAATTAATTTGAAAGCTAAAGTTCTTGTTAATTCATCATTACTATCAAGAAATTGACTAATAATTTACTCTCCTGAACAATTTTAGATTAATTATCTTACCTAATCTAAATTTATAGATAAATCAAATGAAAGTAGTTGATATATTGAACTTAATACATTATTGATTATTTCATTTTAACCAACAGTATCAGTTAATGAATTAATCAATATTTCAACACCTCCAAATTTAATTACAGCTTCACCAGATTCTTAAAAGTTTGTTAATAACACTTAAATAGCTCCAATTGCTTCATTTCTAACTTCTAATTTATTAGCAGCTGTGCATCTATATAATAAATCTTTGATGATTGGAATTAGTTGTTAACCTAAAAATTATGTGATTAATTCTTCATCTTCTGCTCCAAAAATATTTCTAATACAACCAATAGTCTCCTCAATAACTTCTTAATTTGTACTAGACATCAATTTTGCAATAACTTCACTTAAACCAAGAGAAAGTAATTGTTCAATAACATCATCTTAACCATATAAAAGATTTCGAAGAACTTCAGCTAATTCTAAATGTACTTTTGGATCCCATGGATTTGAAATCAAAAATATAAGTAATTAAATATGAGTTACAAACAGTTCACTAATTTCATCTTCTGTCATACGTCTAGTTATAGTTGACAATCCTTATAAAAAATCCTAGCATAATTGAAAATAAATATCATTATTAATGTTTTTAAACTTTTCAATAAGGTTGGTGTTCATTTATAAGATATCAAAGAATTACAAATAAATATTATTTGATAATTGAGTTAAATTCCTCAATACCCACATGAGACCATGAACAAAATTTATTGTTGGAATAGTTTTAAAATTTTATTGCAGAATTGAAAGATCAATCAAAAATTATTGATATGATTGTATTAGGAATTGATGTTTGAGAACTAATGTTTTTTCACTCAAAATGTTTGCTATAGTAAATAATCCAAAAGCAGCAACTTCAAATTTCTCTTATCTCATAAAATCAAATGTTGAATCTTTAATATAGCAATATAATTCCTAAAAACCTGTCATATTATAAAATAATTGCAATTATGCTTTATCTAAATAATAAATGATATTCAATAAATGATAAAACACTAGATAGGATAGATACTCTTCTTTAGTTTACAAGACACCAAGAAATGGGGTTATTAATTCTAATAATTTTGGTTATATTAATTTGTAAATTTTTATTTGCTTCTTTTTCTCATTTAAAATTTTTAAGCCTTCCAATACATAAGGTAATGAATTATTTGGGTTCAATAGCTTTTCTGATATAAATACTTAAATATCAGCTTCTGGAACTAATTCCAAGAAATTTTCAGGCACATACTTATATAATGTTGCTTGTGAAGCAAATTAATTTCTTTTTTAATGAAATATTGCTAATCTACTTTAATTTCTGATTTCAACAGCATAATTTTCTCTTTTAGACTTCACGCGATTCTAAATTAATAATAATGTTATACATCTTCCTATTAAAACATGATTAATTTAATAATATAGCTCAAAATATATTTTTTAATAAAGAATGTAAATACTATTAACAAAATTCATCATAATTAATAAAAATATATGAAATGCTATTTGATTAAGTTGTTTTCACTTTAAAAATAATTTAATTATTTCCAAAATACAAACATTATTATTAAAATAATTTGAGATTAAATAAAAAGTTAAATTTATGACAAATAAAATCTGATGATGATCATCATTATTTTTTACCTTTATTCCAATTGCCTTCTGTTTTCTTACCATTTGTATCGATTAAGACTCCTTTACCATGTTATCTTCCTTTTTTCCATGCTCCTATATATTTACTTCCACTGGGCCATGTCATTTCACCTTATCCATCTCGTTTATCGTTTGTAAAATTGCCTATTAAAATGGATTATCAATATACCTTTATATATTCTTCCATCTTTGTATTATAATGTCCCTTCCCCATTAAGATCCCCATCAACCCAATTACCTTTGTAAACTTTACCATCTGCCCAATAATATTCACCATAACCATTAAACTTTTCATCCGTAAAGTCTCCATCATAATAAGAACCGTCAGCCCATCTAAATAATCCTTTTCCATTTTTTCTTCCCTGTTCTAATAGTCCTTCAAAAAAACAACCTGATTCCCAACGAATTTAACCCTTCCCTTGCTATAATATAATTAAGCCATTTTATACTGGTAAGCCATTATTTAAATCCCCAGAATATACTCCACCATCAGAATAATCATAAGTTTCTTTTACAACTTTATTTGATGAGCAGCAAGAACCCATTAATAAATTATAAATAATTTGAATCTAAACAAGTTTTGAAAATAAATAAATAGAATTGGACATAAGTTTCAAAATAAAGTTGTTTATATTTACATTCTTAATAAAATGAATTAAAATTAATCTCAAGTCTCAATTCTCAAACATCTAATTTCAATTTAAAAGAGAATATTGTCTAAAATATTAAATCAAAAGAGAGATGTCGATATCATATGTTGAGATGCTTTTGCTTATTGAGAATAAGGAACTCAGAGTAATTGTATATATAATGAGGAATTTATTTTATTAATAATGAAAAACATGACTTAGTAGATTCAGTTGAATTAATGATTGAAATTCTGAGATAATTTCTACTTTTTTGGAATACTAGAATTAAAATGATGTTTTTAAAACATACATTGATAATTCTTCCTTTAATTAGCAAAACTCAAAATATTTAACTTTGAGTAGTAATTTTCTAATTTTTAATGGATGTAACACTTATGAATCAGTATTTAGATTGGCAATTAAGAATGGAATTCTAATAATTATTCTGTAGATCTTAGAGTCCCCTTAAGAACTTAAAGAACTTGGTTTGATTGCTTTAGATAGTTTTAAATATTAATATAAATGAAATAATTTGTTAACCCAGTTTTTCAGCCGATAGATCATTCTATGTCTATGTCTTATCGTAGAACTGAATACATACCAAAAATTCCTCAAGCAACAATTGGGCAAGAATTACCTTGTGAATTTGAAAAAATATTTTCATCAGAAACAGACATTTCATCTCGGCTGAATGATAGCATGATATAACCATTTGATAATAGAAATTTTTACATTGATTAATCTCCTGCTTATAGAGGAACAACTGAGAGTTAGTATTAAAATAATACTTTATCTATTACACAGGTAGTTGATTAAAAAAAATATAATTAAGAAATCATCAAATACTCAGATGATGATAGTTTAATTAATTCTTCATTTTTTGGTGTACTTAATTAAGAGATATTCTAAAAACCATTATAGTAAATGGATTCTATTTATAGAAAACTCGACGAACCATCTTAGCTTTAGAAAAATATTAAGAATGCCTAAACACTCTGCGATGAAGAATTAAGAGCTGAATTATAAGATTAAGTTTAAGATCTTTATGGAAACAATAAATTTATCACGCCTTTTCAATTTTAGTAAATTAATAAACCAATACAAGATAGTTCTAATTTAATAACCAATCCCAATAATACTAATAATAATAATTATTCAAACATTTAAACTTATGACAATAAAAATTTTACTATAGATTCTTCTTACAAACCCTTTGATTAAAATTATCAGCCATCATCCATCTTAACAAAACCAAATTCTTAGACTACGCATACTAAAGAACCTACTTAATAAAATCCTTCTAATTATTCTTAACCTATCAAAACTAATCCTATAATACAAAATACCCCTCCAAAAAGTAGATTTATATCTCCTACACTCTAAAGATAAATAGAATAATAGTCATCATAATTACCATAATAATAACAACCTTCACTATTTACTGATGCTAATCTAAACTCCAACAACTTTTCTAGAACAGAAAAATTAAGGGTTAACAGTCCTGATTAATTTGAAACTATTAAAATAACTGAAATTGTCAATGTTGAAAATTCCTAGAATTAATCATTAACTTAACCTTCTCCATCTGTCCCAATTTTACCATTAAGACATTCAAGTTTTGTAAACAATAAACATGAAACTATGAGCAATAAAAAAAATTAAGAAGTTTATTACTCTTAAATGGTTTAGCCAGTTGGAAATTAAAAGGTATTATAAAGAGCTATCATTAACAGAGCTTAAGATAATAATGAATATTAATTAGATGCTTAATTACAATAATACTCACGAAAAATTCAATCACCATAAAAAAAAAATACTTCCTTAGATTAATAATTTGAATTACAAAGTAATCGCACTTCTTAATAATAGATTATCATTCCTTAACCTCAGAAATATACACACACAGTTCAATCTCCTATTAAATAAACTTAATCACCAACATTAATAACAAAAAACTAAGAAAGATTGGATTAAAAAGAATTATTTTTATAAGCAGAAAAAGCAATTAAATTTTAGAGAACACAACCTAAAGCTATCTTACCTGAATGGTAAAAATAACCAAATAAAACAGATGAGAAGTAAGTGTTATAACATTCTAACTAAACATTTTAAAAAAATAACAGAAATAAATAAGATGATCTTCAAGTATTATGTGTAATATGTGAAGACCTTATTCCTTTTGAGGATGTCGATTCACATTCTATTAGATGTTTGGCAAAATCTAAATAACAAGCCAAAACTTAAAATGCTCATACTTTAATTCTAAACTTGAATCACAAATTGGAATAATTAAAATAAAACATTATTATTTAATCTAAATAATTAGGAGATGATTTGATTAATAATGATTAGATAATTAATTGCATTACTAAAATCATTTAATGTTCTTATAATTATAAGAAACTCAAACAGTATAATGAATTGTTAGGACAATAATATCAAACATATTAATAAAATTTTGATCAAAAACGATTTATTATGATTCTAACATTGTAAAGAGTCCTTGCAGTTTCTTAAGAGAAATAATTAAAATTATAATTTGTTGAAGAAAGTCAAAATAATTAATTGGAAGATGAGAGTTTTTTGTAAAATGAATTAAGTAGATTAAATAAATAAGTTGAGTTGGAGAAAGCGTAAAATAAATAATATAATTTAGTAATTTATAATAAGCCAAATTTGAATAAGAGTTATTTAAGAAAATATAAAAAGAAGATTTAGAAAATATGAAGTATTTGAGAGCTTAATACTTGGAATAAAATGTGGATAATGAAGTTCTATCCTAAATAAATTCTGAATGGGATGTTAGAAATCCTGAAACAAAAACAAATAGAGTAACTAATAGTATAGTATCTGATATATAATACTAACGAGATTTTGATGGAATAGGAATTCGTAAAGAGGGAAGTAGCCCGACAATCATTTAAAATGAAGTATCATTAATAAATATTATTTAGGATTAAAAAAAAGCATTTTATTAGTTAGCAGTTCAGATAAAATTAAACTTACCTCATAATCATCCAGGCAAAAATTTATTACTTTAGGATGCTTATGAGAAGGCTGTCAGTTTAAAAGTACCTAAGATAGGATGGGAGAAATTTATTATAGAAGAAATTAGGAATATCAAATAATGATAGCGTTAAATTTATACTTATTAGATGTAATTTGCTATGATAAGAATATCCAAAAATGGTTTTATTTATATTTTTTGTAATTTAATAATTATAAAATGTGGTATAAAAAATAAGTGAAAGGGGGGGGAGTGAATTAAGGTATGTAATTTGTAAATTTGTAAGTGTATTATCAATAAAATAAAACAGGTGATGGCAAATAAAATCATTTCAAACATAGTTATTAAGGTTGCTGCGATGATAATATGCTTTATTTATTTTCCATAGCTTATAATGGCTTGTGAATTTCCAATTGTAATAAAATTGAATAATATCTTATGCATTTTTGGTTTTAATCTATAGCAATAAAGAATAAAAATACTAGATGTGACAAGAATTCGTATTATTTGCCATATCTACATAATCCACATTCGAATATTGCGATTTCTTTAGTTGTCCAAGTTTCTATAAGATAAAATGGATATAATACCAAATGAAAAATCGGTCCTTAAGGGAGAAATGAGTATATCTAAGACATCTTGTTATAATAGAGAGTAAGCATTCTGATTATTAGGCTATTATTATTCGATTTGTTCTTGATTGGGTGAATCGTTATCAAGTATTTTCTTTTTTCTGCCTGGTTTCTTTTCCTGAAATAAATTGTTATATATACTAGCTTAATGTCTTTTTTACTATCAATTAAGACCTTTTCTTTCATAAATTCAGCTAATTTCTAATCACTCTTGTAATACAATTAGACCACAACACTTAGAAGACTTTCAAAGGCATTTACCCACAATGGTTGTGTTCCTTTTTGTCTATACTATCCTCCTTATGGTAATTTCTTAGTGAATATAAGTGGAGTGATTGAGTTTGGCGGTAAAAACTTACTAAGTAAAAATAAAATGAAAAAATAAATGATGAATATAGGGAAATAGTATTTTGGAGAGTGATGAAAAAGTACTTACTCTAATAACACTTCATCTATTAAGGCATGTGAATTGCTTTTCTTTTTATATTAGTTTATTACCTCTGTTGGGAGCTCTAAATATCCGGTGCTAAAATAATAATAAATAAGCAATAAAATAATATAAGGAATATATGAAACAGTATTAAGAGAGATCATAGTGACATATAAAGATAGTTACATACATATGTGAACCTTGTCTTGCAAGATGCTTAATTTACTATATCACTTATTTTTGTTATTCCTTGTCTCTTTAAGATTTGTATTGTAAATTAGTGGCTAAATTAATGTTAATGTCTGCACTATTGTTATCTCCATTCTCTCCTAATTTAATCACTTTGCGAATGCCAAAATCAATTCCATTATTGTCTTCGAATTATGAGCTTTTATTTTAATTTTGCTACTATTCATCACATTTATCCTTCATTCTTAGCTACTAACTTAATATAATCAAATCCAGAACCTATTTATTCAATGAAGAAAATGCTTATTGAAAATAATTAATTTGTTTCATAAATAATACTATGCCCTTATATTCATCAGTTCAAAGATAACCAATCTATTCAAATCTACTTTGTTCATTACTCATTTCTAGCAATAATTTGCATACTTTAATTCATATATGCATTTATTTATCTTTTAATTTTCCAAACCATCATCATTACTAATTTCATATCAATCCCCTTATTCTCCTATTCTATGTAATTATAACATTCAGTATAACCCTATTTAGAACATTCCTAATCTTATTTATCTTCTAATTCAAAAAGGGAACTCTCAAAACAACTTCATCAATGAATTCAGAATGATATTTTCTTTTTATACTCTTTAATTTCATTTTGATCATATAGAAAAGTGTTCTTCTATTCAAAAGATAATAAGCATAGAGTCTTTGTTAGAATAGTCGAAAGTAACATAAAATGATAGATCTTAATATTATTTGAAAATAAGAAAATCTTAAAAGAGATTGGTAAAACACTCTCAAGCATCTTATTTATGCTCTTATCATTTCAAATTTTGTATTACAACACCTTTATACAGTAATTAATAACGTAAATTAATTTAAAATTTATATCACTTTTCGTATAAAGCAAATGCTGATATGGGTCTAGGAACATCCATTTTCAAGCAAAGTTTCTTTGATTTCTTAATATTATCACTTCCTTTATAATCAGTTCGAGAAAACTATCAATATATATATTCTAAAATTACAAGTTTTAAATAGTTCTCATCTGAAGTTAATATATTATTCATATCACTTTTATATGTATTACTTTCTCTCATTTTTATTGGACTAACATCATTCTTTTACCCTTCTTAAACACTTCCACGAAATCCCAAAGATGTATTAGCATGTTTATATGTTCTTATACTTTCTATCTATTCTTTATGTTCATTTCTTTAAGAACAAGAAATTCTGAGCTTATAATTTATTTACTCTTTTACTTTTTTATCAACTTTTGAATCTGGAGATAAGATAGGATCTTTTGCTACTGGTTATCCTGGAACGCTCTTTCTTACTTTTTTTTGAGCCACATCTTATCTTGGCTCTTACTGAAACACTTTTATTGAATATCTATGGTTCTTCTCTTGTTAAATATCTGTTTATTTCTATTGATATTTCTTCATAAAATGACCATCATTAAACATCATCAATTTAACATTTGTCTTGTTTGTAGATGTATGAACGTTTCTAAAAGGATCTATTTAGGAATCTATTCCACTAAATATTCCTTTCTTTTTCCCGGATTTTTATGCTGGTGCATCTTAATTTGCCTATTTTCTTATCAAAACATACTTAAATTATAGTGTCTGTCACTTTGAATGTTGGCGAATTCATTCTATTCTCCTTACTTTTCTTGCAAGATTCAATCAAAGCTTTCTACATTATATTACTATTGTAAAGTTTTTCTCTGTCTTATTGTTATGATTTAATTTATTTAATTGGTGTTGTTCCAAATGGACCTTCCATTCTATCTTTAGACATACCTGATTTTGAATTAGACTAATACAAAGTTAGAATTGACATAATAAATAATTAAATTTTATTTTGCTATCATTCATTCTAATTATGCATTCGTTAAAATGTTAAAATTTCTATTCGTGCAATTACTACCTAATTTTCTTTTGTGTTATACATAATCAATTGAAAATATTTCACGACTATGTCTATCACTTTTTTATGGAGAAACACTTGAAGCAGCATTATTATATTTATTTTTATTTTTGCATTCCTGGCAATATCTTACCCTATTTACTGAAATTTCCTGTTTCTTCTCACTTTAATCATTACTATTAGTGCGATAATTATTTTAATTATTATGGTCTTGATTTTACTCTATGTTTTACTCTTCTCTTTTTTGTTGAACTATTTATACATCATTTTAATATTCTGATGTTTAAACACCAAAATCACTTTTTTGATTCTAAACAAATATTGGAATAGATTCTTGAATTGTTTTTAATTGTTTATTTTGTTACACTGCTATTTAATCTTCTTGTTGAACAAGATTATTAAATAACATCTGTTATCCAAAATTTATTTTATTTTGTTTTTACACATTCTCTTTCTCTATCTATTTCTCATTTATAGACTCATTCATTGCTATATAATTTTGTGTATATTAAATTAAATCCTAACTGGAATTTATCATTTTTTCTTTACAATGATATGTATTTTACATAGTCAATTTTGCTATTTTTTCTTTTAATTAATCTTTTAACAAACTTTATTTCATTTACTAATCATTTTAATGAAATGACACTTGGGGTGTATTATTTATTTTAGCTTATGAATTTTAATATGATCTATTTTAATTCTAAACTTTATGAATCAATGATTTTAACGGATCTAAATCACTCGAAATAATTTTTTTAATCTTTTATTAAAACTTTTCGTTTTGGGCAGATGCTTAAAAAGATTATATTTATTATAAATTCTGTTCAGACGAGTGCCACGATTTATTGATTCCTTATTTCTCATATTAAATTTTTTAATCATCATCATTGAAATATTGATTCACAATTTAGAGAACTTTATAAAGTAAGATAGAATATTGCTGAGTGTCGAATAAATAAAGAAACTGATCTCTATTAGAACATGTTTGAATAAATAGTTTATTTAATCGTTTTATTCCATGAACAATTGACAAAAACAGATAAATATTGCATTGTAAATTTTAATCATTTACTTCTTGTTTAGCGTTTTAACTATTAAATATAAGGTTTTTTGCTTTTTGAAAGTAGGGTATATTATGATTAATTCCCTAGATAGAGAAATTATTGTACAATGGAAGTGTCTAGGTTAAAAGAATTGCCATAAAATTGATTCATTTAGAGGATTATAATTATTTATAAAATTATTGATTAATGGATTTTAAATCTCGATTTAAAGGAAAGATGACAGTGATGAACAAAGATGGAGTTATTGGAATGGTAAATAAGCCAGCTTTGCCAATTGTCAAGAACAATCAAAATATTTAAGAAAAAGAAGATTCATCTCCCACAAAAAAACAGTCTAGTTTATATACTGAAGGAATCAGGGAAACTAAATCTCATGTTTTTACTAATATTTAGATTTCACCAAAATAAAAAAATTCAACTAAATATTCCTAGAAATTTTCTAATACAGGAAATTAAGTTATAAAACCAACGCCAAATGCAACTGACCAAAAACTATATTTGGATGATAGAAATAAATAATTAAAAAATATACCATTAAGAATATAACCAGATTTTAATCAAATTGATATGGATGAGTATGAGATAGTTGCCATTCCTAAAACTATGTTGGGATAATTACATTAATAAATGAGTGTAGATAGATACGCTCTAACTCATAGTTTTGTACCAGATAAAAAATAATACTTTGAGTATCATTTATTGACTTTTTAGATTTTAACAGCACTCACCAGAAGTGAATACTTAATATACTTAAAATAATTATATTCCTCTTTTGAAGAAACAATACACTATTGATTCAACAACTATGCAACAAAAATAAATTTTTAACAAACAGATATCTGAGAAATTCGAGAAAAATAATAAAATTATACAAAAAGCTGGAATTGGAACTCTTGGATACAAGTAAACTAATATATCTTATCTTACTAGTTCCTATACCAAAAGATGAATTTTATTTAATTATTAATATTTATTTTTGGATTACTTTTATAATATTTTGATAAATATGATAATTGTATCTTTGAATGTTTTATACAAATTAATTCAATCATTTTATATAATATTGTTTGCTTTTAATTTAAATATGCTTGATAATTTTAATTAAATCATAATTAAAATTATAAAGATTATATTACTTCAAATTTAACTTAAGCATACAATCTAACAATCTCAAAGTAAAAAGCAGCATCAAAATATTGCCCTACTTGTAATAATCAATCTTTATTTAAGATTCATAAAAGTTACATTTTTATTGTTTAGACAGAGCATGAATTTACAACTTAAAGACAATATAAGTACGCAATATAAACAATTCAAGTGTTTATGGAATTTTAGATCAAGTAATTTTTATAAAATTATCTTTTCAGAATATAAGAATTTACTTAAAATAACTTTATAAAGGTTGAGAGAATTAAATCCTTCTCAATCTTTAAGATGATTTAGTATATAGAATATTTATTTTTATGACTAATATCATTTTTGATATCAAACAGGATATATCTGAATTTTTCTTTTTGAATCATAATCAAATGAATAAAAATTTTTGATATTTTATAATTCTATAAGCAAAATATTCTTAAAGATATGATTTATAAGCATCTAAAGACAGAATAAATATAAATTGATTCAAAAATGAAAAATATATTTCTGCTCACTAATAAATTAAATTTCATAAATTAAGAAAAATCTTAAACATTATTTAATGAAAAGCTCAATGGAACATTTAGATATTCTTGATGAAATGGCTGATTTTCCAGAAGAATTGAATGTCAAAGCAATTCTAGAGAAAGTTAAAGTATTTTTAGTTGTAAAATAACTAAAAGAAGATAGTTCACCAAATTTGGTCATACCAAATCTATATATAGGGTGTTTAGGAACAGTATTGAATAAAAAAAAACTCCTTGAAAGTATATAAAATGTATAAATTAAAGCTTAAATAACACATATTCTAAGTGTGTGCGAGATGCCAATATTTCCATATTAAGTAGAAGATTTTAAATCTCTTCTCATTAATATTAACGATAGTGTAGATTAGGAAATCAAATCAAAGTTTGAGATTGCAAATGATTTCATTCATTCTGCTATCCAAAAAAAGTAAAATGTACTTATCCACTGGTATTTTTACATATTTATTTAAAGTTTCGCTGGTAAATCTAGATCTGCTTCCTTCGTTATTGCTTATTTAATAAAATTTCTATAAATGACTCCACTTTAAGCCCTTAAACTTCTCCAATCAAAAAGAAGAATAGCATAACCTAATATGGGCTTCATGAAATAGCTTGATGCTTATCATAAGGAACTCTACAGGTAGCCACAGATACAAAAAGAAAAAAAATAGGAAGAAACCTTTCCTCTTGAGAAAAAAATTAAATAAAACGAACAAGAAGAAGATTAAAAGTAAATTAATGATTAATTGCTACTAAATTCATGATTATTTTTGACAGAATACTTATTTTCATACATGAACTTTAAATATTTTACTGATTGAATTATAATTTTAATTCAATAAAATTATCATAATTTCAATATAAAACAATATGAACTATTGTTAGGAGCTCATTCAAAACTTTTTACTTCTCTTTATAATGAATATTCTTTACTGGTTTTCCTTTTTTCTGGGTAATTATATAACTCAAAATGTACTTCTTTAAAATCTTTCTATTTTTAGCATATTTATTTCAGAATTTTATAGCTGCATACTTAAATGCTTAATTCTTTTACTCTTATAATTAATTGTAATATAGGATTATTGGTATGGCAATCAATTTGTATTTTAATATATAATAAATTAATAAACTTTTATTGTATTCTAAATCTTGAAAAAACAATATAAGATTAATTAATAAACATACACTAAACTATTAAATTAAGCAAAATCCTCATTAATTAGCAGCAGTCTTATTTTTATATTATTCTAACAAGGTAACTATTATATTATTAAACAATTACATGCCCTTGGAGAATTTGTAGGGTGATTTATTTATTATTCCGATTAAATAAATTACTTTAAATTTAATTTAATTTAAATTGGCTTTTTGGAAGTAATAGAATTTTATTGTATGTAACTTTCTGTCTGGCTAACTTAATTAAATTAATTAAAGTTTGCTTAGAGATTAGAATTTTTAAATTATTCTTGAAAATTATGTGCTCTTTCATCAATTTATCTGGATTCTAATGTTTGTTAATAATTATAATAATTTTAAGTTGGACTCTCATATAATTAATTCTTTATATAACCTGATGAGTTCAAGTTTCTGACGTTTGAGGTAATATTAAAATTTGATTTTTCATTAGAATTTTGGAGAGATTCTACTCTTTCTTAAGACAATTTATATAAATCTACTTTCTTAACATTTTAAGAATTACCCTCAAAACTATCATCTGAATAATATTATTATTGAGGTTGATCATAAGACTTATTTTGATGTGATAAATTTGTTCTCTGTTTTTTTATAGGTTTATATAAATTTTATTTAAATTTTTCTGAGGAGGATGAAACTGTAATTTTAGATATTTGTGAATACTACGAATAAAAGAATGGCTAAGTATATAGTTCTCTAGGTTCTTAATTTTGAAGCAATCTCTAAAAATGATCATTAATGTTTGTTTAATCTAAACTGTTAGATTATTATCTTTATTTTGTAGATGGGAAGCTATCAAATTTCCTTTTAGATTTAGGTAAAGTAATTACAATATGTCCCTCTTTAGACTTATTATTGTTATTAGTTTATATTTTTTACATTTTGCTAAATAACTTAAAACCAGAATTTTGATTTGTTATTTGACTTTAGTGAAATTTTTGATTTTAATCATTTATATTGTCAATGTTTTTTTATTTAATAATTTTTGAATTTTTTTAATCATTGATTTAAAATTGCTTTTTAATCTACCTGGGATCTGTATAAGGATTATAATTTTATTAAGAATAATTTTAAGTAAAATATTTTGGTTTATTTTGAGTTTAAGTTTTATTAAAATTTTTATGAGTGATATTTTAAGGAACCTAATGAATTCCTTAATAATTATTTTTTTCATCAGATTCTTGATTAGATTATTCATTAAATTATTTGATTTCACTTTAGTCCAAATAAATGGAATTACGAGCAGAAAGTGGAGATGTCAAAAGTGGTGATTATGTTTTGGTATTGAATATTTAGTTGGATAACAACCCATCAGATTTTTTCTAAATATAAATAAGTATATTACAAATTAAATTCCAATTTAAGAATTTCTGCTACAAATAATAGTTTCTTTTGGCTTATCCATTTAGATTGATTTGAGTGCTGAGCTTAAATTCAGATAGTAAAATTACATTCATATTTAATATTGTTTGAAGTTAGGCCAAAATGTAAAATATTATTCTATAAATTAACTTCTGCATTAAGTTATTGCATGATAACAAAATCATGATATTTTTGTGATTGTGTCAAGTTTAGTGAGTTTTCACTTGATATAAGTGTAAATTAATATACAACTTTTAATTTGAGGGGATTTAATTTTTTAATTAAGCAGAATATGTAAATAGGGTGATATTTAGGAAGGTTGACTAGAAGATAATGGAATATTATTTTACATTGATATTAATGAGATCAGGGATAGCTACTAAGCATTTAGAGATTTCAAATAGCTCTTTAGAAATATATCCATCAATATAAATGCTTTATTCAATTTACATATAAAAAATAATAAAATATAAAGTGAGTTTTGATTAAGAAATAATGTTGTATAATGATTATAAAATCAATCAAATCTGATACGTCTAAAGTTAGCAGCAAGGATAGAATCATCAGCTTGAATGATTTCAAATTTTTTTTGTATGAAAGAAAATTGTATTTCTTCTAAGCAATCTTAACTTGATGAGAATTTAACAGTTTTTCCTTTGTAGACTTCTTCATCAAAACCTTAGACAATAACACCAGGAGGAATTTTGATTGATTTAACTTAATTAACTTTTTCCTATAAATCGAAATAAATGATTACTCTAGCAAGTGAAGGAGTATCTCTACAGATTTCATATTTAGTTCCTTTGAATCCACATTCAGCATATAATTCCACACAATCTTCTTTTAATTCATAAAGTAATTAGAATTCTCTGAATCCCCAAGATTCATCATCAGCAGCTTAATCTAATGTAGAAGTTAAAACAATATTAGCAGTAGGATTAGTATGTTCAACAATGACATCAACATTAAAGAAATAAGTCATCCAAGTACTTTAAGGAGCACCACAGATTTTAGCTTATCCTGGAGTACTAAATCCAAATGGTCTTTCAAATACAACTTTACCATCAAGGAAGAGTTAGAATTTTTCATCATCCCATGAATCAATCTTCCAGAATTAGAATTAGATTCTGAGTCTAGAATGTTTAGGAAGATTGAAATTTCTTTCAGCTTTAGCTTTCAGACCAAATCTTTAATAACCACCAAACAATTTCTTTTAACCACATGTTGAAAATGGATTTTAATTTTAGAAAACATTAGATGGAACCCAATCAAATAATCCTTAGAAATCTTATTCATCATTAAAGAAGAATCTATTTAATGTCATCCATTTAACTAATTATAATTTTATATTAAATTACTTCCTTCTTTACATTCTCCATTTACTAAATCAAATCCTTAACCACATGAAGTACAATCAGATTTAGCAGGTCCAGTACAACCTGTACAACCTTTAAAACATTAGGCAGCAAATAATTAGAAATCTCTAACACCCCATGATTCATTTTCAGGTGGTTCATCCAATGTTGATTTCATTAACACTTTTACTTCTGGGAATTTATGAGGAACATTAATTTCTATATTAACTATTTTTTCAGCCCATCCTTCTCCTTATTTTGCACCTGTATCAACACCACATAAATCTACTCCTTCATTATATGCAAATGCTTATCTAAATTTCTCTTAATCATCAATTTCCATTAAAAATAATTCATTATCCCATGAATCAATCTTCCACATTTATACTTTCACTTTAACTTAATAATGTGGTGGTAAATTTGTAAATCTCTTCCACAAATTAGCTTTTCTTCCTAATTTTCCATAACCACCAAAAAGTTATACTCCTGCACATTCATTTCCTTCAGCTTTACCTTCACCATCTAATGTCCAACCTTCCAATGATATTTATTTATTCCAATTTGTAGCTACATTTGTCCAAAAGAAACAATTATCTGGTTTATTATCACTACAAACTGAACATTCTGGATGACATCTTTAGAATGATAATTTAAAATCTCTAAATGCCCAAGATTCCTATATTTTAGAATAAATTTTACATTCAAAGCATCTTCATCCAAATTTGAAGTCAATACTATACTTACAGTTGGAGAATTATGAGGAACTTCAAATTCAATATTATAAAAAGCTTCTTTCCAATCATTTGCTGCTCCACATAAATTTGCTCCTTCTGAATAATGCCATTTTGCTTGCCATATGAAACCATCAACTAATACATACATTATTTCATTATCCCAACTATCAATTCTAAAAGTTTTATTATATAAATTTATTTTTACTTCCATAACTGTACATTAATCTTTAATTTATAATGTGGAGGAAGATTCAATTATTTTAATGCTGTTGCACCCTTTCCAAAAGCTCCATAACCACCAACCAAACTTATTTTATCACATTTACTAAATGTATTTCCCTTAAATGCTTTCTTTACAACCCAACCTTATAATTATAATTATTCTTTACCATCCAAATCATTTATTTCTGCTGATGTAAATGCTGTGTAATGGGTTACCCAAGGATCCTGAGCAAGCAAGATCTGCACACTCAATAATATAAGTATAATCGTCTTCATAATATATTAATATTAATGCTTATCAATTCTCTTTAAAAACGAATACTTTATAATTTGTATATGAACTTTATCCAATTTATATATAATCATTCTACTTCCATTCATTTAATTCTTAACTAACTATACACTTTTTCAAACATTAATTTATTCTTCTATCTTCCAAAAAATCTGTTTAACTTATTCTCAAAAATCCAGCACTTTTTCGATTAATTTAATTTCCTAATATTTTATAAAATTTTAATCACTACTCATAAAATTACTAGTAACCATTTCTTCAATAAAATGCTGTTTCTTAATATGGCAAGATAATTCCTACAAACTAGAATTAGTTTTTTAATTTATTTCTACAAATTTAAAAACTTTATACAATTCTAATCAAATCTTCTTGAACTTTTTATCATTAGAATTAATAAGATCTTAACGTTATTAACTAAAATAAATAACTATTAGTTTTTATTGTTAATGTCAAGATAATTTGGAGAATCTCATATTTGATCATTTATTAGAATAAAAAAATACAGAAATTTTATGAGATTTTTAGAATAAACATATTTACATCTTAATTTAACTAGGATATGATTATTTACTATTGAATAACAATAAATGCTATAAATATTTTTAAAGGGTTATTAAAATATTTTATAAAAAAAGAGAATTTTTTATAGAAACCTTTGTATTGATATTTACATTTTTATAACCTTGAATTTTTATTGTTGTTCTTAATCTAATAATTATTTAACTTCTTATTTGATTCTCTAATAAAAGCTTTTTTGAAAATCAAAATGATATAGACTTAAAAACATATATTTTAGGTATTAATAAGTTATGGTTCAAATAGGGAATAAAAATTTGATGAGTAAAAGAACTAAAAAAGCTTTATAATTAGGAATATTTTGAAATAATTCATTTGGTGTTGACTTAATTAAATAAAGTAATTTAAATATAAAAATGATTTAGAATAAAGGAGATGAAAATTTCAAATAAGTAAAAATGAATCCTCTAAATAAATCAACAAGCAAATAGCTTTATTCATTTTCTAAATCTCCTAGATTCAATTATAAAGAAAAGCCTGATTATGTTAAAAATTCAGCACCATTTTATGAGATTAAAGGCACTATAGGATCTCCAAATAAAGGTGTTACTTTTGGTTATGGTACTAAAGTAGATTTTTCAAAACTTTGTGATGAAACTCCTGGACCAGGATCATATAAATTAGAAATAGAGCAACCAAAAACTAATATATAGAAACATACAATGGGTATTGGTAGAACATATTATAAATAAAAGAATGACATACCAGATGTAGGAAAATATGAGATTTAATCTAGTTTAATAAAAAAAGAAGGAGTACCTCATTTTGGACAAAAAATAACATTTAGTAAATGAAATAAAAATTGTAGAGGCTGAAACATGTTCTCCAGGTCCAGGAAAATATGATATTTAATACAAGGAGCACTCATAATCATTAATTTATCATCCTGTATCAGATAGAAAAAGTCGTACACCTGATAATATTCCTGGTCCATAATTTTATAGACCAAAAACAGATTTTTCTGCTAATTATGTGAATTCAAATTGGTCAAATTGTAACACATCTAAGTTTTCAAAGGAAGAAAGATTTTCTAATAAAAAAAGTTATAAGCCAGGACCAGGTTAATATTAAATACCAGGGGAGTTTGGAATATACTGATTTATATGAATAATTATAAAGTTTATTTAAGAGTGAGACCAATCGAATATGATTAATCTATGTTAAGTATAGATTAGAATGTTATATCTATAAAGGTAATATATAATGAAAATGTTGTTAGGATCCAACTAATAAATAAGCTGAATGGCAATAATATCGTTATGATAAGATATTCCCATCATCATCAACATAATAAGAACTGTTTGAAAGTGTGTTAAGTTTTGATTATGAGAATAAGAATGCTTGTATATTATCTTATGGACAATCAGGCAGTGGTAAAAGTTATTCATTATTTGGAAATATTCAAAATCCAGGAATCGTTCCATTATTAATATAACAAATTTTATAAAAGGGTTAAAATGTTTAAGTTTCATTTTAAGAGATTTATGTAGATTAAATAAGAGATTTAAATACAAATCTAATAACTGAAGAATTTACAAAACGATAAATAATGTTAATTAATGATTTTTGGGAAATGATCAAAATTCTTAGAACTACAGATATCAAAAGATAAATGAGAACTCATATAATACTTACTTTAGAGATCAATTCTAATACTAGATTATAATTTGTAGATTTAGCAGGATCAGAAAGAGTAGCAAAAAATATAACTGAAGGAGAGAAATTTTAAGAAGCAATTATGATAACTGCTAGTCATCAAGTTCTTAATCGTTGTTTAAATTCATTTAATCAAAATTCTAATAAAATATTACCAAAAAAAGAATCTAAATTAACATCTGCATTAATAATTGATAATAATACATAAGTTATTTTAATTGGAACTATTAATCCTAGTTAATCAAATTATGAAGAGTGTTTATTAACATTATAATATTTAGATAGAACTAAAAATATTTAAGTTTCTTTTAAAAAATAATAATCTATGTTAGGATTTGATACTTAAATTAATGTACAATAAGAAAAAGAAATTAAAAAATTAAAAGATGAAATTGAAGAATATAAAATTAAAGTTGAATAATTAAATACTGACAGGAAAAAAAGATTTTAAGAATTATAAAGACTTTTAGGATTAGATATTGATCTAGAAAGACTCTCTGCCAAAAATGCTAAAGATATTACCATTTTTAAAAATTAATAAGAAGCTTTACTTAAAAATGTAAGTTTATCATAATAAATTGATGAATATCATTATGAAAATGCATAATTGAAAAAAGAAATAGAAGATATGAAAAAAGATACTCATTCTAAATTAGAGAGATATTAATAATAAATATTAGAATAAAAAGAAATCAATAGAAAATTAAAAGATCAATTATAATTATCAAAAATGAGTGGAGATGATGCACTTAGATTATTATCTTCAGAAAGAGATCAATTTATTAAAAAATTATAAGATGAATCCAAAAATTTATTAGAAGATAAGGTAGCTTCAATTCTTAATTTACCATAAACAGCATAAACCAAAAATGTTGAAAATTAAAAACTTTAAGAATTAAAAAAGTAAATCAAAACAGAAATTGAAAAAGAATTCAGTAAAAGTTTAGATATTATTAAAACTGAATATAATAAATCATTAGATCACTATAAATTTTAATATGAGCAAAAGTTAAGTGCTAAGGTAGATGAAATTGAAAATTTCCTTGCTTAATTCAAAAAATATAGAGAGAAAAAAAAGTAATCTTAATTAGAATAATTTTAGATCTTAAATTAATGAGATTGTTGATGAATTATTAGATTTATATGATATTATAACTAAGCAAAGTAAAGTTATTGATAAAATTGAAACTGGAGGATATAGTGGAGGATTGAAATCATTTAGTATTCCTAAATAGGATAAACCTAATATGCCAAATAAAATTAAGCACAAAAAGTATCAATTTATTTTTTACCATTAATTTAGTTTGTTTCATTTTTTAGATACTCAAAGTGTAACTGCTACCTTGACCAAAAAAGCTTCAACTGTTGAAAAAACTATTAAAACAGCTACCAAATAATTACGATAATCATAAAGCTAAATTATATTGGAAATTGATTATAATCAATTAGATTCAATTAACTTTATGTCCATGGACTTTAGTACTGTGAGGACTTATGCTAATAAACTTAGAGAAATGATCAAAGAACTTTAAGAGTAAATTAATGTAAACACAGATAAATTTAAATAACAGTTAGCTTAAATTTAAAGAGGTAAAATTGTATATTTTTAGATTTTTAAAGAACGTGACGATGCCTTATAAAAGTATAATATGGAAAGTAGAAAATACAATTAAACTAGAGTTGTTATAGAATCATAAAATAGAATTATATCTAAAGTTAGACCACTTAGTTCAGTTTAGAGGAAATAGTGATTGTGAAATTTAATGTAAAAATTTTATCATTATATACTCCAACTCATTTTAGTCTAAAAAAATCCAAAGCTTATTCCTTCTTGTGATTCTGGCTCATCTTATTATAACTTTTTAATATTTTAATATTTCTCTTTCCATGTATTCTAATTAATATTTAATGTATTACATAAATTTAAGTCCATTATTACTTCTCTTAAAACTAATCAAAAGTTTATTGTTTGTAATTCTATAACATTGCTTATACTTAGAGATTATCTCTTTAATTATCGTAAAGTTTTTTGTTAAGTTTCAACATTTTCATTATATCATCTATCGATTTTTTATAAGTCTAAAAATAAAGTTCATTTTATGAATGTTAAATTTAATTTTAATTAAATTTTTTTTCCCCTAAAGAATGTCTTTTTATCTAAAGATAGAAAATTAAAAATTACTAACTATATTAGAAACTATTAAAATTATTCTAATAAACTAAGAGTTAATTCATATTTTGAAAAATCAACTATCCAACTTAAATTAATAGAAAATATTTTTTAAGTTATCTAAAATAGTTTCATAAAAAAGAACTCCTTCCTTATATTAAAAAATTTATCAAATTAATTTTAAATTTAATCTATTTTAGACCATAATTGATTTGGAATCTCTTATTAAAAATCTGCTAACTTAACTTGTAATAATCTTTGACAAACAGGTTTAAGAATCTATATTTCATTCGAATATTGCTTTTTTAGTTCAAGATCATTTAATAATGAATTAAAGATATCTTATATTATTTTCCTTTTCCTATCCAAACTCACATCTAATATAGATTTTTATTTCAATAATTAAAGGATCTTTCCAACATGCTCAAGCTGATATTCTTTTTGAAATTCTTGTAATAAATTTACGTGATCCATCCATAATGTAATTTCTTGAATAAAACTATCAGTTTGTATTTTTGCAATATTTATTTATTTTTCAAGACTATTTAAATTAAGTGTCCAAACTGTTATAGTTTATTTCAAATCTTCATCAGACTAATTTAAATTTATCAAAATACAAGAATATTGTCTTCAATCTTATTTTTATTTTTCAAAAATACTAACTTTTTCTAAGGTGGGTTATAATTTATAGGTTTAATCAACCATTATTCTTTTTAAATTGTTTCTTATGTTGAAGGACGTGATTTCCCTATTTTTGAATAAAATGAGTTTTTCAAAAAGCTTTCTTTCATATTTGAATCATTTGTTGTTGCTTGACTTATTTAATCACTATCAAAAATCATCATATTCCATACTTAATAACTTTATACCATATAAAATGAAATTCTGCAAGCTGAAAATTAAAATGAAATTGAACCTGATCTTAATTATATTTATTCTTTTTTATTGAGATAAGAAATAATTTCATCTCCACAAATTTCAAAAACTTTCTTAAATTTATCAGTTAAGTCTGGTAGATTTTATTCTTATTTTTTAAAGTCTTTTCTTAGGTCTTTTTTCTAAATTAATGGTCTTCTAATTTACATAATAATATAATATATTTATTATGAGTATATAAATTTATGAAATTTTTGTTCAAGATATTAGCTATTTGCGAAAATTTGACTTTTACATTTTCTAAATGATATTTATAAAATGTTACCACAATTTCTTCCTAAAATTCTTTATTTAACAATTCTTTTTATTTTTCAGCTTCTAATCTAAGTCTTTATCTTTCTTTCAATTCTTTTTCTTTTTCTTATTTCAATTTTTCTACTTTATCTATTTTTTCTTCAAAAATTTCTCCTTTTTTCATTCTCTCTTTTTATAAATTTAATTATTATTCTTCAACTTACTTAAAATAAGTTTATAATTTTTATTATTCCTACTTTTACCTATCACTTAATTACTTGTTCAAATTCTCTTATAACTATAGAATACTTAATATAATTTATACATCTAATGAGGATTTGAATTTTGCATCTAAAGATTGACTTAACTCTTTTAATTTTTTGGTTTCAATTTTTCTTTTATTCTCCAAAACTTATTCAATTTAGTGATTATGTTCTGACTTTTTTTTAAGTAAAACATCTAATTATTCTTTTTAATATTCATTTTCAAATTTCATTACACATTCAATAGTTTTATTAACTTAAAGTTGTGATTGCTATACAAATATAAAAATAAATCTTAACTTTTAATTATTCTAATTCAATGAGTTTAGCTTGACTTAAATTTTTTTCAAATTCAATTCTTTTTTATTCAGCCTTCTATTTTAAATCTTCTTTAAATTTCAATTGTTTCATAGAGATGTCTTAGAACTTTTCTTTTTTTTTCAATAGAAGTTATGAATTTCTAATTTCTTTATCTCTTAATTTTTTTTCATATTCCATAAGATGCTACAACTCTCGTTATTGTTTTTATCTTAGTTTTAATAGTGGATCAGTTTTTGACATTATTTACAAACAATTAAAATAAATAATAATGATAATCATAAAAGTTGTAATTTGGCATATTATTGTTTTAAAATTTTCTATTCATATTATATTATTAAATATTTACTTGTAAATTAAGTTATTGTTAATTATGAATGGATTCTTTAATCAATTTGGTTTGAATTCTTAATTTTTATTTGTTGAGTAATTCTTGTTCTTACATAATTTATATTTCATGGGCTTTTTATATTTTAGCTTCATATTTTTTCAATTTTTAATCCTCTTATTGTGATAGAAAGCTTTTTTACATCAATATCCATTTATCATAATCATCTTAATTGAGTTCAATTTTAGGACTTAATTTGGTATAAAATTGAAATACCGAGTATGAATAGTATTGAGTTCTTATGATTTGAATCTTTAATGATTCTATTGATGTTTAAAAACATTAATTTGGCTAAGTCTAATTTTTTACATTTATCTATCAGATAACATTTACATTCTTTCACAAGATTTCAAGAGAATTTAACTTTTTTATAATTCTTTGTTTTGAATGGATTATTCATATTTACGAGCCCTTTAGATTTCTAAATCTTATTTTTGTTTGAATAATGATAATGAGTGCATGAATATAATTAATAAATGAATTAATGAAATAAATAATAACAATTTAAGTGGGTTAAAGTGGAAATTAAATAGGAAATGCTATATGGAACTAAATGATGGATGATTGTGGTGATAAATTGGATTAAAAATTTTTTCGTGAAGGAATCCCTCGTACAGTATTGGTAGATAGTGAAGAGAATACATTAGATAAAATAAGTGGAAATAAGAATTTATAATATTATGATCCAAATAATTTCATTTATGGAAAGAATGGAAAATGTTTAACATTTGCAAGTGGTTATTATGGTTAGAATGATTTATTTGATGAGATTGTAGAAAGAGTAAGAAAAGAGCATGAATAATGTGATGGAGTTTAAGCAGTTTAATTAATTCATTCTATAAATGGTGGTACAGGGTCTGGAATGGGAGCTAAATTAGTATATTATACAAGTGATCATTTTTGTGATTGTTCAAAGATTAATATTTCTATTTATCCATCAAAACATGAGAATAGTGTGATTTATCCATATAATTCTCTATTAGGTTTAATGCATTTAAATTACAACTATAATATGGGATTTTACTTTGATAATGATTCATTATAATAAATGACAGAGAATATGTTTATATATGATTAAAACTATGAAACATATAATTAATTATTAGGATTTGCAATGGATGGGATATATAAATCTTTTCGTCATAATTCATACTCTAACACAAACTTTTATAAGATATAAACTAATATAACTCCATTTCCAAGATTACATTGTTATACAATATCATTAGCACCTTTGTTTTCATATATTAATACTCCAAGTCTTTTATAAGTGAGTAAAGAAATATATTCAAAAAGAAATCAAACATTTTCAATGTCATTATCTTCAGGTGTATTTTTAGCATAATAAATAATGATATATGGAGATACAGATGTGTTTTCAGTTTAATAAGAATTTAAATAAGCAATAAGTTCAGATGATATTCAATTTGTTAAATGGGTTGCTGATCCTATCACTTATATAATCTGTCCAAACAAATAAAAATAATGCGAATTAATGGCTTTTTCAATTAATCATCATACTGGAATAGGAATTAAACTTAATTAATTGAAATAACAATTCAAAACACTTTTTTAAAAACGTGCATATTTGCATTTATTTATGCAAGAAGGACTTGATGAATTAGAATTATAAGAAGCAGAATCTGCATGTGGAGATGTAATTTCTGAGTACTGTTGTTACAATGATTAAACTGATACTACAGATGAATGATTATATTATTTATTTTATAATAATTGTATAAACAAATTAAATATATATATATCAATAGAGATACTAATCATAATCCCACCTATTTCTATGTTCATTATCTTAATTAGATTTTACGATAACAATTTTGTAATTAAGGACGTGAATCCTCATAATTTGAAATGTAATCATTACACTCATCATAATATTTGTTTCACTATTGGACTATTAAATTCTATTACACTCTTTCTAATTTAATACAAATAATTTTCTCCATCATTCTAAATGTTCATTCTTTTCTTGTTTCTCTTATTTCTCTTCTATCCTGCTACTGTATAAGGATTCAATTTCTGATGATGCGATCTACTATTTACCTCTTTTTACCTACACTAAGATGGACATCTACTTCCAATTATTTATGACATCAATTTGAAAATCTTGTTATTTTTTCCATTTTATTAGCTCTGTATATAAGTACTGTGATGCTGCTCCAGAAATTTAACATATATCTAATGTTCCCCATTACTCCAATGTCCTTAATTCTTTATTCCATTTTAACCTTATTCCTTGTTTATCTTCTTTTTTATCACTTCTTAATATTGATTCCCTTCCTATTCTGCACATAATTTTTAGCTAAAATTTTTCTCACTTCTATTATTCTTCCTTTAACTGCTCTTAATTTCACTTAATTCAATTTCTGAACCATCCCTGTTGTCCTAAATGTCAGATTAATATGAAGTTAAGTTTACGACAAAGCTCTCCTTCATTAAAAGTTTTTAAATAATTATTATATTCTCATCTACATATCATACTGAAAAGTCTGAATCCACTATTATTTTTTCATCTACTCCCTTCTTCTCTTTTTATATTTTATTTCTTCTAAGAATTTTTATAATTTCTTTTGTATTATTTCCATACAAACCTATTAAACTATTTTTTTTTAACTAACTCTAATTCTAATAGAATATTTATTTTTATTTATCCAAAACCTATTATTATTTAATCAACTCTTATCAAATAGAATATTTTTGATTTACCAAATCCTTTTATTTTCATTCGCTTATTATATTATGCTTATGTTCAACACCAAAAATATCTTTTCTTCCATATATCTTAACTGTTTTTCAATTTATCATAAAATCTTTTAATTAATGTATTAATTCCTTGATTGAATAATTTTATTAAAATTAAAAATATCATATTTATCCATAAAATTTATTTTTAAATTGAATCTTTCATTTAAAAATAAATAAATTTATTGATTAAATTAAAGTTAAACTATTTTGAGTTTATAATTTTAGTAAGAAAGAGAGAATATTCATTTTTTTTTGAAGCTAAAATATTTTAGAACACTAGATTCTATAATTGCTTTTTATCAAACTTATGAATCATAAATTATTAATTGAGATAGATATGAAAATTTTGAATACTATTTTAAATAAATTAAATTAGAATAACTTTTTCTTTAAAAGAATAAATGTAAGTTTGATGAGCATGATATTTAATTAGTTTGTGTATGATTCGAAGAATAGGAAAGATAGATTCTAAAATAAGACAATTAGGAAATATAATATATTAAATTACACAAGTGTTGAAAACAATCAGAATCTCAATGACTTTTCACTTTTTACAGCTCCAAACTTTTCATTAAGTAAGCTTTTGATTTTAGTATAGTCATTGTAGCTCCATGATTTCTTGGCATCCTTGTCATCCAACATCTTAAGTGCCTAAATAAGATTAAGATAATTAAATTACTTATCCCCAAGTTACAAATCTACCCTTGACTCTTAATCTTTCTTCAGCAACTTTTTATCTAATATGATAATGGACTTTCTTTTCATAAGTTCGATTGTGTTTTTTTTCTAAATATCGTTTAACTTTTTATTTTCTTGCCATTTCTTTAAGTGATTCATGATTAGTTGATGTGCATAATTATTCAACCCAATCTTCAAATTTTAATGTTTCTTCATCATTTAAGATATCATCACACAATCCAACCTTGATTCTTAATAAATCATCTCCTTTAATATAGTTTGAAACAAATTCATCCTATTTTTGAGATGGTGTAAAACGCAGTTTCAATTCATCTAAATGATTATCAACATTAGAAGGAACAGGTAAATTCTTTGGATATGAATACTTCTTTTAATTTTCACGTTAGAGTATATCAGCTAATCTTTCTAAATCTCCCATAGGTAATATTTCTGATTATTCTACTGTAGTATGTTCCCATTAAGTACATACTTTTTTTTTTGGATCTTCATCAAGATTGAATTCATCAAAAGAAATTGGCTTTGGTCTTTTGAAATGTGATAATTATTAAGGTGAATAAACAGGTAACTGTATTTCCTCTTATAACTCTTCCTCCTAATTCAACAATATACTTCATAACTATTTACTTATTCATTTTCTGCCATATAGTGAGGTTCACCATACGTAAATGAGTTTTCCTTATCTAATTCTAATTTCTCTAATACCATATCACTTAACACTTTTTGAGTGTTCATTTTATACTCAAGATTTTATTTTTGTTTAAAAATCTTTTTATTTATCTCCAAATTATCACAAAACCTTTTAGTATAGACCTGTTCCTTCAGATATCATATGAAAGCATCAAAACTTGTATTATTTATTTAACAACAAATAATAGAAATGACACATAAATAATCTGAATAGTTGGTTTATGGAATTGTGAAATTTATTTATTGAATTCTAATCATAAAATATTAGAAAAAAGACCATTAAATAAAAGTCCATTTAATATTGGGTTTAAAATAAATTGAAAAAGATAATTAAGAAGTTTTTGGTAAAGAATTTTATTAAAGAAATATATAAAAAAGTTATTTATGATGAGTCTTATAGAAATGGAGAAATGGAATTGATTTCTGAACTAAAGTTAAGAATGAGAGATATAAATAGAGTTCAGAAGTAGATTGAGTATGAATAAGATAATTGTAAGATTGAGAATAATATTAATTAGAATAATTAATTATTATAAATGTATTAAGACGCAAGTTACTATTCATAATCGTAGTAGAAATAATCAGTAAAGAATAATTCAATGAAAGTTGCTCGATAATGGTAGATAAATGATTAAAAAGCAGAAAAAAATGGATTACATAAGGCAATTTATTGGGTAAAAAGTTAATCAAAGAATGAAGATGGAACTTAGAAATAAGAGAGATGGATTGCTGATCAGAAATATGTTGGTGATTGGAATTAAAATAAAAAATGTGGTTTTGGTGTATAATATTATGGAAATGGTGATAAATATGAAGGAGGATGGTTTGATAATTAAAGAAATGGGCAAGGTACATATTGGGTGAGTGAAGGAAAGAATAAGTATAAATACTGAAATAAAATAAATATAGAATGAGAAGAGAGTATACAGGTGATTGGGTAAATGATAAAAAAACAGGAAAAGGAACAATGTTTTATTAAAATGGAAATAGATATGATGGTTTATGGTAAGATGATAAACCACATGGAGAAGGACGTATGATATATGCAAATGGGGATGTATATGAAGGAGCATGGTTTAAAGGTTTAAGAAGTGGATATGGTGTATTAACTAAAAGAAATGGTGATCATTTTGAAGGATATTGGGTCAATGATAAAAGAGTAATTATTATTATTATATATTATTGTTTAGGAAGGTTAAGGATCTTACTTCTTTGCAACTAAAAATTAAGTCTTTGTTGGTGAATGGGTTGATGATATGCCTAAAACAGGTGTATATTCTGAAGTTGAAGATCCTTATACTGTTAAAGAAGAGAGAGAAAAACATTTTATGGATCCATATGTATTACCAGATGTTCCTAAGGTTGAATTATAAGATCCTACTAATGTTCTTAAAGAATCCATGGAATTAGCTAGAAAAGAAAGAATTATTTATAGAGCCATTCATATTCCTTTAGATGAAATGTATTCCAAATAAGAAATGGAAGATTTGGCTCTATAATTCGAATCTGCATCCAATTAAGAACATAAAATTACTTTAATTAATAGTAAAGCCATATTCTAAAGTATGGGCTTTGAAATTGAAGGTATTTTCACTCTCTCTATTTATTTAGAAAAACTACTTTAAACCTATCTAAAACATCTACAATAAGATAAGTATAATGAATTTGAAATTGAATTGGAAACTTTCATGAGATTAGTGGCTATTATATTAGAAAGTTAAGGCTATGATTAATCAGATATCAATATTTGAAATATATTATTAATATACATTTATTAAGAAAAAATACTAAAAGTAGTATTAAGTACTATTGGTGTTTTTTTTATTTTAAGAATTTAAAACATTGTTTAATATTGTTATCCCTTGAAATTTATATTTAAAATGTAGAATTCATATCGGTATTCTTATGAATCAATAAATTCTAACTTTAGTACTTTTATTAATTAAAAAAATATTTGACTGTTAAAAATTGTGGACCTGAGACTTCATTTATTTTTTGTTATCTAAAGTGAAAATTAATCAAATCATAATAAAAGATCTGAGTTAGTTAGTTTAATTTGATTAGATTAATTTCTGAATTAAAAATTTAAGTACCTAGAAGATGTTGCTGTATTATTATTTTATATTTAATTTAGGAATCTAAGGATTGGAAAATACTTAATTAATTTTATATGTAGTTATACACAGTATATTATTTTAATTCATCCACACATAAATTGTTTCGTTCCTATAAGTTTTAAACATTTAGGACATCTGTGTATAGCATCTTTACAGCCATCTAAAACACAAGGCAAAAACGCAAAAACAGCTGTGATTATACCTGCTATTAAAATGAACATCACTAAATAACTACACTTACCCATCTCAAAAAAAACGTCAGTTTCTATTACTTAATTGCATTTAGTACACAATAACTTCTCTTTTTATCTTAATTAAGGAACTTTTGGGCAATCAGCATCTTATTCAATCAATTTATTTCGTATAGATAATTCAACTTAGCTTGATTTTACAGTTTAATATGCAGCCTAAGATTGACCACTTCTTGTTTATTGATTTTGTTAATCAGAATCAATCATAGGATTCGAAATCATTTATTATTTTAAATATATTAAGTATCAATTCATAATATTGATTAAACATCAAATTTTCTTAATTGTATAATGTCACGGAACCTTTTTTATATATGTTTTTTAATTATTTTAATCTATTTATTCAAGTTCAAAAAAATAAGATATTATTAATAACGAATTTTTATAATAATATCATGAATATGCTATTATTAAAAAACAAAATTTATTTCATAAATTGGAAATTCATTCAAACTGTTAACAATCATAAGTCACCAAGTGACTTTTCAATTGTTTTGAATAAGATTTTAACCGTTGTTTTAAAATATAAATAATTATTATAATTTATGATTCCCCATTATCCTATTTTGTTTAAAACAGTATCAAATAACTAATAATAAATTTCTTCTGACTTTCTATCTATCGTTAATTTAGATTAATAATAAATAAAAATATGAACAATTTCAGCATACTTTCCTAGTTAAATAGAGATATGCAAAAATTAAATAATATAAAAAATAGACTAATGAAATTTTCAATATTTTAGAAAAGTTTTTATCACATAATTGTGATCAAATCAATTATAAAAATAAAATGGCTATCCATCCCCATGAAATTTTAAAAAAGAATTATTTTAGGTTCAAAATTTTTATCTCAAGAGAAAATACAAAAAATGAATTAAATTAAATAATTTTGGCATTTATATATTTTTTTAAAATAGGAGTAATTTGAATTAGAGCACAAAAATAAGAGGCCTTTATAAAATTTTTAAAAGATCTTTCCTTGTATGAGGTATTATTGTACAAACATTTTAATTCAAATATATTTGAAGAATTATAATAAAAAATAAAATTCCATTAATATAAATCAAGAATATTTTGTATAAATTAATAATCCTTACAGTGTCTTGATATCTCAAAATTAATAAAAAATCATAAATCAAGTAATTTTCAATAATGATCTTTAGACTCTATTTTGAAAAAAATTAATTTAATGTTTTTTTTAAACATTGATTAATTAAAAAGTAACCTCTTATTATTTATTTTTGGTACTATTAATATATTATATGAATATATATTATAAAAATCATGCTTTTCATTTGTTAGGTATTATTTTCTTATAAAAGACAATTTTAATGTTTTTGAATTAACATTATGCCGATTTAATTTAAATAATAAGTATTGAACAAAAAATTTTATCGAAAACAATAAAAGATAAGTTTCTAAACGTACAGTTTTAGTTTAAATTGAGAATACTATTAAATAAATAAGATTAAATAAAATGCTTTATTAAATTAAATTTATTGAGAAACATTAATCATAGATTAGTTATAGGTTAAAAAGTAAAGATTTATTATTTTTTTTAATTAAGATGTATATTTATATAATGATTTAATTAGGTGATAATTAAAATAATTAATGAGTTTATTTATTGGTTAATAATTTTTTTAATGAGAATAAATAATGAAAAAGTTTTAGAGATAATTAAATATAGTGGAGGAAAAGTAATGAAATTAATAAAAAGGATATAATTAAAAATGTTAGATATTGTAATATATATTAATTTAAAATATTATTAATGGGTTGTTGCATGAAAGGAACTGCTCTTGTAGCAGTGAGTTCTATAAATCAAAGTAATAGATAGATTAAGAAATTTGAGACTTAGAGGTCTAGGGTGGATGAAATGAAGTCTGTAGTATTTGAGAAAACGATGTATGGAAATGAAGATAATTATTATGATGATGAGGAGTTACGTATAATAGATCGGAATAAACTATTGAATTTAATTGAAAATGAGCCAAAAAGAATTCGTTGGACTCCAGGATAAGTAATAGGATAAGGATCATTTGGAAGAGTTATAGAAGCAATGAATTTAGATACAGGATAATTGATGGCTGTTAAATAAGTGATAGTAGATATTAGAAATGAAGATCGTATAATAGCACTTGAGATTGAAATTGATTTACTTTCTTTAATGAAGCATAAGAATATCGTTTCTTATTATGGAATGGAACGTACAGAAAAGACATTGAATATTTTTCTAGAAAGAGTAGCAGGTGGATATTTGAGTTCAATGTTATAGAAATTTGGTCCATTTTAAGAATCTTTAATAAAAGTTTATATGCGATAAATTTTGTTGGGATTGGAGTACTTACATTAAAATGGCATAATGCATAGAGATATTAAAGGTGCTAATGTACTAGTTGATAATTAAGGTGTGTGCAAATTGGCTGACTTTGGGAGCAGTAAGAAGATTGCATTAAATAGTGATAGCACTATATTTGGTACTCCTAATTTTATGGCTCCTGAAGTTGTACAACAATAGAAATCTGGAAGAAAAGCTGATATATGGAGTCTAGGATGTACAATGATAGAGTTAGCAACAGGTAAGCCACCATGGCATTAATTGACAAATCAATTTGCAGTTATGATAAGAATAGGGAAAGGTGAAATTCCTTAAATTCCAGAAGGATTCTCTGAAGAAGCTAAAAATTTTGTTTCACATTGTTTAGAGTAATTAAATTAGAAAATATATTGTTAGAGTTGATGAAAGGAAACGCTGGAATTGTACAAAATTACTGAAACATCCGTTTCTGATTTAATAGAATAAACTCGAAATTATTTAAGGAAGAACACCTTTACGTAATACACCTGGAAGTAAATCAAAATAGAAAAAATCATTTAAATATCCAGAATAAGAGACACCTCATTCTCCTGGTTAAATGAAAGATTTTGATAATTAATAGTCAGAAAACCTTTAACCTATGATTGATAGTTCTTTTGTTCTCAAATAGAAAAGATAGTAAGAATGATTAAAACTACTTTGTATTTTAATTAGTTATCTTATTAAATTATATTCTAAGGAAAACAATAAATTAAATTAATTTAATTTCAGTATTTATGCATCAAGAACTCTAAAAGTTGGAATAAATGAATAATTAAGAGTTAGAATTGGTGAAGTAGGTTTATGAATAAAAGGTAAATCCGTTTTTAAGTATTTTGAGATAGTATATTTAAATACGAGAATTTACATGCTCTCAAAAGAACTGGAGTAAAAAACGTTTGAAGTATCAAAGATAAAAAGGAGTTAAATTATTGTTTAAGAGGATCCAATTCAAGAAGATAACTTAATAGAATTAGAGAGAGTGAAAACTTAGGATTTAATTAATGAAACCATAGAAAATATGGAGTAAGAGTTATCTGAAGTGAAATCAAAGTATTCAAAAGAATTATCAGAGTTATAAATATAGTTGTGGAAAAGAGATTTGATGATAGAGTAATTAAATATCGAAATATAAATGTATAAAAATTGTTAAAATTAAAATCTCGACAAAATGAAAGTGGATTATCTCTCGTAATTGATTGAGATAGTTTAGGATATCTAAATATAAATTTAACAATGATTGTATTTATGTTATTAATATATGAAATATAAAAATATTTAAGTTAAAATTTTGACTTATGAATAGTTTAATACAATGAATAAAGAATGCTTTTGATTGATTTTAATAAAAGATACAAAGTTTTAGATTTGTATTGATGAATAGAATTGGAAACATAATTTGAGAAGATCAGAATTATTATTAGCATAAATTAAAGTGACGGATAAGAACAAAGTATTGTATAAAAAGAGATATATAATGTAAAGTTGAATAAATAATCAGTTAGAATAGATAGAAAAGAAGGGGTTTGAGATTAAGAGTATTATAATTAAGTGATAAGGATTGATAAATGAAATTGAATGATACTTGATACAATAATGATTTTGTATTGGAAGATTATTAATATTATTATATATGCAACCATAATCTAAATAATCTTAGAAAGAAGATGAGCACTGTTAAGTAGAAGATCATATCTCGAGGAAATTTGAACTACTTGAATTTAAAGGAAAAGGAGCTTATGGAGTAGTTTGGAAGGCAGTTGACCGTAAAACAAAATAGATTGTTGCATTAAAGAAAGTACTTTAAGTATTAGAATGATAGATTTTCGATGCATTTCATAATGCAACTGATTCACAAAGAACATTTCGTGAAGTTGTTTTCTTAGAGCAGTTGGTAAACCATGAAAACATCATTAAATTAAACTGTGTTATAAAAGCTGAAAATAACAAAGATTTATACATGGTGTTTGATTTTATGGAAACAGATCTTCATAAAGTATTAATATTATAATAAATCTAAAGGTGATAAGAGCAAATATCCTAGAACCTATTCATAAAAAATATATAATATACTAAATCCTTAAAGGTCTTAAATATCTTCATACTGGTGAACTAATTCATAGAGATTTAAAACCATCTAACTTATTAATCAATTCGGAATGTAAAGTTAAAGTAGCTGATTTTGGCTTAGCTAGAAGTGTTGCTAAACCAGATGATAATAGTAATTGTTGTTATAAAATTATTAGGTAATCCAATTCTCACTGAATACGTTGCTACTAGGTGGTATAGAGCTCCTGAAATATTATTGGGTTCTTAACATTATTCTAAGGCTGTTGATATGTGGAGTTTAGGTTGTATCTTGGGAGAAATGATAGTTGGTAAAGCCATCTTCCCTGGAACATCGACTTTAAATTAGATTGAAAGGATTATTGAATTAATTGGAAGACCTAAACAAGATGAATTGGATGCTATTTAAGCACCTCTTGCTGAATAAGTTATTTCTAGTATCACTACTTAAAAGAGGAAAAGCATTACTCAATTATTTTCATCAGGCTAAGATGATGCCATCGATTTTATCAAGTAATCATATTATTTATAATTAGAAAAACTCTCATTTATAATCCATACAAAAGAATGACTGTAGAATAAGCACTTAATCATCCTTATGTTAAAGAATTTAAAGGTACTGAAGATGAAATCTCCAGAGGTAAATAAATCATTTTTAGATATTTTATTAGATAGTGCCATTGAAACATTCATGGATGATAATCGTAAATATTCTGTCAAAGAATATCGAGATAACCTTTACTCTCATATTACCTAAAAGAAGAAATTGGAACATAAAATCTTAATTCGTAATCTAAATAATGTTCCTGTTAATATCAGTGCTGAAAAATCTACTTCCCCAACTAAAAAAGATTCCTTTCTCAAAAAAAGCAAAGATTCAGAACCTTCCAATACAGATATTAGTGATAATAAGTAATAACATGAAGCCTAACATGTTAATCGTACCCTTCATCATAAAACTCCTTCCTACACTTAATAACTAAGAAAAAATACATCATCTTAAGAACATAATTACAATCATGAACCTACTGCCTAATTTATTTATCAAAGCCCCAGTATGATGATGTAAAAAAAATAATCTTAATCAATCTTCCCTAATGTTGATAATGGTAGTCCCTTAAAACAAATACCTAGAAAACAATCTATGTAAAATATCTAAAATAGTGTCTCGACAGTTTTATAAAATACATTATAATCCAATCTATAAAATCAAAGTGCTTTATAGGTCTCTCAACATTAACTCTCAAGAAAAAGCTCCCAGGGAAGTATTTAAAAACCATACAAAATGTCAGCGACTAATTATAATTCCGTTTTTTAACAATTAAGTAAAATCAGAAAATGATAATTTACACAAAATCATAGTAGCAATATTATTTATTTATCTAACCTCCTAAAAGAAATTTCTTAAAATTTCTGTTATATTAAAATTTAGGAATAATATAAATTTCATGATAATTAATTTTATCAAATTTATCAAAAAAACCCTCCGGACTTAATTTCAGTTCCCTAGGGATGCGATTTTTGTGATTAAGCTATCGATTTTGGTCCAGATTTATTAGATTTAGAGAGAGACTTTGATGATTTTTCACTGGCTTGTCTAATTACTTATGGAAATCTCACTCTTCCTTAAGAATCATTTCGATTTAATCCATTTTCTTTAAAATCAATTCCTTCAGGAATAGTCACTTCATTAATAGGGGTATCTGAGACTGACTTTGTCATCTAAACCTTTTCCCAAGAATTTAGAGGAGGTTTAGGTGGTAATGCTTTAACAATATGATCAATTTCTGGTTTTTCTAAAGTTATGATATCAAATTCTATACATATTAAAATTGATTAACTTACCTTTATCATACTTTTTAATCAAATCATCATATTTATGTCTTTTAATCAATCTATCTTGAGTTCTCATTTAATCTTATAAATCTCTTTCTTTATACTCATTTTCTAAAACATGTCTTATTTCATAACGTTTTTTATGATTTCTATTAATTTCATCAATCATCTTAATTTCTTCAGGAATTTCTTTAGTTTAATCTAAATAAACTGATTCTCTGAATTTCCAAGATGGTGGAAATCTATCATTGAAATGTTTTCCATGATTTAATTAGTCTTATTTCAATTTCCTCAATATTATCGGATAAAATACTATTAATATTCATATTCTCTATCTTCACTATAATATGTTCCTGCCACAATATCATAATTTCTAACTCTTTTACATTTATCATTAATTTCTGACATTACTGCTGCTTCTTAATTTTAAGCCTTTTATTCATGATTATCCAAAAACCTTAATAAATTAAATATACAACTTATTTGTTATAATATTGAAATCTCTTTTGTTTCTATTAATCATAGGTTTTTCATGAACTCGCTTTTAAACAACCACTTTCATGTTTTTATAATATTCTTCACTCTTTTTCTCATTTGTTATTATATTATAATCATTGAAATTAGGTGGTAACTATTATCTTATTAATATTATATACTAAACATTATTTAGTTTTCTCTCTCTCATCTGGTCGATCTATCCCTTATACTTATTCTAAATTAACTAAATCATATTCATGCATATATTTCTTCACCATTTCCTATCAAATCTCAAATTGCTATACCATTTTCTTTTATGCTAATGTTGAAGTCTTCTATAAATCCTTTTCTTTCTCTTTAACATCACGATCTGCATTTTAATAAGTTTATAAAACAGGGTTAAATTCAGTTTGCTTTAATTTCATTTCCTTTTATGTAAAGATCTTTGGTTTCTAAAAATCTACTTTTTGTTTTCTATTTCCTTAATATCTAGTTTTTTTAATATAGTATTTTACTCTTTTAATTCTTCAGCCCATGCTTTAGTGTCAGCTGGATCAATATACATAGAAGCAGTTATTAAATTAATACTTTAAAAGATAAATAAATAATTAACATTATTTTATTATCATAATTACTAATTTCTTTTCTTTTCCTTTATCTGTTATATTTTACACTTCTTATTTAAGAAATACATCTAAAATACATAACATTTACATTTAATCATTTATTTTTATTTTTTATTTATGCTTTTTTTCATTAATATTTACAATGTAATAAGATGATAAAAATATTGATTTCATTCCTGTTCCAAAAAAAAATTAAATTATAGTTCCATATGATTTTAAATAGGAAAAATATGATTTAACAGATAATGATCTCAAAATACTATAGAAATATTTTTAAGAGTAAGATTATATTCACTATTTAAATAAGAAAAGCTATTCTGAAACAAATGCAGAAAGATTTCAATCAAAAGAAGAGTTTGAACCCCTATAAAAAATCTTGTAAAAAAGTTCTAATTCATATTAATATTTAGATTACTTTGAAAATAATATTACATCTTCTAAGTTTTTTGATTCTTCTATCACTTATTTACCTTTGGATTGGATTATTCATTGTTGTTTTAGCAGATCCAATCATAATGACTATGTATGGTTATTTAGTGCCGTATTTAAGTTGGTATAAAGGAATACGTCTGGGTGTTGAATTAATTATAGATTATGGAAAGTCTAGACCATTATAAAGCTATTTAAAATCAATGAACAAAAAACATTTTGGCAGTAAAGGAATTTAATGGAATGTTGGAGGAGGAGGAAAATGGATTCAGATAGATTATTTGATACACTTGAAAAAATGAAACAATTCATTTTAGAAACTCATTTCTATCTTATAATTAAAATTCAATCAATATTCTGCATTTATAATTTTAAGTTAAATTAATTCAAATAGCAAAGACTATCGATTAAATTAAATAATTATATTTACTTAAATTACGCATATAATTTATTTATATTCAATAAATACACATTTATTTAGATATTTGATATTTCCTAACCATATCTACACTTTATTTACATATTCTACCTTCCCCTCTCTATTTTTAATAAAAAGACCAATAAATCTCTTCATTAACTTCCTATTCTTTCTAGATTGAATCAATTATTGTGCTCTGCGATTCTTCAATTAAATTTGATATAAAAACTGTTTTTTGCTTTTATATGGATTCAATGTTAATTTTTACAAAATTTATTATTAAAGAATAAATTTCTATAAGATGTAATTTTATAAAAAAAATAGAAAATATCAAATTTATTCATTGATTTATTATTTATCCATTCTTTTTAATACTTTATTGACTGGTCTATCATTTGCCATATAATCAAATTTGAGTCCATTTCCGTTAAATATTTATCTATCTCCTTTGCCAGATTTATTTCTTCTACAAACGTCTTCAAGAGATTTGATTTTTTTTCTTAAATTATTTTTTGTTTATTCAACTTCTTTTTATTCTAATTATTTTTTTGCCTTTTCTCTAATTTCTTTATCAAATCTATTGCTTCTATAATACTTATTGGATTTAATTTCTTTATAATCCATTAAATATATTAATATATAAATAAAAGAATTTATAAATATTATAAAATGTAGTAAAATAATTCTCTATTTATAAAACTGATATAATCATATAGATTTCCTACAGAATGGACATGTATTATTGATGTTAATCCAAGACTGAAAATTGAAAATAATTCAAATACCATAATACAAGTTTCATGATAATGATGCAATTTTGAACATTTGAGAATGACAACCTCTTCATTCAACTCATAAGGACACCTACAAATACAACATTCTTATTCTCCTTCTATTAAGTTTGGTTTATATTTAATGGCTTACAATCTAGTTTTAATCTCATTTCTTTGTTACTCTTTACTAAATCTATTAATGTCTTTAATTTAATTACAAGTTTGCACAATAGTAACAACTAAGAATAATTAAGAATGGAGATCCTAGAATTGCAAAAACCAGTATCAAATAAAGATCAATAAATTGATATAAAGAGATTACAAGGATTGCACATAAAAAGTAGAATTAATACATTAACTCCTCTGATTTCATACTGTAATATATACAAAATAAGTATACACCATAACCAAATATTATTTAGTAAATTATTGCTATAACTCTGCAACACCATTTCCCAAATATTGTCAATTTTACTATTTCTAATTTTATTTATCGTGATAATATATTTAATTTTCTTTATTCAATTACTTACTCTACACTAGGAGCAACCATAATTTGATCTAATTTATATGCCAATATTCTTTTATTCATTGCTAAATATTTTAAGTGATTCTTATGAATAATGATCATTATAAATGCATGGAACATCACTGCCAATATCCAATAATTCAAATATATTTATTTGTGATTCATGTACAATAATGCAAATCCACATACAATTTTACAAGAGTTGAATGACATAAAATAATACTATGTTGTTCTATAATGACTCACTGCCTCTTTATAAATTGGAGTTTCAATATAAATTTGCTACGCTTCAGGTTCATTTTGATTCACTTCTCTATAATCATTATTCATTTTATATATTTTTAAAACGAATTTAATCAAATATATTACAAAAATTATAATACTTATAAACTAATTCAAAATTCAATAAATTTCAAACTCTCTCTTTCAAACCGTTAAGAATCTATCATTAATTACTTTTATTTTTTCATTTTATTAAATTTAGTAACTAAATACCATTTAGTAAATTCTAATAAAAGAAAAAAGTATTATTAAAAATTTTATAAAAATTTAACAATTGTAATATTTATGTTCGTAAAATATAAAAATTAAAATTTTAATGAACTCAATTATGACGTTATGATGTTGAATTTTAAAGAAAAAGTAGGATGTTGTTTGTTTAATAAATAAATTTTAAATCAAAAATAAAATGTCTGCAAGATTATTAACTGCTGCCTTTAGAGGAACTTGCATATAAACATATCCTGCATCAATTTATACTTTATCTACATAGAATGAATAATAATAACTTGTGAAAGTAATAGTTCCAAAACATTTTTTTGAGATGCCAGTAGTTCATTATACTGATTAATCCATAGCTATACTTGATAAGAAACCAACTCCTAAATGAATATACAATATATATTATATTATAATATACTAACCATTAAGAATTTCTAGTTTCCTTAAAAAGAAATATCAGCTTTCTCTATGATGAATGATAAGAATTATTATCAGATGCATGGAATCTAAAACTAAAACTTATGTATGTTTCATCATTCGGAGTTTCAAATTAGCAATTCAATAATCAGAAATCCAAATGATATCCTCATTTATAAAGAATTCAAAGTTAATTATAAGTTAAGTTAGTTAAATGAATCCCACATGATTTAAAAATGTGCAGCATGTTAGAATTAATAAGAATATTTAAATTCTCATTATGGAGGATTAGACAAAAAAGCTAAGTCAATTTTGACATAAGGAAGATAACTAAGATGTATATCATTGTATTATCTGCTTAAAATTAGTTATCATACACTTATTCATTTTTATATTAACAAAAGTTAATAACTTGAAAAAGTCTAAAGAAGAAATTAAATCTAATAATTATTAAAAAATTACAATCTATCGCTTAATATAATTGCAAATATAATCATAAAACATACATAACTTAAGTATTAGGTATAAAATTTTGAGGGACTTTCTATATTGTAACAATAAATAAATTATAATGATTCAATGAGTATAATTTTATAAATGTATTCTATTTAAGAAATACTAATTAGATTTAGATAAAATTTCTCAAAATTCTAAATATTTACAAGTTTTTCAAATTGGATTGAATAAAAATTGACCCAAGGAGTTAATTTTTTGTCTATCATAATAATCATTCGAGTTTTTCATTCTTATGTTTAAGTTTATTTGCTTTTTCTATAGATTTAATGAATCTAATGCAATTTATAAATATAATTTAGATATATTCCTAAACAACTAATTCAAATAAAAAAAGATTACTTATAATTTTGAAAGTTTAATATGGAGAGCTACAGAGAAGCTTACAGGCCATAAATACTTCGAGTAATATATAATATATGACATTAAAAATATATTCTTATATAGAAAATTAAACAAAAAACTTTAATAACTCTTAATTAATATTATTTGGAACAAATAGGTAATATCTTAGAATTATATTATTTTAATAATTTTCAAACATTAATTATAATATATTTAGCTTATGGATTGGTTCACGTGTTATATAAAAATTAAAGTATTATTTGATATTAATGAAATAATTTAATATTTTCATTTAAATGTATTATAAAAAATTAGCAGAAATTTTCTAATGAATCATTAATACTTAAAATGATGGAATAACGAAGGATCCTAACTGAATGAAAACAATATAATAGATTTATCTTACTCTATTGTCAAAATTGATTAATTTTTTATGTTGAAAATTTAATACAAAAATCATGAGGAGGAAGTCATTTGACATGATATATAAATAAACTGTGGTGATAGATAAATAAAATTACTTATATCATTGAAATAAATTTAATCAATTCAGAAAGAAGAATTTAGAATGATTTTAAAAAGATTATTAAAATATCTGATAAAGAAACAGGGAATAATAAAAACCTGTTTTTAAGATATTTTTTAGAATTCTAAAAAATCTTATAAAATTATTGAAATTAAAAAATAAAAAAAATGATAATTTAATAAATGAATAAAAGAAAAAAATTAGTTTAGATCATTAATCTGAATATTTAAAAAAATATAGCAAATAATCAATAAAATATATTTATAAATCTGTAAACATAAAGGATTGAAAAAAATAAAACTTAGATGAATATCTGAAGTATTTTAGATTATTTTTTATCAACTAGTTTATAATTTAAAATAATAAAGAAAAAGCTAAATAAAAGATGGAAAAAATACTGTGAATTTATTTTGTAAATTCAATTTTGAATGATTAATAATATTTATATGATATGAAATAAAATTTGTTAAATCTATAATAATGCTAATAAATAATATAAATGTCCTTAATAATTTCAGAATTGATAATCAGAAGCATTATTAGCCTTTCTGAAAGCAGGTTTATCACATTTAAATAAAGCTATAAAATTAATAATTAAGTGATACTATCTTTAAATTATGTGCATTTTGATTGATCTGATAACNACTTCGAGTAATATATAATATATGACATTAAAAATATATTCTTATATAGAAAATTAAACAAAAAACTTTAATAACTCTTAATTAATATTATTTGGAACAAATAGGTAATATCTTAGAATTATATTATTTTAATAATTTTCAAACATTAATTATAATATATTTAGCTTATGGATTGGTTCACGTGTTATATAAAAATTAAAGTATTATTTGATATTAATGAAATAATTTAATATTTTCATTTAAATGTATTATAAAAAATTAGCAGAAATTTTCTAATGAATCATTAATACTTAAAATGATGGAATAACGAAGGATCCTAACTGAATGAAAACAATATAATAGATTTATCTTACTCTATTGTCAAAATTGATTAATTTTTTATGTTGAAAATTTAATACAAAAATCATGAGGAGGAAGTCATTTGACATGATATATAAATAAACTGTGGTGATAGATAAATAAAATTACTTATATCATTGAAATAAATTTAATCAATTCAGAAAGAAGAATTTAGAATGATTTTAAAAAGATTATTAAAATATCTGATAAAGAAACAGGGAATAATAAAAACCTGTTTTTAAGATATTTTTTAGAATTCTAAAAAATCTTATAAAATTATTGAAATTAAAAAATAAAAAAAATGATAATTTAATAAATGAATAAAAGAAAAAAATTAGTTTAGATCATTAATCTGAATATTTAAAAAAATATAGCAAATAATCAATAAAATATATTTATAAATCTGTAAACATAAAGGATTGAAAAAAATAAAACTTAGATGAATATCTGAAGTATTTTAGATTATTTTTTATCAACTAGTTTATAATTTAAAATAATAAAGAAAAAGCTAAATAAAAGATGGAAAAAATACTGTGAATTTATTTTGTAAATTCAATTTTGAATGATTAATAATATTTATATGATATGAAATAAAATTTGTTAAATCTATAATAATGCTAATAAATAATATAAATGTCCTTAATAATTTCAGAATTGATAATCAGAAGCATTATTAGCCTTTCTGAAAGCAGGTTTATCACATTTAAATAAAGCTATAAAATTAATAATTAAGTGATACTATCTTTAAATTATGTGCATTTTGATTGATCTGATAACACACTAAATGATATTTAGGTTGAATGTTTGCTTCCTTGAAAGGAAATAATTTTCATGAACATTCTTTTTTTAAGATTATAGTGCTTGGTGCATTATAATCTTCTTTTGGGAAACTTGAAAATATTAATATAACATGATAAAAGATGATGTTACTTTCCATTTAAGTTGATCTTTTCTTGGCTGTAGAGAAATTGTAGGATGGTGATTCCATAAATAAAATATATTAGATTTAAATAAATGTAAGTAACACATTTATAAATAATTCATGATTTTCTACTTCTAATATTCTTGACAGCTAAGTTAAGTGCTACTTTACAAATTTGAGAATCTAATGTTTGAGTTGATTTCATAGATTTTCCTAATGTTTTAGCTGTTGCTGATTTTTAATGATGAATTTATTAAGATAAAGATTAGGCATTAAATTACTTAAAAGTTGTGGTTATTTATTATTATGAATTAATAACTTATCTAGCTGATTGAACTGGTTAATAGAAATTAATTTTATGATCAGTATTACTAATATTAATATTAAGTGGTTTATCGTTGGATTTAGATTTAAAATTAAGTTTACGTGGAGGATCACGATTTGATAATGGTTCTTAGATTTTAGCTCTTCTAAATTAATTAAGTTCTTTAATATTAAGTTTTTTTTTTGCAAATTATCCTTTGGAATGATTAGTAGATTCAAATCTTTATGTAAGACTTCTAGGATCTTAAAATAAAGACATGTTATCAAAATGAACAGTACTAAATTATTTAGAATCTCTAGTATGTTTTTTAGCAAGAAGTGTTTATAAATCAGTCATAACTTTAATTTCTAATTATTGGACTTTCTTAGGTAGATGGGGACTCTATTATGGTGCTCTAGGTGTAACACATTTAGGTGATTTTAAAAGAGTAGCGATTCTTTGTTAATTTGGTAATAGTGTACGATTTGTAGGAGATTTAATTTCAATATCTCTTGGTGTCTAAATGATGATATCAAACCATAATAAATACTATATGCAATTGATCTGATTTCATTGATTAATTTTTCTTTTTAATAACCGTTTTAGGAACTTTGTTCTTAAGCATATTGAGTATATTTGTTATACTGGATTTGCGTTGCTATGAATTGTTAGGTTTTTGCGGTTAAATAGCTTAATGTTTAATTTGGGGTTTATATTTCTCATATTTGAAATTTGGGATTGTTTATTGCAATAATTGGTATTGTTAGAGTTACTATTTGAAATTCACAAATTACGGCTTGGTCTCAATGAAACTTATGCCATCTAGGATCTTCTCACATTTAGATATCGGCTAGATTGAGGAGCTGTTTTACTTCATCAGAGGAACTTGCTTCTTATGCAGTCATTTATTGGCTCGACTAAGGTAAAGGTGAGTCACCTACTATGCCCTTTGGAGGTTTATCAGGATTGTTCTTATTCTCATTTGCAATCAATTTTGCTATTCGAAAATACTCTAATCTTCTCTTTTTATCATGGTAATAATTTAGTGGAATTATTGCTGGCACCATAAATAACCGCGGAATATCATTATGAAACTATGACTAGATTTTATTGATACTTTGTAATACTCACCCAACATCTGTAATTTTTCAAATAAAATTGTTTAATGATATGCTTTACAAAGCAGTTCCTCTGGTGTGTCATACAATAATACATCCTTATATAAGATATTATTAGGTGTGCGATAATTGTATAATATCTCACTTATTCCTTTCGTATAATGGTAATTTTAAGACTGTGAGTATTTCAAGAACAATGAATGACGCATAATGTCTTATTAATAATCTATTAAATCTACCTATTATCGGAGTGCTCTCTTCACAAAAGTCACATTTCATTTTGAATTTATTATAATTAAAATATATATATAATCACTAAGACTTCTAAGTCATCTTCTGAATCACTTTATCATTCTTTCCATCAATAATAAAGTCTTTCTTAGGATTGTATCTACACTTCTTTAATATGTTCTCGACTTCTGGTTCACTAGGTGTTCTTAAGATAGATCCATCATATCTATAAATAATTGATTTCACAGGTTCATAATAACCTTCTCCAACATCTGAAATTAAATTATAAAAAAAGTAATACCATAAGTACCCTCAGGAATTTCAATAAGAATATCATCCTTAGTCATTTGAGTAATTCCTGCAGGTTTGATACTTTATTTGATTTCTTGATGAAATCGTCTATCATCTCCAATACAATATTTCCAATCAATAGGCTCATATTTCAAATGATCTTCAAAAAAATAAGTTCCATCAAGCATCTTTCCTCTCTCCCATTTTGCTTTGTATTATCCCTAGACAATATTAGGACACTTAATGAAATACCCCATTAGGAAAAATGAGAGTCCCATCTCCATGAAATTCTCCTTTAAAAAAATCACCCTCATAGATGACTCCATTACTAAAATAGTATTTGCCTTTTCCATGAAACCAACCTTCTAGTTATTCACCTTCATATTTGCTTTCTGCCCACTTAGACATTATATTTATTAAAATAAGTTATATGTTATAAATAATATGTTTTAAATAAAAAAAATAAGAAGTATTATATGAGAAATTGAATAAAAATAATTTGAAGTGCTTTCTTAATTCGAATTGAATTCGTTTAATACTGGAAAGATTAAATTGATTCAAAATTTTAATATTTGGTAAAGAATTAAATAAAAAAATATAATTCCGAAATAATAAATGTTTCCTAGTAAATTGTATGATTTACAATTGACTCCCTCTTTGAACAAATTAAATTGTGATTTAGAGAGTGCCAAATTAATGGAATCATTCAGGAAACTATTAATGGAGGATGATAAAGAAATATTGACTCCAGCATTGGTAAATAACAAGATTAAAAATGATAGGACTTAATGAAAGCCATATCACATGCACTTTATGGGACAATTTTCTATTGGAAGAACTTAAGTGATTTATGTAAAGAAGATGATCTAAATACTATAAGTTAAGAATTACAGAGGAAAATAGTGATTTATGATATATGTGAGAATGAAGATCTTAGATGTCAAGTTATTAATTTTGGTTATAAAAAACGTATTTATCTAGCCAGATATTTGAATTATTTTTATGTGGTTGGTAAAAAGGGAAGTGATGAAAAGCATAAATTGATTAAAGAAATACTTTTAGATGTAATTAATGATATTATAGGTTTACCTATAAGAAAACATAAGCGATCATATTCTGATCCTTTTAAATATCTTTCTGATTAGAAAGATAATCGTATAAATAAAGTAAATGTAAAAAATGTACCACTATCTCCTTCAAATATTTCAAGAACTAGCTTATAAATGCAACTCTTAGATGAGATCAATCAAGATGGAGATTTACTTATGAAAGAATGCAATTCCCTTATTAATTCCACTACACCTTAGAATGAACTTTTGCAATCGTTGAATTTAAACTTACAAGAAGGGACCAATATTCTATCAAATGTAAGTCTTTGTGATCCAAATATTAGATTAGATATTTTGGTACTCTTAAGTTTTACGATGAAGCCAGATCTTATGGGTTTATTATTATGGATTAAGATGGTAGTGATTTATTTGTTCATTGTGATGATCTTACAAAGGCTGGTATGACTAAGGATTTTTTAAGAACTGCCAAACATGGTAATATCATTCGATTCTCTTTTTTGATATTGGAATATTTTGGCAAGTATAATAAAAGTAGAAAAGCAGTTGATTTGCAATTTATTTAAAGCCAAGCGTATTTCATGTGATATTATTTTTATATTATCTACTAACACATTTGTTTATTGTTTTTTTTAGAAAAATAGTTTTATATAATAATTTCGAATAGAATTAAGCAATCAAAATCAGATTATTTATATGAAAAATGCCTCTAATTAATTATCTAATCATTATTTTAGCACAAACAGACAATATATATTACATATTTTGGGGATATTGATTTTCTTTTTTCATTGTGATGCATATTAAGGTTAATCATGAGGCATTATTTATTTATATAATGATAGGTGAAAGAAAAAAAGAAAAACCACAAAATCCACATAAGATTAATGATAATGTAGATAATGATGATTTGGATCAAAATCTTTGTGATAATGAAAGTGATTATTATATTCAAAATACATTCGATGATGATATGATTGGAGATAATGAAAAAAAAATAAATATTACTAAAAATTAAAGAAACATAAAAAAGATCGAAAGAAAGATAATAAAGTTTAATAATCCTAATCAAATAAATGATATGGAATCAAATTCACATACTTATTTGAGCTTATTCGATGAGCAGGAAGAATAACAGTAAATTTTGGAGGAGGAATAAAATTGTAAAGTTAAAAAGGCAAATAAGAGTTAATACAGATCTTTTAAAAAGGAATAAAAAAAATAAACTGAATACTTCGATTGAAGCTTAGATTTGATTTATTTAATTTTTGTGCGGATTACTAATTATAATTATTAATTTATAAGTTTGTTATATGGTTTTATGATGATTGAATTCCCTTTCTAAATTTAATTTTACAAAGAATTTTGATCAATAAAGAAGAAACCGAAGACATGATTGAATAAATATTTTTGTTTTATTTTAATATGTAAATTCAGATTTTAGTATTAAAATTTAATATATAATTATGAATTATATTGATTAAGGTTCAGCACTGTCTAGGAAAGTGCCAAATAGAAAATTAACTAAAAAGAATTCTTTATTTTATTAGGTATGAGTCTGCTATTTACCAAAATTAGTAATCAGTATTGGAGAATGAAGAATTTCTACAAAAATATGAGAAGAATGTGGATCAATTATAGACAGTAATAGAAGAGCCTGAATTAAAAGAAGTAATATAGATCAGAAACGAGAAGTTTTTTTAACTTTTAGAATAAATTATAAAGGTTGAATCATCAATAAAAGACTTTGCAAAAGGGTAAATAAATAGGTTTTATTTAGATATTAAAAGTATGGATTTATTGTTTCAGATAATGGAATTACATATAGAGAGTGGGCTCCAAATGCATAAGATTTAAAATTGAATGATTATAGTTGTACAACTGACAATGGAGGTAATTGGGAAGTGTTCATACCAAAGGATGATGATGACAATCATTAAATAGTTCATGGAAGCACATTAACAACAAATTTAAATGATTTATAGAGAGCATCAGTATGGAGTTAAGTAAAGAATGGAGATAAAGCAATATTTTGGAATCCTGATAATAAATATGAATTGCAATAATAATAATAAAAATTATAATAATAACAATAAAGTAAAGGATTGAAAATGATCAAATAAAGAATAAATGAACTTGAGAATATATAAGGATACAATGCAATTTTGATAACTTAATAAGTATTAATGGCTGTGGATGTAAATTAAATAAATCCTGAGGAGTTAAAAAAGAAGATTGATGAACTTCATTAATAAGGATTATAAGTATTGATGGAAATAGATCATTAATTATTAGGAAAGCATTTAAAAAATTGGGATGGAAGTGATTATTAATATGTACGTGAAGGAAGTGATTAATTAGATTATGGAAAATGGGAAGTTCTACGATTATTATTATCAAATTTATAATTTTGGATATAAGAATATTAGATAGATGGATTTAAGTTTTCAAATATTGATATTACTGAAGATATTGATGTTGCTGTTTATTTAATGTTAGCTAATGATTTAATTCATGATATATTACCGAATGGGATCACTATAATAACTAATTTTGAATATCCAGCTATATGCAGATATATTAAAGAAGGTGGATTAGGTTTTGATTTGAAAGTATCATAATTATAATCTAAATAATATATGTCAAAAACATTATATGAAATTAGAGCAGATGCAACAAGAGCCGAATAATTAAATGCATTAGTATTCGGATAAGTAATCATCTACCTAAATAGTTTAGGGAGTGATTTCAGATAAGAAGGATAACCATTTCCTTTTACTTGAATCCTAACTTGGTTGGCTAGAAAATGAATTTGCTGAAGTTAATTAAATTGACTTTGTTATTGAAGTTAAGAGGTCCAAATATACATTTTTGATAAATCTCACTAATTAAGTATAATCTAAATGTCCATTTCTAGGATAGAACTATTTAACTGAATTACAAAATTAATCAAATCTTCTAATAGGAAGGGTACAAGTAGACTTAAATTGATGAAAATTCTATAGAAATTCAAATTCAATCAGAATAGGGATTGATTATACAATGATAACTATCTGAATTTACAGAATGTGTAGTAAAATAAATATCAATAATTATTTATTATAGAAATATAATCATTATATCTATGAATTAATAAATTACCAATATATATAATAATAATACTTCAATACTATAAAGCTTCTTAAGCATAGAATTTGACATCTCTATCTGGATCTTCAAACATCCCATAAATAGATCTATAATTAATTCACAATTACTATCTAATTTGTATTGATATATTTTAATTTCCAATCTTTTTTAAAAAAGACTTAGCAACCTTCAAACTTACAAATCTAATATTTGGAATTGGATCTTTCAAATATTTTTAGACAATAGGCCATAAATTTGTTTCTATTTAAGGACCTTCAATAGCAAAGCATATTTATTAAATAGCATAAAGTGCATTTATTCTAAAAAGACTACCTCCATCTTTTTCTAGAATTTCAATACATTTTTTAAGGAGATTACCCAATGCCCATTCTTATTTATAAACAGATATCAATTCACATAATGAACTTAATCCAATAGATCTAACTTCAGCTGCTCTATCTCTCAAAAATAATACAAATACTTCTTCTAAATGTTCTATAAAAATATCTAATTGCTTTAATTATCTATACTATAATATAAGATTAATACAAAGCTAATTGTATTATTGTTTAAATTGTTTCTTTTCTTACTCTCCATTTTGGATCATTCATACATCTTTTTAAATGTGGTATTAATTTATTTAACTCTTCAAATTCTATTGCAATAGCAAAAACTCCCATAGCCTTTATTGCATTTCTTCTCACCTCCCAATTTTCATCACTCATTAACTAAAATAGACATTTTCTTAATTAATTTTAACTTTATTATTTTGGTAATAAATTTGCTACTTATCCTATAACCTCACATATATTTTCTATTTTTAATTATAATAAAATTACATTTAACCTATGCTATTGGATCTTCAGTTAATTATTGTATATTACCAATTATTAAATATACTCTCTCTCTAGATATTAACTTAATGAATCTCAATAAACTTTTAACTGCTTCAACTCTTACATCACTTTAACAATCTTTTAATAGATTTGTAAATATAGGAATCAATTAAAAATCAGCTATTTCTTATCCTAAAATTTATGCTACCTATTATAATTATATTAAATATACATCGGCTAATATTTATGCTAAACTCATTCTAACTTTCCAAGATTTATCCTCTGCTTATAATATAATCAAAGGAAGAATATTAGCTTTAATTTCTTAACTATTTAAAACTCTTGCTATATTCATTAAACTCATAGAACATAATTATCTAATTGTGTCTTATTCATTATAGCAAAGCTCTTTTACAACTTACAAAAGCTATGCTATAACATATGTTTTTTCCATTTCTTATGCTATTTCTCCTATTTTACTTGCCACTGCTCTTCTAACCATTAAAGTCTCTTCCTTACATAATTCTGCAAATTCCCTAGTTATTTCAAAACTAGCCTTACTATCTCATATTTTCTTTTTAACATCCTGCTCTACCATATATAGATGACATCAAACTCACTGCAGATATCTTACATATAAAATTATCCTCATTTTATGCTAATCTTAACCACTATGTTTTTTATAAAAGAAATTATTTATACCATCGGTACAATTATATTTACAATCTCAGGATCACTCAAATATTCACACACTACAGTTATAGAATTAACTGCTTGTTCTCGTACAACAGTTTCATCAAAGCTTACTAGTTTCTCCAATAAATTTAACAATAATTTAGATTAATCAGGCATTAATTCTCTAATTTTTAATTGTCAATTCTACGCTATATTGCCTAGTTCTTCAGCCATTGCAAATAATACTTCATCCTCTTCTTTATCTAATAAGCCTTATCATTAATTAATTATTATTATACTATCAAAATAAGGTATCAATTAAGATCTAATATTTTCTACTCCAATTAATGTACAAATTATCCTAACTCTATGCATGGCATTCACTCTTAAATATACTTCTTCATTTTCCATGTCTTCTATAAAAACTTCAAAAGGATTTTCACTCATATTTTAATTAGAATATTTATTTAACCAAGAAAATATTTCTCGCGAACTAACCAAGATTTTTTTATTGTTTTCAAATAATAAATAATACTTTATCTATTCAAATAAATAAACAAATACTATTTTTAAATGGTTAACTGACCAAACCTTCTAATATTACATAATTCATATCATCACAGAATTTAGAAACTTGTGTATTATCATTATAAAAATTATATATTCTAAATTTAGGTTTTCAAATTAATTATTATCAAATAAGAATTTTATTTAAAAGAATTTTATTGCTTTAAGAAATTTGATGGATATCCTAAAATCATATCTTTAACCATAACTATCATCTAAGAAGAATTTATACAAAATAATTAGCTTTAGAGCAGATAATTTCAATTGGAATAATTTAAATTATTTAGATTTTGATTGTTCTGAATAGGAAGTATTGTGGTGAAACAATTATCTTAATAATTTTACAGTTATGTTGCAACAATCTTATGTTTGTTATAAAATTAAATTACAGCCTACTTAATCAATAGAATTAATATTAAATGATTTACAGAAGAGAATCAATTATATTTTTTGTTTTACTTTAAGATTTAAATATTTCAAGATGATGAAGATTCATTTTTATTTAATATAGATTTAAAAAATTTATTATTAAATTTTTTCTATAGTAATTTTTAACATCATAATAAAAATAGAAAAAAATACTTTTATTATTATTTGTTTTTGATAAAAATAGAGATTAAAAAGTAATCATTAAATAATATTGACATATGAAGATTTAGTTAAAGTTGATAAGAAATAAAAAGAATTTATGAATTGCAATTAAATGTGAAATTTGAAAAACTCTCATTTTTCATATTTTTGTATTGAAAAAAAATGTAAGACAAAATAATTGATCAAATTTAACAAACTCCTTAGAAATAATATTTAAAAATTATTTATTCAATATTAATTCTATATTTTAATTAATGTAAAATAAGAATTATAAGGTTCATAAAATAGTTGGAAGGAGGTATGAAATTTTAGTTAAAGTATTGGGAAATGGTTAATATGCAACAACTTATTTGGCTAGAAGTTGTTAAACTTAACAAGACCTTGCTTGCAAAGTTTATATGAAGTTTATACAAATAGGTAATTTCTAAAGAATAAATTGTGCTTCAACTAAACAAAATTGAAATAAGGGAATTGGCAGAAAAAATGAAATAAAAAATATCAGAAAGGCTATAAAATGAAGTTGACAATACAAGAAATATGTGTAATCTGAGATTTATTATATTATAAAGAACATCCTCACATTGTAAAATTTGAAGATTTAGTTGAAAGTCCAAACAACATTTATTTTTTTATGGAATATTGTTAAGGAGGAACCTTAGAAAAATTGATTAAGGATAGAAAAAGACTTAGTTAAACTGATGCTTTACCTTACTTTAAATAGTTGGCATCAGGTAATATAAATATTTTATTAATTAGGTTGTGGATATCTTTATGAGAAAAATGTTATACATAGAGACTTAAAACCATCTAATGTTTTACTATAAGATAATGTCATTAAAATAGCTGATTTTGGTTTATCAAAAGCTTTGGAATAATAAATAAAAGAAATAGCAAATGATAATACCCCATTGATTGGAACACCCTTGTATATGAGTCCTTAAGTAGATTGTTCTTTTATATTTAGGTAATAGGACAACAATTATATTCTATTAAGGCTGATGTTTGGTCACTAGGATGTATATTTTATGAAATGCTTTGTGGAAGAACTCCTTATTATCATGAACATGTTTAATATTTATAATAAATGATCTAAAATGAAAATGTACAGTTTCCTAATGATGTTTAAATATCAGACAACTTGAAAAAATTAATTATCAAAATGCTAGCCAAAACTGAAAATGATAGAATTAGTATCATACAAGTAATTTAATATTTAGATTCTGTTTGAATTAAATAAATGTTATTTCAAATAAACCATTATATCATTTATCACTTTATCTAATATACACTAAACAAGTCATTTAGTGAATGATACTCTAATAATTCTTTTATTTATCCTTTTTCTTTTTTTGAAATCATATTTACACAGAGATTGAATTTATTTGTTTTTGGAAGACGATCTCTCAAAATAGCTAAGATATAATTTAAAATAAATACTTTGTATTTTATTGTTATAACTATTATCTTATTTCAAAGCTAAACCTGCATTTATTACTAAAAATAATATATCTGTTGGCAAATCTTTAGTAGCATACAATTATTAAAGATTATCTACTTAAAATACATAGTCAATAATCTAAGGAGGAGTTGCCTTTTTAAATGTATTCATATTCTTTTCAAATATAGTGGCAGTTTCAGGTTATTATTTCTTATTCAATAAATCTTAAATCACATTGACTGTTAGGTTTTATCCAATTTAATCTATTTATTATTAATTAACACTTTTTTATTTTGTTTACTAATTTTTCGCTTATTATTATTATTCTGATTTCTCTTATTAAATATTATTTTATTCATCTTTTTTTTCTTATTTTGGTTGAGCATCTTATTTTTCTCTCAATTTACCTCTACAATTTGCATGTAATTTTTATACTTCTGATAATTTATCTTTTGCCTATTTATTTTCTGAATCTAAACAAACAAGTCTTTCTAAATCTTCTCTTCCTTTTCCAAATAATTCATTTTATTCTTCTAACTTATCTGATATCATAGCTAAACTAGAATAAGCAACACCTCTTCTATATAAGGCTTTTTGATTATTTAAATCTTTAGCAAGAACTTTACTTGCTAATTCAACTACTTAATTATTTTAATTTAATTAACTATAACAAAGACAAGAATTAGTTAAGAGTTAGAAATAAAGTTAAATTTAAGAAGGTGCTGGATTAGCTTCATAAAACTAAATTCCTTCACCCCAAATTTAAATAGCGTTCTCTAATTCTTATGCTTTGTAATGTGTATTTCCTTATTCTTTTAGTTTACCTAATTAAGTTTAGATTTCTGCATCAGATAATTTAGATTTTTATCCATTATCTACCTCTTATATTGCTTTCTTTGTAATTTCTGGCTATTATTTTTATATATTTTTTGGTTCTTCCTATTATTACTTAATAGGTTGTTCAATTCTTTTAGATTGTGCTCCAATTTCTTATTTATTTTATTCTTCTTCTCTAATTTTAACAACTTTATTATTTTCTTCTTAACTCATTATCTTTGATAGTCTATCAAGTGCTTATGATGCTTATAAATTTCCTGGATCTAGATCTTTAACCCTTAAGAAATCTAATTTGCTTAAAACAACCTTATCTAATCTTTCATATGCCATTCCTCTTCTTAAATAAGCTTTTGTTTTTATATCCCATGCAATATTATCTTCTAAAATATTTCCACAATACTCAATCACTTTCTAATATTCCTGTAATTACAGATGACAATAAGCCAAATTACTTAATAAAATTGCTCTCAATTCTATAAATTTTTATTATTCCACATATTTCTAATTTTCTTTTAATAATTCTATTAACTCAATTATTGACTATGAATATGCTCCTTTTTGTATTCTATTTGTAATCTCATTCTTTTTATTCATAATATCATTATATTCTTTACTGTAATCAGGTTATTTTTATTTAGAAATAGGTATTTCTTCCTCCTCTTCATCTTCTTCTACTATTTGAACTTTCTTAAAACCACCTGATTTCTCAATAAATTATTTATCTAAAGTTTAAATCTCATATTACTTTCTGCTGAATTTATTTATTATTCTGTCAAAAACTTTCTGCATTCTCTTAATTCACCATTTACTTCATTATTGTCTGGTTCAACTTACAAAATGTACTTAAAATCTAAATAAGCTTTATCATATTATTTAAGAGCAAAATAAGCTTTTCCTCTTCTATGATAAGCTTTTGTGTAATCTGCTTGAAGTGCAATAGCATAATCACAATCATTGATAACATTTTAATATTCTTTAAGTTTCAAATATACTAATGCTCTATTGCAATATGAAGCAGCCATTTATCTATCAAATTAAATAGATTAAGTATAATAATTTATAGCTTCTTTAAGATCATTTGATTTCAAGGCTTCATTTCCCTTAATTTTCTCTTATTCAGCCAATCGTTTATTTTTTTCCAAAGTTGGATTCTCAGCCCATTTCTCAACATCTATTTATGCTTATTTCTTTACAATTGGATCAATAACTACTTCTGATGCTAAAAATTAAATATTAAAATACCTTTTGCATATTTTGGATCTATGGAAACTAATTTTTCTTCGACAGCTTTAATTAAATCTGTATAATAATTTCCATCTAATTCTAATAGTTTAAGTGCCTTTTTTAGAGGAGCAACTTTTGTTTGACTATTTACCCAATCAAAATCTATTTTTTCTAGAGTCAATTCGTCGCTTATCATTAATAAATAATTTAAATTTATTTAGTATATCTAACATAAAAAATCATAAATTATATATTCTCAAATAGTAAACCTATTATCAAAATATCTATAAAAATTTATTATAGTTTTAAACAATCTAATAAACAATATATCAATTATGATAAAAGTTTATGTTGTTAATATAAAAATAGTGTTTATTATCAAAGAATAATTAATTTTATTAATTTTTATGAAATTACTACAATCATATCTCTGAATAATACTATTTTCTAAAAAATATTGCTAAAATATTTTAGAGGATAATAATCATTGTTTTAATTTTAAGACTTAATTAAAATTCATCATCCTTCTATTTACATAATAAACCAAATCTATTCCTTGCTATTCTTACTGCATAGAAAGTCCACCAATTAACATCCAAAAATAGTTTTACAATATTCCTCCTATTTGAATTTGTCTTAAAAGTGCCTGTGGAATTTCATTTGAATTAGCATATTCTTTCCAATATTCCTTAAGAAAATTTAATTTCAGATCTTCTTGCCATCCTTCTTTGATTTTAAAATAAGGAGGCTCTGAAAACGTATAATCCCATTCCATCTCATTAAAAAAATTAGCTAATTCATAACCTGGATAATTCAATCCTGCAAATTCAAAATCAATCAAATGATATTTCATTAATCTTTAATCTTTTAAGAAATTAGTAGCATTGAGATCATTATGTGCTATAACTAACGGTAATTCACTAAAAGATGGATCCTTAAATAATCCCAAAATAAATGTTTAGTTTTGATCTGAAAATACTTACTCAAATATTGAATATAGTTATTAACAATTGGAATCTAAAATAACATCAAAAATCTCATCTCTTAAATTATTATTATGCAACCATTAATAGATAGAAGGAGTATCAAAGATTTCTACAAATGAATTTCTATTCCTTAATTTATGAAATGAACCAAGCATCCTAGCTACCTCAATGTAATCTTCTTTTATTTCTGATAGTGTTACAGGAGAATATGGCCAAAACTCCTCTATTCTTTAGAGTTGATCAGAATATAACACTTTTGGTGCTAATTCTAATTATGCAAGTTCTGATTATAATCTTACTTCCCTTTCTCGATTTTAGAATAATCGAAATGTAGTTGTATAACGTCTATAAATTACAGATTCTTAAGCTGTTGAAACCTTATATACAAAGTTAGTTAATCCACACATACGTTCTGATTTGAATGGTTCGTCATTAAAAAATTTAAGAAGAAGCTCTTAGTTCATTTTAATTTATGATTATATTGTTATTTTTTATCTCTATTAAGTACTTTCTGAAAATTCTTCTTCTTTTCACTTATGAAATACTTGTAACATAAAAAAATATTATTTAATAAGTGATTGTCCATTTTACTCTCATTATTTAAATAAATAAAATAAATTATATTATTCTTTCTCAGTATTAAGAAAAAATATTGGTACTTTTTTTTTAGATGCAATAATAAAAAAATTATAAGTGCTTCAAATAAATTAAGTCTAATACTTCTAAATATTAAAAAAAAATTTTTATGTAAAAAATGAATAAAACAAATTATTATTATAGCTATAATTCAAAATACCACTCTCAGACCTCATTAAGAATAAGAACATGAAGAGATTAAATTTGCTGATAAAAAAATTAATTATTTAAAAAAAATCAGTTTGAAAAAAGGATTTAATAACTGATTGTTGGAGTTATAATTGATCCAACAAATAATAATGTTAAATGACTAAATTTAAAAATAGGAGATTCAGGCTTATATAAAATTACAATAATGTTAGTTGACAAAATAAAAATAAAGAAATTATTATATAAAACCAGAACTTGAAATTGAAATATTCTATATAAAAAGTTTGATTAGATTTTAAAAGATGTTTGAAAAAAAAGCTAAATAAATATATTACCTATCAAATTAAATAACCTGTTATTAAATCATTTAAAGTATAATAATTGAAGTGAAGAGTATGAAAAATAATTATTTTATAAAACAAAAACAGTTCTGAAAGAACGAAATAAGGAAAGATTAATTAAAAAATTATTCAAGAATAAAATATGAATATGGCTTTGAAATATATTATTAGAAAAAATGAATCATAAGAAGAATAATTAAGAAATAAGTTTGAATTATATAAATTTATGCAATTATTATGAAGGCGGTCTATTTACAAGAAAAAATTAATTTCTAAAACATTTATTAAAATATTGTTAAAATGTTTCGAAAGACAAAAGAGATTAGAATTATGACACAAAATAGACTTTTGAAATTTACTATTTAAGAAGCACATTTGAATTAAAATTACAAGAATTTTGTGTCTACTCAATTTTAAAGTTAAGATTATTGATACAAAAGGAAATATATAGAACTTTTTTTATAAATCTGGTGAATATTTAGCTTGAGATTGCAGCTTTATAATAAAATATTAGGATGATGAAGAAACAATAAGAAATTAAATACTATAAAGATAAAAAGCATTTTTGAATAGCCAAGAAATTATCAGGAAAGAATAAATATATGACGATAAGAAATATTAATCCAAAATAAATATCAGAATATTTATATATGACCTGATTCTTGTAGAATAAGTTTAATTGTTATATACATAAATACGAAGATTATGGCATTGATAAAAATAAAGAGAATGTCTGAAAAATAAATAGGCTAAAATGAGCAAGCTGACAAAGAATTTTTCTTAAAAAATTAATGTAAATTAAAATAAGGATTAGAGGATCTTCAACACCTAGAGATATATTTAATTTCTTCATAAGCTTTATAATTATTTTGCTAGAATAGTACCTAAAAATTAATAATATTATCATTCTTATTTTCAATCATCATCCCAATCACTATTTTTCTTTGGCTTATATTCTACTTATTTATCATATACAAATCCTGCATCTCCTGGTTTTAGAAGATTTTTAGAGTATTTTACTTCCATCTTCTCCTTATATTTTTATACTTCCGCTACACTTAATTTATTTAAATTCAAATTTTCTAAGTCAGATTCTGATTAAGATTCAAAGTCGTCTTAATAGTTTGCAGACTCTTCCTCATATTAATTTTTATCATCCTCATCAGAATTAATATTAATATCTTCAAATACATGTGCTTTAACAGGTTCGAATTAATTTTCTCTAATTTTACTCATAGAAGTGCTTTAATTAGGCTATTACTATTATGTTTTGGTAAATGGATTTATATTTGGTGTTTTAGAGTTTGTATTTTTTCTTCCGTTATCGGATAATTATTTGCTCTCAGTTGTTTTTCTTTAAGATTAATCAATTAGTTTATCCTTAAGTCTCGTTATCAGTGCTATTATTTTTAGATTTATTTTTACTTTCAAGCTGCTCATCTAAAAGTTTTGAATTGGAAACATACAAATTATGCCTTTTTTTAATATATTAGACAAAATCCGCTGTGTTGGATTTGCTACTCAGACGCATTAATTTTATCTTATGACGATAAATTTTCTGTTAGCTTGGAATCAAATATTCAATTACAATAGTTGGAGGATTTAATTGTAATCCAACTCTTTAGGGAATATAATCTTTATTATTAAATACCTGCATTTAATTATTGTGTAAATGTTATATTTAACTTGTAAAAATTTTTTATTTATGTAATTAAGCATAGACTACTCATTAATCTATTTAAAGTATAAATTTTATAGGTTATGAAATCAAAAAATATCCTTTTTATTGATCGTCTTTTTAAATTTTTTAAAGAATCAAAAACGAATATTTTATATATTATCAAGTCATCAAAAGCTAATGGCAAAAGACACAGTCTCTTTATTTTTGTGCTTATTATTGTTGATAAACCATTGTCAACCAAAAGATATTGTTGATAACAGTCAATAAAATATGGAAAGAAGAAAAAAGTTGTGATAATTGTATTATTTTAGCAATTTACGATAAAATATGAATAGAGAGAGTCTATTGTAAATTGATTAATAGATAAGAAGCTTTTTAATTTCAGAGAATGTTCTTAGCAATAATAAATAGAAAGTATAGATTACTAAAGAAAAACTATTTGCTAATGAAGAGATTAGAAAGTAATTAGAAAATACAGGTGAAATTATTGATAATGGACAATAGTTAATTGATAATGTTTTGGACAATTAGGATGAATAATTTTAAAAATAAATAGAAAATAATTTAGTGAATAAATTTAATTAAAAATTTGTTTAAGATGACAATGAAAATTAAGAGAAATAAAATGTTTAGAGTAAAAAGTAAGGTATGAGTAAATAGGATAATTTAAGCAGTTTTAAGAAAATAAATAAAAATTATTTACTGTCAGATTAATTACAGGGAGAATTTAATCTAATAATTGAAGAATGGTAATAGTAAGAACATGACTAAGAAATTTAGGATGAACATATTGTTGAAGTAACTTAAGAGAATCCTCCAGCCGAAGAAACTAAAGAAGAACCACAAGCTGAAAAAACTAAAGAAGAACCACCAGGTGAAGAAACAAAAGAAGAACCACCAGGTGAAGAAACAAAAGAAGATCCTCCAGCAGAAGAAACAAAAGAAGAACCACTAGCTGAAGAAACAAAAGAAGAACCACCAG